AGTAATTATAGAGTAAAAGAAACAGTGCCGGGGGAGGGGAGCACTAGGGGAAGGTGTGACTTCAGGAGTCTTGCCTCTGCCTCACCCCGTGGGAGCTCTGGAGTGTGAATTGCTTCAGAATTTGTCCTGCTCAGACAAGGAAGCTGCACTCTCACGGTTCTCACTCTCATCACACGATGCTTGCCTACAGCTCACAGCCTAATGGGTGGGAGGACAGAACCTCCCAGGCAGCTCCGCCAAGCCAGGGCAATACTTCAGAGAAAGGTGCAGGCAACACACCGCACCCAGGGGATGGGTGCACCATTCTAGTAAAGGAGTTATAGACAGCGTGCCAATAGCATCTGCTACAGTCATAACTGCAAAAAAAAATATTAAATAGCATATGAGCCACACAAAACAGACCTGCAGGACCTTTTTACCCAGCCCGTGGCTGCCTTCACCCTCTGTAGTGAACATGCCTACAATCCAGGTCCAGTGAATCAGTGAATTAGAAGCCATTGTGTCCACTGCAAGACCACCCACACTTTCTTTGAGACCTCATCTGCACAGCACAGACTTCAGCAGATATCCAACATACACCAGTCAGTCTCCAAATATTGTCTGAACTATAGCACAAAATATTAACTGAAACACAGACATGTTCTTTGGGGTTTTATTTTGATGGACCACTGCTTCCACTAGAGGGAGAACAGGAAATAGGGTGATGGACATTTTTTAATTTGCAGCACAAAAGATTGCATTGATCCTAAGTTACCGAAAATTGAAAATAAAATATGAAGAGGGAAGTTGCTGGGCCCAGACCAGTGTGGCTGACTGACAGTGTGTCTGACATTTACGTGGTTCTGTCACATCTAAAGGGAGAGTTTCTTTCCTGGCCTCTCCAGTGAGTCTGATATGGGTAGCTCTGGAATTGGAGCAATATTGATTTTGAGTTGTTTTTTTTTTTTCTTGTTTGCTGTGTACTCTCTTTTAAAAATAACTGGATCTAGCCCTGTTTGGGTCAGCATAACAGAAAAGTAATCATCTGTTCCTGAGGGTAAAATGAAATCTGGTTCAAAAAAATTCTACTGACATGCTATTTCAGTTTTTTGGAGCAGGTTTTTTACTTTAATGAAAAGTGGAAGCCTTCATTAAGACAAAGGTTTTGCTGTCTCCTGTGACTCTGTCAGTTAGCAGCAGGGCTACTTTGCTGGTCTCCTTTGTTTGTTTCCAAAGAGACCTCTCACTTTCCAATTGTCCAGGTATCATTGTCAACTGAGGTGTTGTTTTTTATCAGGCCTGTGGATACTCTACAGCTTTGTACTTTTCCTTTACAAACACTCCCATATGATTTTTTTTTCCACTCAGCACAGCACCCCGGGGGGTACAAATGTTGGATGTGAGAGCGCTATTGTGTGGGGCAGTGACCTGGCAGTCTCCCCAGGTGTCTCTGCTGACCTGGGTGATTTAATAAGTGCTCCAAATCATCCTGTCCTGCTTTTCAATGTCCCTAGCTGTCAAGACTCAATGATAGCCCCATATTAATTATTAGCTCCAGTCCTTGGCCGTGATGTTGTCATTCCTACCCATGGAAGGTTCTAAATCTGACTACACATTAGAATCACCTGGAAAGACTGTTAAAAATCTTAACTCCTGGGTGCCCTACCTGAGATCTGCTGGGTCAGAATGTACCCAAGGATGAGGTTCAGGCATCTTTATTTTAATGAGTTTCCCAGCACCCAGCCCAACATGGATCCATGGATCCTCTGCCCAGAATGGTGTGGTTTCCACCTAAGGCCAATGTCAACTAGAAACATCTGGCCTGGAATAAGCCAAGTGGAAGGCCACAGTAGAAGATGAAAAGAGCTTTCCACTCTTCTCCAAGGCCTTGGGGTGGGGGCAGGGAGACAGGTTGAAAGTGGAGGTGCAGAATAGCCAAATTACCCTGCATGCTACTTACCTGTTCTCATTCAACCATCCATACATCCGTCCATCTGTCATCTCTCTATTTGTCCATTCAGTCAGACATATTTTGAGCTCATGCTGTAGGTATAAGACCCTGGGCTTGGGGGCTATAAAGAGGGAACAGCTTGCATCCTGCCCCCAAGAGCTCACAGTTCTGTAGGTGGTGCTAACTGAGGGTTTTCCCAAAGGGAAACTGGACTGATCTCTCTTCTTAAAAAGGACAAGCAGGGCTCAGCTCAGAGCCTTTATCAGGCTAGAAAATAAGAACGTTCATTTTTTTCCCCATCATATTTATTTTTATGAATATAGTAGATAAAACTGGTTCTTAATTTATAGTAATTATATAATTTTTTCCTTTGAAATAAGTCTATTAATGAACATGACAATGTGCTATCACTACATACTCATTTGAATGGTTAAAATTAAAAGGACTGAATACCAAGTGTGGGTGAGGGTGTGGACCAACTGGAGCCCTAATGCACTGTGGGTGGTAGTGTAAACTGGTGTAAAACCACTTTGGAACACTGTTTGGCAGTTTTCTATAATGTTAAACATACATATACCATACAAGCCAACAGTTCTCTTCCTAGGAATTTACCCCAGAGGAATAAAAACATATGTCCACACAAAGACTTCTAGCAACTTTATTCATAGTACTAAAGCTGGAAACAGCCTAGGTGTCCATCAGCAAGGAGATGGATAAAAACACTGGTCATCTATGCTATGGAATACTGTGGCGTGATTAAAAGAACGGACTACTGCTCCTGGCAGTACATGTGTGAATCTGAAAACATTCTGCTGAATAAAAGAAGTCAGGTACAGAAGAGTGTACATGAATAATTCCATTTATGTGGAACTGTCAGCATGCCTAATCTGTACTGATTTAGGTCAAATGAGTGAAGTGGATGGACTGGGTAGCGGCACAAGGGAGCTTTTGAGGATGATAGAAATGTTCTGTGTATTAATATGATAGTGGTTTTGCTGGTATATATATTTGTAAAAACTCATCAAACTCTATGCTTAAAATGAGTGCATTGTATATGTAAATTATACCTCAATGAAAATTGATTTATTAAGTGATACTCAACATGGCAAAAATCATGAAGTTGGTAGATGAATGCCCAAAGTTTAGGGAATTGCCCCCAGGTACATGCTAGAGAGCAGACAGTATTCTAAAAGCAGTATAGATGAAATGCTCTGAAACTTAAGAGAGAGGGAAAATGTCTTCCAATGGCAAGATGTGACTGAGTTGGTGCTTTGCATAAGTGGCATTTCTGCTGAGCCTCTGAGAAGAAGTGAAGTGCATATGGGGCCAAAATGAATATATAAGTGACAGTGGGTTGAAATTAATGTCAAAGGCCTGAGAAGTTGGGGGAGGAGTCCCTAAAAAGCCACATACAGCCCTGGCTGGTGTGGCTCAGTGGATCCAGTGCCCGCCTACAAACCAAAGCGTTGCTGGTTTGATTCCCAGTCAGGGCACATGCCTGAGTTGTGGTCTACGTCCCCAGTAAGGGGGTGCCCAAGAGGCAACCACACACTGATGTTTCTCTCCCTTTCCCCCCCCCTTCCCCTCTCTCTAAAAATAAATAAATGAAATCTTAAAAAAAAAAAAAGCGCCACATGTGTCCTGAGAGGAACAGGAAGAATGAGGTGACCCCACCACTCTGGCCTTTGTGACATCCAAAGGCCTTTCCAGTCTGTGAGACCTGGACATAAGGGCTTCAGCACTGGCTGGTACAGTCCATTATTGTGCCCCAGAGAATTTGAGTGGCAGTAGAGCAAACTGGCAGAGACAGGACCAGGGTGAAGCAGTGGAGGCCCCAGAGGGAACATGTAGGAGGAGGGTCATGTAAAGGCTGAGCTGCACCTACAGGACCAAAAAATGGGTGCCTCACATTCCCGACCCTAGTCCTGGCCCTGCTTTCTGGCTCTCTGGGAGCAGGATCTTGGTACTCATTCATTCATAGCCATGCCTGAGATCCTACTGCATTCCAGGCACTGTATTATGACATAGTAGATACAGTGTCTTCAGCAAGCTCACAGTCTAGCAGGAACAGCAGACAGAGGTGTGAGAAGGGAATCCCAGGGACTGTGGGTACTCAGAAGGAGCCACTTGACCTAGAATTTTAGGAGAAAGTAAACACTCAACTAAGATTTGAACATGGGAGGATGTAGAGCAGTCCCTTCTAGAACTGTCTGGCCTAGGATTTGGAACATGGCCTTAGAAACCAAGAGCGCACCTAGGCACTGACTTGCAACAGCTGTATATTCCCCATGCATCTGTAGGTATGTAATGTGGCTGAGGAAGCCCAACAGTGCCCTCCCGTCCCAGATGGAGTCCATCTTGGGACCTCAGCCTCCACCAGCTCACCAGCAGTCTCAGCAATACAGTCCCCTGAGATTGCTCTAAGTGATTTTGTTAAGAAAGTCCAAAACCAGAATGGATTTTTTTAAAATAGCATTCTTCCCTCTGCACTGATTTATATTCTCAAACTCATCCCTCATTTATTCATCCAACCACTCACCAGTCAACAGTTTAATGAGCGCCTTCTATGCATTAGGCCCTGGACTAGGCATCTGGGATATGGAGTTGAAAGTCATCTCTGCTCTCAGGAGGCTTTAGCCTCCTGAGTCCTGGGGGACTGAGCCTTTCCTACCATGTTGCCTCTCCATCTTCCCAAGATCTACAGCCAGGGTCAGGTCAAGGATAGCCAGCAGAAAAGGATATGACAATTGGCCAAACATTATATCCTTACAATGAAATGCTCCATAAATGATGAAACCTAACATGTCCAAATTGTCTAAAGAATTGCCAGAGCTTCCCAGAACTTTTTTAAGTCAGACATGTGTTTGATAGGCCAAGAAAGAAGGGTTGGGCCTACAGGGAATTGATCAGTTTGATTCCCTGACCAGCTGACCTCTTGAGAAAGTGAGTGTGAGAGCCCCAGTTGTTCCGTGGGGCACAGTAGGGGAGGGAAGACAGGGTTGTCGTGTTGAAGACTGTGTTGTGATGGCTGCCAAATGAGTGATTCTCCGTATTTCATTGAACTCCCCAGGACTGTCTTTGTGGATGAAGATTTTGAGTGTAAAGAAGGAAGACAGAAAAAAGCAGAAGAGCCCAACCTGAGCATCTCAGATGTATGGTGGTTTGTTTGTTTGTTTGTTTGTTTGTTTGTTTGCTTGTTTTGGCCTGGGGTAGGTTGGCAAGTTGAGGGTCCTTTCCATAAAACAGAGACAGAGGCAGATCCAGGAGTAGAGTAGCAAGGACAATGCTGGGGTTTGGCTGAGATGAGGCTGTGAAACTTCATCCAGGTCATGTCCCAACCAAACACCCACACAGCCAACACCTCAGTGAGAGCCCAGACACCTCAGCAAACAAATTTTCCCTTTAGTGGAAAAGCCAGTTACCAATAAACCTTAGTGATCTTATGCTCTTCCCAGTCCCTAGATAGAGGTTACAAAAGGAGAAATATTTTCCTCAATAATTTCACAGTAAAAACAAAGAGGAAATCAGGAGTTTACAAATTCATACCCTTAAATTCTCCTGGAATGATGGCCTAAGCAAATCATCAGAGATGCATTATTTGAGTACAAAAAAAAAAAAAAAATGTTACGACACTTAGAAATAGCAAAAGAAAAATTAGAAAAATAAATTATTGTATGTCTGTGAGGATAGACTATCTGCAGTAGCAAAGTGGGGGTAAGCAAACATTGTCACCCTTTGTAGGTAGGAGTATGAGTTGGCATAGCCTCTGTAACATACGATTTGGCAACTGTGTCAGAATTTAAAATGCACACTTCCTCTGCTGGGATATTATTCTACAGGTATATTTTTACATTCACATCAAGACATGTAACTATTCTTGCACATTGCAGCTTTGTTGGTAAAAGCAAGAAAAATTGGAAACAACTCTACCAATAGGAGACAAGTTGAATAAACTAAATTATATCTGCACAAGAATTACACTATGAAATTCTTTTGCATTAAATGAAAAAGTTCTTTATATGCTGACTTGGAGCAATCTCTGATACATTAAGTAAAAACTGCTATGTGTTCTATTTTTATAAGTATTTTAAGTGATGCTTGTGAAGAGTAGTCAAATGGGAAAGCAGCACTCATGATGTTATAATGTCAACTGCAAAGTCAGAATACAAATACATGTACATATATGTATATAAATATATTCATATATCTACAGTATAATCTCCTGATTGATTTGTTTTTCTCTATTTGAACCTTTCTGTGTTTTCTAAATTTTTTAGAAGGAGTATATGTGTATATATAAAACACTTGTCTTTGAAATGTTAATTTTTCTGTTTATCTTCAAAAATGTCATAGAAAGCTCAAGGATACAGTAACATGAAAGCAAAAATCTTCAGAATCCCGTCATCTATAGAAAAATAATGCTGAAATCTTAACCAAAAAAACCCACTTTGAATTAACTTGCACATGCTCACATCCTCAAGTGCGATACAAATGAAATTGCTTCCTCACTTAATAATCTGTCATGCACATCATTTCTAGTCTATAAATACACATTGCCTCATCCTCCATGGATAGAGTACCACAGACATGTAATTTAAGGTGATCCCCATTTGATAGGCATTTAGTTGGCTTCCAAAATTTTGGTATTATAAATAACACTGCAGTAAACATCCTTGTACGTGCATTTTGGGCAATTTTCTGATTATCTCCATAGGAAAAAATGTACTACAAGCATACCTCAGGGATATGGCAGTTTGTTTCCAGATGACCACAATAAAGTAAATACTACAATAAAGCGAGTCACCTGAATTTTTTGGTTTCCCAGTGCATAGAAAAGTTATGTTTACACCATATCCTGTACTCTTTTCAGTGTGCAATAGCATATGTCTTTAAAAAACAATGTACATACCTTAATTTTAAAAACAGCATTATTGCTAAAAAAGTGTTAACTTCTCTGAGCCTTCAGGGAGTCATAACCTTTTTGCTGGTAGATGGTCTCACCTTCCATTTAAAAAAAAAAAGCAAGCACAATAAACAAGGTATGCCTGTATTTTCACAGCATAGTTCATTTTTCTTTCAGTGATGGGAAGGAGCACATTGATGACCCCATTGTAAATGCTTGCTAGCTTTCTTCACACCTCTAATTTCGAGGGATTTAAAGGGAACTGTGCTGAAACAGAAAGAATAGACCCAGACTGAGCCAGGTGGAGTTTCAGGACCCCTATGGATCTCTGAATGGAATGAAATGTTTTCCATTGGGATAGAAGAAATAACACTTCCTGGGCTCTAAAGTCATCTGATACTAGCTCTTCTTACTAACTGAGCACCCGTCCCCAGTTAGAAATTTAAACTTGCCAGAGCACTATTACTGCCATGGCCATCATATATTTTCAGGGTGCGGGACTAGTCCCCTCTCATGGAATCAAACAAGTTAAAATCAGGAATTTATCTGGAAATCGACTGAACTTGAACTTACCTTTTGCAGGCCCTTCGTTCCAATTGATGTTCTCATACAGAATGACTTTCTCTGCAGGTGTTTGATATTTTGCCCCTCTATGGAGAGCTGCAGCCACACAGTAGCCACCAGGTGGCTTTCACCTTCTATGGACACTGTGACATTGTTGCACAGGCTAAAGCTCTGTGCGAAGTGGAAGGAGGGCCCATCTATGAGATAATACTAAAGGGAGAGGCATCCATTGTCAGCTATTGCTTTGACACCAAGGACATTAGCTATGGATTACAGGTATGCCGCCCATCGCGAGGTTTTCTGCTTTCGCCTTAAACATCAGTCATCGTCCCTGTGCTCCAATGTCTCCTGGAATCCCTGGTCACTGAAGTCTCACCATCACCCCTATTCTCGAGCCCTCACCTGCCTCCCTGATCCTAGTCATTCTCCCACTGCCAACTGTCTGCCAAGTGTCCTCACTTGCTTTTCTCACTGTCTCCTGAAATTCAGCGTATTAAATGCTAAAGTTTACCTCTTTCCCTCTCAGTCCAGAAGCCCATCCCAAACTCTCTGTTTCTCTAAGTTACACTACTACCTTCTCAGTCCCTTCAGTTCACGACCTGCACAGCATTTCCCACTGCGCTCTGTCCTTCATCTCCGCCATATCCTTACAGTGTCCACAGTTTGCTGATTCACCCAGCAGAACCCGTCTGAATCGCTTTTCCCTTCCCATCGCCACTGTGGTTATTACCCTGCAGCGTCTCACCAAGTCACGCCTAAATTATTACAGCAGTTTTTCTCAAACTGCAATGTGCATACAAATCACCTGGGAACCTTGTTCTAGTGCGGTTTCTAATCCTGTAGATCCAAGGTGGAACCTGAGAATCTGCATTTCTAACAAACTCCTATGCTACTGGTCACAGACCCTGTGGAAACAGGGGATTACAGTGCATTCCTAGCTCCTACTGCTAATCCATCTACACCTCACTGCCAGATACATTTTCCCCAAATTGCATTTGTAGCCCATCAGTCGCTGAACAGCTAACCCAGTAGCATTAGGGAAGGCCACATGTTGAATAGCACTGAGAAAAGAATATGGTTTTGTATCAGAAGACCTGGGATGTTATCCCAGCTTTACTTCCTACTGACTGTGTCACCTTGGGCTCATCACCTGACCTCTCCAAGCCTCCGTAACCATCGTCTATAAACTGGGAATAGGGTAGCAATGCCTATCTCACCAGGTGCTTTGTGGTTACTTAAGTGGATGGTCAACACTGTGCCTGGGCCAGGGAAGACCTTCAATCATGGGTCCCTTTCTCTATCTCCCATTCGATCACAGCCAGGTACCTCTACCTCGGTAGGGGTATCCTACGCCCTTCTAATAACCAATGCTCCTTACAATAAACTGTTTTTCACTGTTCCCCATTATAGCTCATTTGTTCATTTGTGGCCAAGCTGTTTTACCCCTTGGCCATCGTGCACCCCAGCCCTTCCTGCCTGCAGGGAATCAGTCCACTGGTCCTCTACCCCCGCCCCAACCCAAACCTGCACGTATTGTAAGACCCAGCTCAGCTCCATCCCTCACTTGTCTTTTTCCTACTTTATATTCTCCTGGCACTTAAGTATGTTCTTTGCCATCATATAATATACCTTCTAATCTTTGCTTTGGAATAATTGTGAGTTCATTCTGTGTCTTTACATATTCTCTTCCCAATTAGATTTTGTGTCATGTTCTCAGAGACCGTATTTCCTACCAAATTGTGATGATTTTAGGTCATCATAGTATAGCTACTGCAGGTGTAGTTACCGAATTGTGTGTATATCTATAGGCTAAAGACTGTGGCTAACATAAAATTCACCCAACACCTATTGAGACCTTATTTATTGCCCTGACCAAATAGAATTCCCGTTCATTCATTATCTCTAGGGTCCTCTGGGAAATTGGTTGTGCTCAGGTCAGAGTATATTTTTTAAAGCAGTTGGTCCTTGCCCTAGCTTATCCTAAAACCCCTTAAGTGGCCTTAGTTTGTGGTTATTGGACCTGCTGGTTTGTTGCTTAATTATGTGAGCAAAATTTCATAAAAAGACTTGTCTGGCCTATTATTCCCATTTCTCATCATATAAATAGAAAAATTCATTCTAGAAAATTCTGAACTCAGATCTCATTTTTTTAAATTAAAAAAAGCACAGATAATCTTGGTGTAGAAAAGATAAGTAATCCTCTAATATAAGTTCTTTGTGGTGAAGAAACTGAAGCCCAGGAGGTGAGATGCTCACCGAGCAGCCATACTGAACAAATGAATTGTCAGCAGAACTAAGATAGAGCCAGGTGTCTAGGATCGATTGCTACTTGGGCCCCTGTCAGCACCTTACTGCACACTAAAATGAGGACGGGTAGCATCGACATCACGAAAAATACAATCCATGTCTGTGAGGCATGTTTGTCTAGCTGCCATTGTTGGGATGATGGCAGCATCCCCAAGGGTGGTGACAGAGGAACCACTGGTTTCCTCCTTCTCCTCTAGCTGTTTGACCATGTCACAGAGAATAAAATCACACTGAAGAACACTGGCAAAGTCGGCTTTGAGTTCAAGGTGCTGACTGACTACCAGTCCTCGCCAGACAACCTCATGCCTGGAGTGCCCCTGATCCTGCCTCTCTCTGTAAGTAGCCCCCGCCCGTGAGGGCCATGTGGTAATGGTCAGGGAGCCCAAACTCACACCTGCAAGCTACACCCCATGGCTGTGTCACGGTACGCTAAACGTTCTCTGCCGGGATTATGGGTATGATGGGTGGCGGGGGTTGTGATATCTTTAAAAATAAAACTAAAGAGCTCTCAGAAGCAAGAAAAATAAAGTAATCCAAGCACTTCACTCATGTATGGAACAAGTAGTTACTGTGTCCCGCATTTGCCAGGCACTGTTCAAGCATCAGGGGCTCAATAGTGAAAAAGACAATACCACTCCATGGATTTTTTTCATGATTATAAGATAGCTCATTTCCACTTATGTCCTCACACATCCTTGTGATTCCGTGAAGCTGAGAGCCTCCTGCCCATTGACTACAACAAATAAGAGCAATTGTTCATTAGCAGGTGTGAAAATAGCAGTAGACGGCAGTGAGCCAAATTGTTTTTAAAAGCAAATGGAGGAAGTAGTTTCCTGTCCATATATGTTCATCTGTCAGTTTTAAGGAATTTTGTTGAATTTTTCTCATTATGAAAATAATTTTCTCGTTATGAACATAAATCTGGAGGGAGGGATATGAGTAGAGAATACCCAGCACAATGGGCCCTTGGGATTATCTAGTCCATCAAAGTGCCAGAGGCAGGAGTCTGCTGTCAGTTTTAAAGTTCTCTCTGGTCTTTCTGCTGCATAGGGTTTTATCAGTTCACTTCAAGAGCAGGTGTTGAAGGTTTACTACTTACCTGGAGTACCTGAGGTCTTTCAAAGAAGTTTCCAGATACAGATTGCCCACCTGGACCCAGAAAAGATCGCACTGAGTGGAGAGGGAATCTTTCCCCGAATCTGCCTCGACCTGCCCAGAAACCTCAAAGGTAATACTACCCACCATCATATTTCCCCACAGGGGACAAAATAAGCAGTTTAGCTTTCCTTGTTTGAAGGTTGATGGCTCCTCGCATTATCTGCTTGACAGTCTGTACTAGTTCCTTTTGATGTTATTCCTCAATTGCAAAAAAGTCAAGAGTTGACATTGCCTTGATGACCTGAGTTTGGTGAGACAGCACATGGCCCAAATTAAGACCCCGGCCAATTTTGCCATCATCGAATTACTCATAGAGGCATCAGGAAATTGCACTTCCAAAGGCCTTTTCTTCCAGCACACGTTCCTTCCAGCTATAATCTCCCTCTAAGTCGTCTTTCCAGGTGGCACACTCACAGATGCCCACTGAGAACACGAAGGCTGATTTTACTGCAGGGAGTACTAGTCGCAGAATATAAACTTCACTGAAAGGCAGTGAAGGTTCTAACCCCTTTTTGATACTACAGAGTTTGGAGGCTAGTTTACGCTGTCCATTGTCTGCCCACATCACCAGCCAAGGCTTTCCTGATAGCCCCTGGCCTCCAGAACCACTCCTCTGTATGGAATATTTCTGTCCTGGCAGATCCCAAAGCTCAGCAGAGCAGCACTTTTAGCCATAGACTCTCTGTGGTTCTTTCCTGCTGGACCTAAGGTCAGAGAAATTTCTCACTCCCTCACTCCCTTCATAAATCTCTCTTCAAGCTCCTTGGAATTTACATTCCCTAAACAACTCTGACTAAACCTTCATACCTTTTAGCCTTTCCTCCTGCCCCATTTCCCAAAGTCACTAACTCAATGGTTGATAACCATGTATTAAATCCTAACTGTCAGCTCCCTGAAAATATGAACACAAACATTAATGCATCTAAGACCCTGTCATACCTTAGCATCTAGAGTCTCAACAGACAGCAGTTAGTCCACCTCTACATATAATTGTCAGGAAGGAGAGTCTTTACCACACATTTGAAAACTGGCCACCTCTTATAGGGGACATCATTAGGTCAGTACAGGGCTTTAAAATAACTGAAATCTGAATACCATTAGTTGAGCCTTCTGTGTTCCAGTACCCTGCAGTCCCAAGGCTTCAGTTCTCAGGGTTTCCTAAAGGCACTGTAATTGTACTTTGCTGGCCTGGCCCCTCAGGCATTTGAATTTGCACAACTTTGGTGGACTTTGGTGTCTGAAATCTCTTTACCAATTGCCTACCCTCCCTGATTTGGGGGATTGTAGCTTATTTAGTTGTAATTAAAGCAAATTGACCCAAATATATTCTTTTTTGTTAATGAATATTCAATAAACATAAAGACTAATTGAAAGGGTGACCAGCCATCTGAGTATGTCAGTGCCAGAACTTGGATAGTACCAAGCAAGCTGGGATCCAGTTGGGTCACCCTGCGAGTAACATAGCATGTTACTGCCATCAACTTCTTGAGAACCAGCTGGTAACTCAGTGAAGCATAATCTCATTAAACTAAGTGAGGTCTCTGATACAAATTCAACTCACTCACAAATTACTTCACCTTCTAAAGCAGAGAAAACTTGGCAAGAGAGGTACTAAAAAGTTCATTTCCCTTCTCACTTTATTTAACCTGAGCCAAGAGTCTGCGTTTGGGGCACAATTCATATATTTCTAACGATTCTGATTTTCCTCTTCTTCCAACCCCTACAGGAAATGAAAAGTATGAAACCTTCTTGAATCAGGCCAGAAAAAACCTAGAAAAAGAGTTCAACAAATATGAAACATTTGATCACTTAGAGACAACTGAAGAAATGCATGAGGATGAATCTTCTGAGGTAAGAATAGCCTCACTGCCCAGAATGTATGTGGCAGAAGGACAGTAGTGCAAAGGGCTGGGGTAAGGACATGGTCTCTCTGAGAAATAGAAAGGAGAAAAAGGTATAGCTGAAGCAAAGAAGTGGGACAGATAAGGGAACCAAGATGAGCCTGAAGAGGTAAACAGCCCTCTAGTGCCCCTAGTGAACCTGTTGAGGGCTTTGAACTTCAGCCTGAGGGCAACAGGAAGTCACTAAGTGTTTCAACTGGGGCCAGATTTTGTGTCTTTTATTTTAAAAGCTGATGGAGTAAGTCTAGATGAGAGATAGTAGTAGTGTAAACAAAGGTGATAAGGAAGAAAGCAGGGAGAATTAGGTGGATTCAAGAAGTATTTTAGAGGTGGATTGGTCAGGAATTGCTTGGATATGGGAGTGAGGAGGAGGTAACTTCAAAGTGATTTGCTTGGATGACAAAGGAGGGAGCACTCCCATGAGAAACTCAGGATGAGAAGCAAGTTTCAGTGAAAGAGGAGGAAGGGAAATGAGTCCAGATGGTCCATTACTGTGCCTGAGATTTCTGTGCATCATCCAAGTGGAGGCATCCAATAGGGAGGTGAAACCATTGCTGTGGATCTGGGCAGAGAGGTGAGTTGGAGAAAGCGATTCGAGTCATCAGATGGTCATTGTAACCACAGGAGATGGTGAGCTTCCCAGGGATGTGTACTGAGTGATCAGGGAGGAAGGTGGATTCAGAGTAGAGACCAACAATGAAATGGGAGAGAGGGACAGCCGAAGGGGTTCTGGAACAATTAGGAGTGTGTGGTGCCTCGGAGGTGGGAGCCCAGGGAGCAACGCAGCTTGTAAGTAAAGGTTGCCCCTGCAGTGGGACAGGAAGGCAAAAATCCCAAAAGTCCTCTCTCGCGTTCCCTGACGTTTCTCTCTTACCAGTCTATTCCTGACCGTGAGGCCTGCTTTCTGTCTGTGCTTTCTTTTGAAGATGCAAATGTGCATGAGAATAGCGTCCTAAGGAAGAATTACATATATAGCTAAGAGAGCTGTTAGATTGGTTAAGAGGGGGTTCTAAAAGGGGGAATAACAGTGGCATTGGGGAGACTGGGGCCCCACAGACCACCAGGGATTACTTATTTAACAGATACTGAAAGTGAACTGAGCTCCAAGATAATCATAATTAATAATAATAGCTACCATTTTTTGAACTCTTATACTAGGCCTGTGCCATGCTATTGACCTACATTATTATTTCATTAAATCGTCCCATAGTTGGGGGAGGGGATAAGGTGCCACTATTATCTTAATTTTATAGTTTTACAGCACTCACAGAGGCGAAGTACATTTCCCAAGGCAAGCAGCAGAGCCAGAATGTGAATCCAGGCCTGACCAGCTCCTAACACCATGTTCTTAGCCTCTGCCCTCTCCAGCCGGGCCCCCAGCCTTCCGTGAAGGGCAGCGGTGCACCTCTACCTGCTAACTGCCCTCCCGGGCGGCTCCTCACCAGACCCTTAGCACGGCTGTGCCTAGCTGTCCCTCCAGGCCTGGGGGGAGGTTCAGAGACGGTAATGGCAGGAGCGGAGTGAGCTAGTCCTCCTGCATAAGCCAGTGGTCAACTGACCACTAAGTGGCTCAGGAGCCAAGCATAGGGTTGGCTTTGCTGTTGTAAAGTGAAGATGACTGGAGATGCCTGTGGATGAGGCAGGCTCCTGTCCCAATTTGTCACAGTTCCCTCACCTCCCTGTTGTCTCGTTGCAGACACACTTTACACATTTGCTTTTCCTGCTTGGCCCTGGGCTTTGGGTTTGGACCTTCCAGAACAATATCTTCCAACCTTTTTGCACTATCACTCCCCCCAAGTCATCTTTTATCTAATATCCCATGAAATACATTTAGTATCTATAAAATGTAATCTCTTTGAACAGTTTGATATTAATTTTTTAATTTATATTTTGAAATAATCATCATTCACAGAAAGTTACCAAAAATGTTTTTCCCAGTGGTAACATCTTACATAACTATAGTATCCTATCAAAGTCCGGAAACTGACATTGGTACAAGTTACAGAGCTTATTCAGATTTCATCAATTTTAAAGGCACTGATGTGTGGGTGTAGGGGGGGGTGCTTCTTTGCAATTTTTTTCATGTGTAGATTTGTGTAACCACTGCCACAATTAAGATTCAGAACTGTTCCAACATCGCAAGGATCCTTGTGCTTGTTGGAGGAATAGAATTAAACCAAAATCTCCTTCCAACCCAGAAAAATCTCTCCACAAACGTAGACGAGAAAAAAAAATTATTTAAATAAGTATTAAACCAGAATGAGATCTCTGTCACAGGCAGCCCACTAAGATATTGCAAAGACAGAAAGAAATGTCAGTTTTTAATATACAGCCAAGCAGATGCAACCCATTACATACATGTTGTCAAATTAAACAGTAACTAATCCTTCAGTAAGAACTATAACTAGTTCTCCAATTAGAGGACTTGGCAGCACCGTTTCTCACACACAGCTCATCTTAAATTCACGTGGTAGTTGGGGTGACCATCTGGGTTAGCTAATTGGGTTTACCCAGGGGCAACCAAGCGTCTCTGTTTTTCCGACAGGGCCCTCTGCCGTTAGGCTCCTACCCTGCCACAGACACTGGGTGGTAGGGCCTCCACCGTCCTTGGTGATTATTGTACCAAGGGCTGGTCCCCTGGTCCCAGAGAAAGACACTGAGTTGTACAGCTGACAAGAGGCTTATGTAGCCTTTGAAAGCATTTATATGCATTTCAAAGAAATAGAGAAAGAATTTACATATAAGTTTTCTAAAGCAAATACTTTAAGAAAAGGGAGTGAGAAGTCTCTTCCCGTATTTTCAACTCCAAGAATTAAACCTCTTAGTTTTAATTTGTATTTGCCCTTACATGCTACTCCTTTATAGCTACACCCACCCCCAATCTCCCAATCCCTTGCCCCTAGTAACCACTAATCTATTCATTATCTCTATACTTTTGTCATTTTGAGAATGTTCTATAAATGGAATCATACAGGATATATGAGATTGGCTCTTTTCATTCAGCATGATGCCCTTGAGAGCCATCAGTATCAATAGTTCATTCCTTTTTATTGCTAAGACTACTCATGCTATAGCTGTACCAGTTTGCTTACTATACCCACCCCCATGAAAATATTAATATCACAAATAGTCTGGATATCTGCTTATGTACTGTGTCACTTTAGTAGGTCACAAACCACTGTGATAGTTAAGATTTTTTTCCCCCTCCGTGAACCAGTTTTCGCCCCTGTGGGTGATATTGCCCACATTGAGAGTATACCTTCTAGAAGATGCTGCTCACTTGCTCTTCTCTCTTGCTCCAGTTAAATGCTCAGCTCGAGATGGAAGTAGAGCGACTTATAGTCCAAAACTATGCCATAGAACATCAGAAAACAATTATCCCCGATCCCACAGATGATGTCAGCCACTGGAGTCGCCTCAGACTGGCCAAGTGAGTAGTACCCTTCTGCGTTGCATTTGTTTCAAAGTGTAGTGGAGCAAGCATTGCTGCCCTCCAGAGTGCTCCCTGAAATGATGCTCGATGGTCCAGGAATGCAGTCCACTCACTTCATGTGTCTGCTGTCCTTTGGCATCCAGCTCACCAGACATGTTAAAGTCAGAAACCTCTGGTTTTGTCTGGTGGACAGGCCCAGTTTCAGGTCCATGAGGGCCCATGCTGAAGGTGTTTTGGGATAATGGCTGAAACAGCAGTGCGGACTTCTGGGGGTAGAGGTATCTTGTTCCTAGTCTCTATTCCAGGGACCATTAGTTGTTCTCAACTCCAGACAATAAATAGCATTGTGCACAGGAGATAGAACAGAGCCTCACACTTTCTCAAATTTGGAAAAAGTGACTGGTAAAGAACTCCTGTTAACCTTTTCAGGATCCAGCTGCCAGAGTATATCCTGGACTTCGGCCACATCATCCTTGGTGATGTCCGAACTCACATCATCAAGATCACCAACACCAATTACATCCCAGTGTCCTTCCATGCAGAAAAGCGCATCCTTCACGACACAGGTAATCAGGCTTGAGAGACCCTTTCCCACTGCACCTGTTGTTTCTAACAAGGCTGTCTGCACTGTCTTTCTGGACTAGAGTGTGTGTTTCTTCTGGGATCAGCTGAAAAAATCATTGGGCCATTAATTGATTCTTTGAGTGGTTATCCTGCCCAAGAGGGGCTCTCGAAAGCAGCTCTTATTTGCTATTTCTCTTTCTCACAAAGAAATTTTGTTTGTCTTGGTTCAGGCTTTAGTACTGAGTTAGATCGTGTAAAGAATCTACCTTACTGTGAAACAGAAACATTTGAAGTGAGATTTGACACACAAGGGACCAATCTTTCTGTTGGAAACAAAGAGGTCATTCTGCCCATCAAGGTAAGATGCACTGCTGGGCCCCGCCGACCCTCCCCACCTCCCAGCTCTGCTACTTGTTCACCTGGCATGATCCAGTTACTATTTCAGAGCTGCAATTCTTCCGCCAGCCCTATGCCACATGCTAACAGCAATTTTATGCCACTCTAGGTGGTTGGGGGGCCAACAGTTCACATCTGTCTGCAAGCCAAGGTGACCATTCCCACTATGACTCTGTCCTGTGAAAAAGTGGAGTTTGCCACGATTCAGTGTGGACAGTGCCTTGTTGAAACTATTCAGCTTTCCAATCATCTTCAAGTTCCTTGCGAATGGTTTGTCCAGAGCAATAAGCCATGTAACAAGGTAAGTGAGTGTGGCCCACTGGTCCCCTTTTTTCCATCTCCATTACAGCCATATTTGTCATTCTAGGCAGCCATTCTCGTCATTTCATTCTCCTTCTCAGACTTTCATTGGCAACCGTTGCCTCCTCAATAAAATGTAGTCCTGTAGCCCAGCATTTGAGGATCTGTTAGGCCATGCTCTCTGCTGAATGTCTTATTCATCTTTGTTCCCCTGGTACCTACACATTCCTTGATATCTGAGAGGTACTCACTAAGTGTAGGCTGAATGAGTAGAGGATGGAATAAGTCCATTTTCCATAGAGGATGATCTGACTGTCTAATATTTATTAACCAGCTGGAGAAACACATGCCAAAGTACTTAAGACAGAAACTACGTGCTGAATTAAAACCAAAGACACGGATCTTTGAGATCCAGCCTGCTTCTGGGGTCTTGGATCCTGGTGAAAGATCCAACGTGCAAGTGAAATTCATGCCCAAAGAAGAGGTAAGCTGCAAAGAAATGTGATTCCATTCAGACTCTCTGAGTCTCTTTGAGCTTAACTCAAAGTCCATGCTTCATTGGGTCTCCAGAGAAGCTTTGAGTGACCTGTGCCTCCATATTCTGAGCATGACACCTCAAGTGCTTGTGGTTCTGGTAGGAGCTACGTGGGCCTGGTGGTTAAGAGCACCAGCTCTGGAATCAGCATGTCTATCTAGAGGCTGTGTGGCTTTGAGCAAATTACTTAACCACACTCAACTTCAGTTGGTTCATAGATAAAATGAAAAATTATAATAATACATGTCAAAAAATTTCTTACTGCAATCCTGACATTCAGTAAGCTCCTAAAACTGGAAACAAATTTCATAAGGTTCAGACCCAACCTCGTTTGGGAGAAAAACTTCACCTGAACAAAAATGAGATTATTTAACCTTTATTTATCCTACTTAGTTTGCAGAGTCAAACACTGCATCTGCAGAAATATTAATACGTGTGATTCCAGGGGACCTGCTTCAGACCCTGCTGAGCCTATTAGGTGACACAGGGTATTTGTACTCTGTTTACCTTTTTGAAGGTCTCAATTTGAACGTATCTGGCCCCCAGTGTTACAGGTAAAACATTATCAACTGCAATAGCTATTTCCTAGGGTCATGTTGAAGGATAACTAAATTAATGTGAATAAAATGCACAGCATACTGCCCTATTGGTAGTAAGTGTCTCAGTAACTATTAACTATTATCAGTAGTAGTTTTGATAATAATAAGTACTTCCTGGCAGATGTACTCCCCAGGCCTCACAAACATTTCTTTTGTGAATACATCAGCACAAAGGCTACTTCTGACAAAGAACACAGTAGAAATAATAAAAACTTAAAGCCAGAGAGGATCTCAAAAGATTGCACTGTAAAGACTTTTGTTCAAAGCTTAAGGCACTTAGGAGACTTTTTTCTTTATTCTTTTAAAAGAATAAAGATGCAAGTTTTTAGACTACCAATGATTTCACTGGTAATGACTTTGAGGGAATGCTTAAGAATCTATAGTGAGAAGAAAGAAAAGTGAATAACTTCATGTCTGGTTCTAAAATAAAGTCCCTGGTTCTATTATTATAAAAATATCCCCAACACTTTTAAAAGAAAATAGAATTACTATGTTTTTCATTGTTAGAGAATGTCAGGGGTTTACTCATGATTTTGGGTATTTTATAGAATGAGGGAAATATCAGTAAATATAGTTTTTTTAAAATCTACTTGTTCAGGCAGTTTCCTAAAGGTTGAGTTGAAATTGGTCAAAGTTTTAAGAATGCTTCCACCAACTGGGAGAGGAATTTATTGGCTGTATACAGGGACTGGCTAGCCCTGCAGCCCATACGATCCACGCCTGTATCTCTAGGAGCAGCAGAGAAATCACCAATGTCCACACACACAACTCCTAGACATTCTAACGTGTGTTCAAAGTACTCCGTGTTAGATAACAAGGAAATGAATGAAATGTTTTAGCAAGATTTCCATAAAAAGCAATTAAAATGTAGAAGTTTGGATCATAAGTACTGCTTCCAATGGTAGGTATTTTTCTGTATATGTTCATCCGTCTGATTTCCCCCCTTGAGCTAAGATAGTCAGGAGCTCCTCAAATCATACAGCCATTCTTGGCCTCGAACCCCAAGCCAGGAGCCCAGCTGTATCAGAACAACCTAGGCATCTGGTTAAAAATGAAGAGTCCCCAGCCTTATCCTACCCCTATCAAGTCAGGATCTCTACGGATGGGACCTGTGAACATGCATCTTTAAACTGGTTCTCCAGTGAAACCAGAGTAGGGTCAGTGGCATCACCAGCCACTAGTTCTTGAATCATAATTGTGTCAGATGAATGAATGCTGTAACTGATTATCCATGACTTAACTATTTCTTCAAAAAATGGAAATATGTTCATTCAGTTACTTCAAGAAACAAACCTGGAGAAACTTTTGAATGCAAACAGATTTGTTGAGACGTGTGTGGAATACTGATAGAAACATAGAAAGTAGGAAGCTAACGGGGTGTGGGAGTGAGCCAGCTACCTCGGAGACTGGAGCTTAGTCCCACTGGAAACTCAGAAAATACACAAAATGCCCATTTTGGGATTATGCCTCCCCAGGAGTGAGGGAGCTGGGTCTTTACACAGTAACTACTGAGAGTCATTGATTGAGGACCACTACTAGGAGGCGTTACTTCTCTGGTGATCTGCCTTGCCCTGCTCTGCCCTGATGATGGATAGCAGGGCCCTCTTAATGAGAGCTCAGCGGTGCAGGCCCAGAGGAACAGAGAGTGGCAGTGGGACATCCGAGTGCACTGGAGGTCTGACGGGCATGAGCACGGCACTTGAAGGGCCTTCTCCAAGGGGTAAAGCATTGATACGGTGCCCAGCATGCTATAATAGATACACAGTATTGCTGCTATAATAGAAATTGCTCTCAATTTTATAAGAAAAGTTATTTCTTTTAATCTAAATAGGATCAATACTCCCCACTCCAGTAGTGGTCTTCACTTTTACACAGTGTGTAACAGAAAAAAATTCAGTGCTTGTTTTGTTTTTATGTTTTCTAGAAATTCTACAGCCAAACCCTGATGTTCCAGATTGTGCACAGTACTCAGAAGCTTATACTGCTGGCACAGGGGCGAGGTTTAGAGCCGCGCCTGGAGTTCAGTCCTTCAGTTCTGGAACTGGGGCCACTGCTGCCTTATGCACCCGGAGACGAGGCAGAGGTGGTGGTGAAAAACCCCTGTGATTTTCCCATTGAGTTTTACTCTTTAGAATTTGACCAGCAATATCTCATAGAAGAGAAGGTGAGCAGAGGTCAAAGCCAAACTCCATTTGACATAAAGATCACTTCGCAGCCTTTTCTAACCTACTTCCTTTGCCCTGAGCAGAATTCATTGCCTCTTTGTGATCTCATTATATATTTTACTCATTTAATTGAAAAATTAATACATGCTAATTGTTAAAATTCAAACAACTGAGAATGTACCCAGCAGTCATTACATTTGAAGAATGTTTCTTGTAGACAGCATATAATTGAATCTTTTTTTTATAAGATTTTATTTATTTTTTTGAGAGAGGGTAAGGTAGGGAGAAAGAGAGAGAAACATTGATGTGCAAGGGAAACATCAGTTGGTTGCCTCTCACATGTCCCCAACCAGAATCGAACTGCAACTCAGGCATATGCCCTGACTGGCAATTGAACCAGCTACTTTTCACTTTGTAGAACAATGTCCAACCAACTGAGCCACACCAGTTAGGGCTGAGTCTTTTTTAAAGTACACTCTGGCAGTCTCTGTCTTTAATTGGTATATTTAGACCATTTACATTTAATGTAATTATATTGGGGCTTAAATCTGCCATATTTTTTTTTGTTTGTTCTGGGCTCTATATTTTTCCAGTTGCTCCTTCATGTTTATTTTTTTTAACTTTATATTTTAGAGCAGTTTTAGTTCGCAGCAATATTGAGGGGATGGTACAGAGATTGGGATGTATCCCTTGCTCCCATACAACATAGGCTCCCTCATTAACAATATCCTTTCTAGAATGGTACATTTGCTGCAATTAATGGACCTACATTGACACATTATAATAACCCAAAGTCTATAGTACATTAAAGTTCACTGTTGATGTTATATGTTCTATGGATCTGGACAAATGAATGACATTATCCATCATTATACTGCCATACAGAGTAATTTCACTGCCCTAAAAATCCTCTGGGCTTGCCTTATTAATCTCCTCCTTCTCCCAGTTTATTAATCCCCTCCTTCTCCCAACCCCTAGTAACCTAGTAACCACTGACCTTTTTACTGTCTCCATAACGGGCTCTTTTCCAAGATGTCATGTAGTCATAAGCATGCAGTACTTAGCCTTTTCACATTGGCTTTTTTCACTTACTAATAGGCATTTACATTTCTTTCATGTCATTTTGTGACTTGATAGCTAATTTCTTTTGAGCACTGAGTAATAGTCCATTGTCTGGACGTACCACAATTTATTTATCCATTCACCAACTGAAAGACATCTTGGTTGCTTCCAAGTTTTTGCAAATTATGAGTAAAGTTGCTATAAAACCCATGCACAGGGTTTTGTGTAGACTTAAATTTTTGATTCCTTTTGATAAACACCAGGTGGCTTGATTGCTGGACTGTATGGTAAGAGTATGTTCAGTTTTATAAGAAACCACCAGCCTATCTTCCAAAGTTGTTGCACCATTTTGCATTCTCATCAGCAATAATTGAGAGTTCCTGTTACTCCTCATCCTCACCTGCATTTGATGTTGTCAGTGTTTTGGATTTTGGCAATTCTAACAGGTGTATAGTAGTATCTTGTTTTAGTTTACATTTCACTGATGACATAAGATGTGGATCATCTATTCATATGTTTATTTACCATCTGTATTTTTCTTTTTTTTTTTTGGTGAGGTATCTGTTTTCTTATCGTTGAGTTTTAAGAGGTTTGGGGATTTGGGGTTTGTTTGGTTTTTTTTTACATATTTTGAATAATAGTCCTTTGTCAGATGTGTCTTTTGCAAATATTTTCTCCCAGTCTGTGGTTTGTCTTCTCATTCTCTTAATAATCTCTTTGCAGAGCAGAAGTTTGTAATTTTGATGAAGTTTTGCTGTTCATGAAGTCTGATGCTTAGCTCTCCATTGTTTATTAATCTATTGCTGCAAAAAAAAAAATACCCCCAAGCTTAGCAACTTAAACGTTTGTTATCTCATGTTTTCTGTGGGTTAAGAATTTGGGAATGGCTTAGCTAAGGTGGCTCTGCTTCCTCAGGACCGTCCCCTGACTCAGTCTTTGAATCTTCTATTCTCTTTACCTCCAGTGTTTATGTTCTGCCCAATTTAAATTCTGCCTCCAGATATTTTTCTCCAAATGGGAATTGGTCCCTATGGAAGGGATTCTTTTCATTAGGTATTTATGAAGTTCTCAATGGCTTATGTTGGCACAGCATCCTCGGTTGTGAGTCAAGCTCAATGGAAGGCAGAATTTAAGACTCTTAGATTTGCATGTAGAGGTTTATCAGGGAGGCTCTCAGGAAAAATACCTGAAAAGAATAGAAAAGTAGAATTGGAGGAGATAAAGATGAACTGTGATGAGATTGCTGCAGAGACTTCAGCAGATGCCACTGGAAGCTCTGGAGCTGGATTGGCTCTTTAGAATTCAGCTGAGGCCATTTGGCCAAGGCTTTATGTCTCTGTACCAACCAGTCTTTGGGATATTCCTTCTTTTCCACACTGACCTCTGTTCTGTATCAAATCTTCATATATAAATGGGTCTATCCTAAGTTCTCTTCTATTTCATTGGTCAATTTGCCTGTTCCAACATCACCACCACCCTATTTATCACTCCAGCTTCATAAATCCTAGTACCTGACAGGGCAATCCTCTGCCTTTCTTCTTCGTGTGTGTGTGTGTGTGTGTGTGTGTGTGTGTGTGTGTGTGTTTTAACTATTCTTAGCCCCTTGTTCTTCCATATATATTTTAGAATGACCTTATTAACAGTGGTTTTCAAACAACTGAAAGTGATGATCCTGGAGAAAGATTATCTAACAAAACAGATTTTTCATATCAGTGGAGCCAACTATCCCTACCAGCACCTGCCAGCAGCAATAAATTGGGTCATACAGGACTTTATTTTACTGTATTTTATAAACATACATACACACTAGGGTTGCTACATTTAGTAGAAAGAAAAACAGTTTGCCTAGTTTAATTTGAATTTCAGATAAGCAACATTGGACATATTTATACTAAAAATTTATTCATTGTTTATCTGAAATACAGATTTAACTGGGGATCTCATATTTCATCTGACAAGCCTAATACACATTTTCCTCTACCTTTTCGTTCTCTCTCATATACATGCACATGTACTTAAAACCATTTTACTTGTTTTTCCCTGGATCCTCCGTTTATGAGACAACCATTTTACCTAGAATAATATGGCTAACCACTATATTTTAGCTATAGGAATGTGTCACTCAGAGTGGATAATGGAGTTCTGTACTTTTGTCAATGAAAAGCAAACAAAAAAAGTATATGTTATTTTTAAAAGAAGAAAAAATTCTCTTCCGCATGCTAAATGGTCAGGCTCAAATTGAAATAGAGAACCCACTCCCCCAGGTTCAGGGCTCAGCCTTGCCTTTAGACCCTCCAAAGGACCCTGCCCTTTGTGCACACCAGCCCCAGGCACGCTCAGGGGCTTCGCACGATGTATAAGCAGACCCACTGAGGACTGCGGGAGAAGCTTCCATTAGGCCAACAGCAGGTCCTACTCTCCTCGAACAGATCTTGCGGACGCTGAAGGGCTATGATTCCTACAACACCCTGCTGCTGCCGCCCCGCATCCCTGGAGAGAAGCTGCCCCCAGAAGTGTACGAGTACTTTAAGGAGATAAAGCAATCAAAAGAGGAGCAGATGAAGGCAAAATATCTGGAGACTCTGGCACAGGAGAATGGTAAGAACTCGTCCTAGGAGCCTGGCTCCTGCCACTGCCCTGGCTTCTTTGAATTGTCCCTTGTGCCAGGCAGGTGTGAGGTGCCTTATGCATTTTATTTCTAACCCTTACAAAGTAGCCTTATTATCCCCACTGCATGGAGGCACAGATGGGGACACATTCTGCTCTCACTGGAATCTAGTGGGGAGTTAAAACCAAAAAAGCTAATATAGATCTAAAACAGTTGCTAGATACCAGGCCCTGTGCTGAGGGCTCCACATACACAGGTGAGAAACTGAAGCACTGAGAGACCAGAATCAGGATTTAAGCCCAGGTCTCTCTGACTCCAGAGTCCATGACACTAACCACTCAGCTCCATGGCTTCCATGTGTATATCTGTGTAATGCACGGTCAGACATCATGTACAGTAGAAAACAGCGCACTCAGAGAGGTGGGAGTTCACACAAGGAAGAGGTCAGCCCTCCATGGTCCCCAAGCCAAACCCCCATCTTGAAGCTGGACTGTGCTCTCCTAATCTGGCCCTTTCTGGCCCAGCCAAGTGACCCCATCATCATCCTGGGCCTCCCTTGTGTGCACTTGAGCATGATTGTTCCTTGGAGACCTGTAGGATTCCGTGCCTTGTCATGGTGCACACTTCTCCTTCCTGCTGTTCTGTGCCCTCTTCGTGGACATGTGCCTCCCTGTTCTTCCTTGCTCTTCCTTGCTCTCTTCTGTGTAACAGTCATCACATGTGTAATTATTTTCTTCATACCTGTCTCCACCCCCAGACAAGAAGCCTCCATAAAGACAGTGGTCACATATTTCCCACTTGTAAACCCATTGCCTGGAGAAGCACCTGTTAAGTCCCTGTGCCCAATAAATATATACTGTAAGAGAGAATGAATGAATGAGTGAATGAATGAATGAATGAATGAATGAAATTAATTGAATGGAGCCCATTTCTCCTGCCCTTGGCCCTGTCTTGTCTCTCCAGGAACCTAGCCAGAGAAACTGGTTTACCCTAAAAGGAGAAGATGAGAGATGAAGGCTGCCTCTCCACCCAATCCCCTGTCATATTCATTGAGCACTATTAGTTTGCTAGAACTGCTATCACGCTGGGTCGCTTAACTAACAGAAATTTATTTTCTCACAATTCTGGAGATTAGAAGTCCAAGATCAAAATGTCAGCAGAGTCATTTTCTTCTGTACCTCCCTCCTTGGCTTGTAGATGGCTGTCTTTGCCCTGTGTTCACATGGTCTCCCTCTCTGAGTGTCTGTCTCTTAATCTCTTCACATACAAACACCAGTCATATTGGATTATGAATGGATTAGGATACCCATGTGACCTCATTTCAACTTAATTACCTCTTTAAAGGCCCTATCTTCAACTATAGTCACATTCTGAGGTACTGGGGAGTTAGGACTTCAACATATGAATTTTAAGGAAACCAATTAAGTCCATGACAAGCACCTGCTATGTTCCAGGCACTGAGCTAAAGTGCTAGGGAAAAGAAAAGATGAATGAAACAAGCCCCTGCCTTTGAGAGATCACAGTCAGGAAGCGGGTGGAGGGAACGACATTTCAACTCAGAACAGCCTGGCAGGCGAGGCAGAGAGCTATGAGAGGCTGTGATGTACAAAGGATGTCCTGAAGTCAGGGAAGGGCCCTGCCACTCTCATCCTCATTGAACGCTACAGCTGTGGGTCCTTTATCCATTTGGCCAATGGAAAGATGGTGTAGGTGCAGGAATGTCCAACCTTTTGGCATCTTTGGGCCACACAGGCCTTGGGCCACACATTAAGTACTTTGTGATATATAATCACAAAAAAATTTCATAATGTTTTAAATAAATTTACAATTTTGTGTTGCCCCGCATTCATAGCCATCCTGGGCCTCATGTGGCCTGTGGGCCACAGGTTGGACACCCCTGGCAGAGCCAAGACTAGAGGGACCAGAGGGAGCCCAGTAAGGCAGACACTGCTTCTCCAGGCACCTGCTCGCTCTGCGCTCTCACACTGCAGACCATCCCTGTCCTCTTCCCACCCCACGCCCAGAAGGCCGCAGTCCCAAGTTACATCACCACCTTCATAAGAGGCCTGCAGCCTCTCCAGCTCAAATCCAAATCCTCAACAAAGAGGATGTCTTGGCCCTGGGGTAGTGGGGGGTCAATTTATACAATCACAGCCCTTCTACATACCCATTGACACTCTGCAGGGTAGGGGCGCTGGGGAGGGAGCCGGGCAGACAAAAGGGTAGATATGCTTAACAATAACATGCAGAAATGTTCGTGATATACTAAGAGGGAAATCAGGTATACAAATTGGGATGTACACATTTGGTTTTGAAAAATTAAAAATATGAGAGGTTGCTAACTCTTGTGTGGTATCGTAAAATTAAGCTGCAATTCCTCTGTCACTATTTCTTTATCTGTATCTCCTTTGGCAGCTGAATTTTATAATCTATAGCTCTTTTAAACTTTCTGGAGCAATAATTTTGGATTTTTTTATGTTGAAATGTAGAAACACTCTGGGCAGAGAAATTCACTGCAGTTCTTGTTTGAGTTGGATAGTCCAGGGTGATGGTGATCAGCTCAGTGATTCTCCTCTTTGTCTCTTTTTCCTTTCCTGCCCCAAACCTCCCCTGCCCCACCCCCAACTCTTCCCTGAGTTTTTCTCCTTGCTTTCTGGCAGAAGACGAAGATATGCCCTTGTTGGACCAGGGAGCCTCCACCAGCTTGAAGAGGGCCTCAATTAGCCACGGCATCTCTGTCCTATCTGACCTGGGGGAGCAGAACGAGTTCAAGACCAACCTCTATGAAGAGGACGATGAGGACAGCCTGGAAAAAATCATGTTTCAAAGTAACCAAGCATCTTAATGTTCTGGTGCCAGTTTTCTCTAAGCAGAAGTGGGAAGAGTGTTCAATGCCTTTTCACTGACCTCCATGAAATACATCATCCAAACTTTCTAGCACAACTGTGTATTAATTCTAAAACATGAATATGTCATTTATTTAGTTGTTTCCCTTAATGTTGCAAACTCAGCTAATTTCCAACATTATTTTTCAGAAGAAAAGATCCCCCAAAATGGAATTGAGAGTCAAAGAGTATCTGTATTTGCAATCCTAGTAGCTGAGGGCAAATATGGGCTTAAAAAGGCCCTCTCATACAATACAAGGGGGTATGAGGGATGCAGCAGATTATGTGTGTCATTTTCAAACAATGTTAAAAAAGCCATTCCCATTTCCATGAGAACCCATGTGAACTCCATGTGTCCACGTACATGCACATGGGCACACACACACACACACACGTTTTTAATTTGCAGCTGACAAAATACAGAGCACTGACAGCCACTCCTCAGAGGATGTTGGAGAAGTAGAGAACAACCCAGTGAGCAAGGCAATCGCTCGCTACCTGGGCCTTGATATTTCTGCAGAAGGAAACATAGCCAAGAACCAGAAAGGCATTGCCATTATCATCCATGGGACACCCTTGTCAGGTATGCTACAACTCTAAGGGGTTGCCCCTTTTGGGTTCATGGTGAAACTTGCATGTGTAATTTTGAGGCCATTAGACTTTTTTTGTTTGAAATTTATATATCAAAGGATTTTCCCCAAACTGTTAAATTGCCAGCCTCAGAGACAAGGGATTAGAGAAAGAGCAGGGATACCTCATTTTTAATTAATATATCTGTGAATTATTTGAGCTTGTATTCTTTCTATTATATTATTTAAAAATAGAGGGGGAAAATATGTGCAAATGCTTTGACCAAATGCTTTGACCTGGCAATATTGCTTCTAAAATTTTATCTTAGAAAATTAATGATGTGGACAAAGATTAACAACATGATGTTCACTGCAACATTATTTACCATAATAAAAAACTGAGAGCAGTTGAAGCATTCATTATGGGAGACTGGTTAATTAAGCCATAGCACATTCACATAGTGAATTATTGTCACCTTTAAAAACAGCATCTTGTACATCCATGTTCATAGCAGCATTGTTAACAATAGACAAAAGGCAGAAACAGCCCAAATGTCCTTGACAAATGGCTAAATACACAAAATGTGGTTCAGTGGAGTAGTATTCAACCTTAAAAAGGAAGAAAATTCTGATACATACTACAACACAAATGAACCCTGAAGACATTGAGCTAAGGGGAATAGGCCATATACAAAACAACAGTCACTGGATCGTTCCAGTTATATGAGGTGCCTAGAATAGTCAAATTCATAGAACAGAAAGTGGAGTGGTGGTTTCCAGGGACTGGGGACTGCGGAATGAGGTATTATTATTTAATGGATACAGAGTTTCCATTTGGGAAGAGAGAAAAAGTGCTGGTGACAGTTACACACGATGTGAATACACTTATGCAACTGAACTGTACACTCAAAAGTGGTTAAAATGGTAAATTTTGTATGTATATTACCACCATTTAAAAACAAAAACAAACAGTGTCATAGAAGTGTACTGAATGAATAGAAAGATGTTCAGGATATATTGTTTTAAGTGAGAAAAAATGTCATACTTATTGGGACTCTGTATTGTTACTGTTAACAAATAACCACAAACTTAGTGGTGTAAAAGAATGCAAACTTGCTTCCTCACGCTTCTGGAGGTCAGAAGTCTCAAATGGGCCAACGAGGCTCCATTTCTGGGGGAGGATCTAAGGGAGAACCCATTTCCTTTACCTTCTCTAGCCTCTAGACATTTGCCTTCATCCCTTGGCTCATAGCCTCTTCCCCCATCTCCAAAGCCAGCATCGTAGCTGGCATCTTCCAGTCTCTCTCTCCTTGCTGTCATCATCATAGCACCTGCCCTGACTCTTACCCTCCCGCTTCTCTCTTGTGAGGACCCTTGTGATTACATTGGGCCCACCCAGATAATTCAGGAGAGTCTCCTCATAGCAAGATCTCTGACTTAATCACACCTCCTAAATCCTTTTACTGTATAAGGTAACCTATTCACAAGTTCCAGGGATTAGGGTGTAGACATCATCGAGGGGTCATTATTCGGCCTGCCATGTAACCCATTTCTTTTTTGTGTAAGAAATATAAATAAAATAATTACATATGCATACTTAACAACCGTATGCAAAAATCTCTCTGGATGAGCAGATTATGGGTTTCTTTTTCTTTTCTCCTATGTTATTTCTGAATTTTCTGCTTTCTTTTTAATGATCCGGTATTTTGAAATGAGAAAAAAATCAGCACGTTATTCTTTAAACCAAAAATGTATTTCTATTAGAATCAGAGACCATAAGAATCATAAGATTTTTTGAAGATGAGCCGATAGAATCACTTTTTAAACTGACGAGAAAATCCAGAGGGGATGTGTGTTGCCACAGCACACCGCCCATCGGTGGCAGAATCCACGTCCTGACTCATGCCGTGGGTCTCTCTGCTTAAAGGCAAAGCACCTGGAAAGATCATTTTACGGGCACCTCTGTTGTAGAAGCTTCTGGCTAGACCACTGAGTAAATGAAAACCATGCAATTCAGCTCCCTGACTCTTTTCGTAGGAAAGTCAGCCACGGCAGTCAGCATTGCCAAGTACTACAACGTGGCCTGCTTGAACATCGACTCCATCGTGCTGGAAGCCATTTCCGACAGCACCATCCCAGGGCTCCGGGCCCGTGAGCTCTGCATCAGGGCTGCCATAGAGCAGTCCATAAAGGAAGGAGAGGAGTCTGGTAAGAGCCGTTTCCCCTGATGTTTTGTGGGCAAGTGGCCAGCACCCCCACTGGTAATACCCATCGCCTCCCTTCCCCCACTGAGCTTTCCTCCCACAGCTCAGCTGAAGGCTGCCTTATAACATGCTGCTAGCTTAGTAGCCTGGAGAAAAATTCTCTTCACCCAGTATCTATGGCTTTCCTGGCTGCCCAATACTGGCACGCACGTGGCACTTCAGGGAACAGGACATTGAATAACAAGTGGTCCTTACCTTTGGGGAGGTGATACCTGGAGAGGAGCAGACGTGTTCTCTTTCAAAGCAGAGGGAAATAATGCAACAGGAGTACTGGCTCTGTGAAGAAGTGAGTTTGGGGTGATTGGGTGCCAACAAGTATGATTTGAGGAAGTTTTCATGGAAGTGGCCTTTGAAGGAGCACAACAATATTGATAGGTGAAGCTGAAAACAAGGACATTCCTAACAGAGAAAGTAGGGAAGCTGACAGTAAATTAGAGGTGGGAGGGCAGCTTGAGGCCAGTTGTAGTTGACCTTGATGCCAAAATTAGGAATTTAGATTGTATTTTGAAGGAAAAGAGTTGGGTAGTTTCTGCCCTAAGAGAGAAATGGTCAGAAAGTAGCTCTTGTAATGTCTTGTAAAGGAAGCTAACGGTGAACAGGCCTGGACAAGCTGACCAGGCGACCATCAGCGTAGCGGAGAGTTGAAGGAGCAGGAGGCATTCAAGATGCTCACACCGAGATCACTATACTCAGAAACCAGGAAAAGAGTGATGTGATTTAGCAAGACAGGGAATATGGGATGAGGAGAAAGTTTTCTGGAGAGGAAAATTGAGTTTTGGAATCCCACAGAAGTGAGGCCTGGTGTGGCCTGCCCACCAGAGGTCAAGAGTCCTGGCTGTGTCAGGTCACCGAAGGGCCTCTGGTTCAGGAGAATGGCTGCTCAGTTGGAAATATGTTGAAACAGAGTGACTGAGAGCTGAATTACTTTTATAGAAATATTTATAACAGCATGGCATCACACCTAATAGTGTGCCATGCCTGCTAGTTGATAAAACTGGCTGGGGCTTTCAGGCGTGTCCCTTCCCCTCAATACCTCTTCACAGAGTGCTTAGGGAAATGAAAGATTCTTTGCTTAGAAGATAAGAGAAGTAGCTCTTTAGTCATATAGGGGAGGAAAAATAATTTTCCCTCTACCCTTCTGAGTATCTCAGCTGAGACTCTTATTAAAAAAAAAAAAAAACAGATTAACAAGAGAAAACACAAGTCTACTAACATGTATACTTCACGTATACATGGGAGATATTTGGGGGAAAATGAGTAACTCCAAGATGGCTTTAGAATTCAGAATTAAATACCAGCTTTAAAGGGAAAGGAGGGGAGGCATGTAGTCCTCTTAAGGGAGCAAATGATTTTTAGGAATGATGAATGAACCTTAGGAAAATGGAGGGAAGGTGTGATAGTTTGTCTGGGTGTGCTGTTGGCTTCAGTCTCCTCTCCTGTGGTAAGAGTCCATCTTCTCTGGTTGATGAAACTCCCAGAAAGTGAATTTGTGGCAGTTTGAGTTCCTTTTGCAAGCCTGTCTTTAGGCAAATAGGGGAAGTTCAGAGAAAGCCTCTTGGTGCATTTGCTGCGTTTCAAGTGCCTACAGCTCGACATAATCAGTTTACCCCAGCAGCATAATTTCAGATGCCATGTCCTGAAACTCCTTTGAAATATTTTTGGGTGGCATATTCTGCTTGGGAACCCCAAGCTAAATTATAATCCTGGTTCTCTTAGATTTTTGTTTCATTTTCTGTCAAATAAACTACATTTCACTGAAGTCTTTGGAGGTGTGTTGATGTCCTGTGACAAATCGTGAATTTGAGCTCCCCATCTGAAAATGTAATGTCAATCTAAAGGCATAACTAGGGGAATCTCCCTGAACAAAGTAACAGGTGTAGCCAGTGAAGTAGAGGAAATCATCCCAGAAAGTTCCAGAAAGAAAGGAGTGGGATGGTCAGGGTGAGATGGACAGAGCAGGATGAGACCTTGGGGAAAACTTACATTTTAGGAGGAGGTTGTGGAGGAGAAGCCAAAGGGAGGCTGAGAGGCAGAGCGGGTGTCCGGGGGTGGGCAATCAGGAGAGCAGGGAGCAGGGATGTCAAGGTGAGAAAAAGATGCAGGAGGGAGAGGGACGAGAAGGGCTTTCAGGTCTCTGCAGAGCCCTGTGGAATCCAGGCACCTTTTCAGCTTGACTCCACATTATTTTCCTGGTAGCCCTTATCACTAGTTAACATACTATTTCGTTTACCTATTTTATCATCTCTCTCCCCTCACTAGAATGTAAGCTTCTGAGGGCAGAGATTTGTGTTAGTTTTCTTCACTAATGTATTCCCAGGGCCTAGAATAGTGCCTGGCACGCAGTAGATGCAGAGTAAAGATTTATTTTTAAAAATGTATTGAATCACTAAAGGGACATAATTGGAAATTGCTGAAAATTCTAATAGAATGAACCCTGAGAAGAGGACCAATGTAGTTCACAGTTCAGAGGTCACTGGTGACTCTAAAGAAAACCCTTTTAATGGAGAGTTAAGTCCAAACGCACATTTACAGCTTACCCTGGTGTTGGCAGGCTGTACTGGACAGGAAGTGATAAATCTAAACCTGCCTGTCCCATACAGAACCCACTGGCTGCATGAAACGTGGCTAGTCCAAATTGAGATGCATCGTAAGTATACAATACATGCTGGATTTTGAAGATGTAGTATGACTAAAAGACTGTAAAATAACACAGTAAAAATTTTATATATTTTATTTTATTTATAGTTTATTTTCTATTATTTTAATTAGGTTACATTTGTATTCTTTTATCTATTTTATGTTTGATCACTTTTATATATTTTATATATTGGGTTAAATAAAATATACTATTGAAATCAATTTGTACTTTTTTAATACGGCTAACTACAACATTTTAAATTACATGCATATGCGGCTCATATTATGTGCCTACTGGACAGAGCTACTCTAGACCACTGTTTTTAGAAATTGGGCAGTGGAGGAAAGAGAAGAAAATGAAGTGATATCTTGAAAGAAATAAAATATTAAATTAAAGCTTTTGTTAGTTTGTATCAGAAAGAACTGGCCCTTTAAGATACAGAGGAATGATGCTATGGACAAGGGAAAGTGGAAGCGTAAGGAGAGCACAGAAGAGAATCCATAGGACCCAGTGAAGGCGAGGATGGGTCAGGGCAGAGCAGGGCTCACGGTGAAGTGAGCAGGTTGGGGTGGCAGGAGGCTGGGGTGTCATTATCAAAGCAGAGCCTGGAGGGACTGTGGGTGATTGGGCCTGGACACACATAGGACCATGCAGGTGTATAATTGGAGCAGAACTTGGGTACAACTACTCCAGGGATGTCATCAGACACTTTGCCCACCCAACCCCCCCCAATCCTCCCAGGTGCTTTATGAAGTCCTTGTGTCTATAATGAGGTACCAGGGGAGGGGAGGAGGAAGCCACATGAAAAGATAAAGCAAAGTACAGTGAGACCTCTCAAAGAGAATCCTCAAGGGTTTATGAGGGAGAACCCACCCCAGTAAACGGAATTATCTTCTGGAGGTCATGCCCCTGGTAGTACAGGTTTCCCCTGCTAAGTGAGTGTTCTAGGGACCCATCTGTGTCAGTGCACCAGCTGGCATTGTCATGAGAGACTGCATTCGGCTTCAGTGAATTTTTTTTAAAGACTCTTTCAGAGTGTTTGCCCATTTCATGATGGGTGATTTATGAGCGCACCTGCCCACACTGTGCTGAGTGTTCAGCAGTTTTTGACCAAAAATAGCAGGACCCCTGTGCTCCACCCTCCGTATTCACCTGACCTCACCCCAAGCAACATTTTTTTGTTTCCCTGGATGAAGAAAAGTCCTCAAAGGGAAACATTTTGCTGATGTGGAAGAGGTGAAACAAAAAACAGCAAAAGCACTAAAAGGCATCAAAACCAACAAGTTTAAAAACTGTTTTGAGCAGTGGAAAAAACATCTCAGTAGGTGTTTTGCATCAAATGGAGAGTACTTTGAAGGTGACTAAAGTTTAAACATGCAAGAATAAATAAACAATTTTTCATAATAAATTCTGGGGTTTTGGAGGTCAACAAGGAGCAATAACATGAGTAACAAGTCTGCCTGAGAGCTAGAGAAACACGGAATCTGCCAAGCATACAGCCCCATCACCACATCTTAGGGCCCCAACAGCATCTGCTAGACCCCCATTCTCCTTCAGGTGCAGGTAGTTCATCCTTATAGAGTTGGAAACCCAGGGGACACAGTGAGACAGGACTGGCCATTGTGGTTGGGAGACTAAGAGGGGCAGGAGTTTGTCATAAAGGCCCAAGGCACAATAACAAGAGTTTCTCTGAACAGCTGTCGTGGAAACACTTTTAAATAATTATATCAGCCACTGATTCTGCAAGGGAACTTCTCAGTGGGTGGGAGTGCTTAGGGGTGGCAATCTGCTTGGGAGGAAGGACAGAGGTATAACAAAGAAATTAATATTAAATTCCTGTTTACCAACGGGCATGTTGTTATTGATCAGCCGATTTGTTCATTTGGGCAGTTCTTGTGTGGAAGCAAGAATGAATGCCCTACCCAAGCTACCCGTTGGCATCTCTGCAGCCTAGACCCACAAAAGGTCAAGTGTTAGGTTCCCAGGGCAGGGCTGTAATATACCAGCCGTTTCAGAAATACTTGCCCTCAGGACTGGAAGAAAAAGTGAGGCAGATTGATGTGGGATCTGAGCAGTGAAAAGCACGGGACTCCAGGCCAGGCTCTCCGCGGAGTCATGGTCATCCAGTCCTCAATGGGCAGAACCTCTTCCCTCAGCCCCACTCCGCCATCCCCACTGTTATTTCCTTATCCGATGGCGTCTTTTAATATAAACCCCCTCTCTCTGTGTAGCCCAGGAGATTGCTTCGAACCAAATTGCCATTGGGCAGGTACAACTGAGCACTGAGGCCCTGGGCAAGTTAACCTCAGAATCCGCTTTGGTAATCCCAGAAATAAAATCTGCAAAGCCTGTGCGTGGGAGCGTGCTGGTTGTCAAAAGCAAGGCAGAGAGCCACGGCTCTGGGTCTCAGAAGCAGCATCATCAGCACTCATCCGAAACACCACAGGTACACGTCAAGTTTTCCCAGAAGGAGACCTGGGGTCCTTTCTCCTCCCCGCCTTCCTCAGCATCCTGCAGCCAGGTCAGCACAACTCCACTCCCATGGGTGCCCTTGCCAGGCAGCCCTGAGCACTGCCCCCACGCTCAGAGAAAGTCCGAGAGTTTGAGCCAGAGATTTTGAGAATAATCTCTGCAGAGCAGCAGGTGCTGAAGCCAAAGACAGCAGCGATGGCCTTGTCCTCCCACCACCCGATCTCCCCGGCAGCCTGCCTCCTAGCCCAGTGTCCTGCCCTCCCTGCCGCTGAGCGACTGCTTCTGCAGCTGGACCCCACCCCTTCCCTTTGACTCAGGACCTAAATTCCTTCAACTGTCTCCTCCCTCTACCATTTGGTTTTTTCCCCCCACTGTCTGTTGGATTCTTCCCATCCGCATCTAGGCGTGCTTTACTACCTCCCATCTTTAAAAAATATTTTCCCACAACCCCAGGCTCCTCTCCAGCTATTACCTCATCTTTCTACTTCTCTCCAAAGAATTGCTGCATGATCGTCTCCTCGGCCTCACCACCGTTCTCCCTCCGCCTGTTCCAATGAGGCCTTCGTCCTCCCCACAGCGCTGGCTGCTCTCCTCAAGGTCATTGGCGTTCATCTTGCCAAATCCAGTGGCCAGTTGTTGGTCCTCATCTTACATGATATCTTGGCAGCTGATAACCCCTCCTCCTGGAAAGGCTTTCCTCCCTTCGCTTTCAGAACACCATGCTCTTCCGCTTTCCCTGTAGCTCGTTAGCGACCCCTCCCCTCCTCCAGTGCCTCCACCTTCAGGCACCTAGTGTTTAGAGCTGGCTAGGACTGAGTCAGCTACCTTTTCTTTCTGGGATCCACCTTTTCTTTATATAGGTGATCTAATCCAGTTCATTAGTTAAATACTTAAATATTTTCTTCATATATTTAAGTGTTTTCTTAAATATTTACATAAAATATTAAAATACCTAAGTATTTTCATTTTGCTTATAACCTCGAATTTATATCTCCAGCCCTAGTTTCTCCCCAAGCATAGGTTCATACACCCAAATCACATTCAATATCCCTATCAAATGGCTTAGACATCTCAAAATGTATCTGTCCAAAAAGCGGTCCTTGCACCATCCCCCCAAATAAGAAAACAATACAAAATGTTGTTCTTTCCTCCTTCTTACCTTTCTTAATAAATAACTTCACCATTTTTCACCTTGCTCAGATCAAAACTCAAGGAGTCATTATTGATGCCTCTCCTTCTTTCACATCCCATCTCAAATCCTGTTGGCTCTGCCTCCAAAATCCATCCATTATCAGCTACTTCACCTTCACCACAACCGTCTCCAACCCTGCTGCCATCATCTCCTGCCTTGACCACGAAATACCTAACTCACCAGTCTCCTTGCTTCCCCTCCTGTTACCTCATGCAGCAGGTAGAATGCTCTCCTAAAAATCAAGGTCTGATCCTTCACCTAAAACATGCCAACAACTTCCTATAACACTTGAAATCAAATCCCTCACCTTGGCCGACAAGCCCTGCATATTCTGGCCTGACTAGGTGTTTGAATCTAAGCCTGTCCAGCTTTCCCTTTGCTCACTCACTTCCCGTCACACTGGGCTCCCACGTGCTCCCCAAATAACCACAAGTGTACGAGTGTTGTGGAGCTTGCTCTTCCCTCTCAGAGAGACTCTTCTCTCAGGATTTTGTCTCGCTCTTTCATATTGCTCAAGTAATGTGAATAGCTTTCAAAGTAGCTATTGTCCAACTCTGTCATTGCTCTTTATTCCCATACCTGATCATTTTCTCTCTGGCACTCATTACTATCTAAAATTGTATTATTGATTTGCATATTCATCTGCCCCTCTTCTGTCTCCCCGACTTGAATGTTAAGGACCACACTGGCAGCAACATTGCCAGACTTGTGTGTTGTTCTGTCCCTAGTACTGGAGTGGACCCTGGTGCATAGTAGGCGCTCAGTGAATATTTGTTGAATGAATGAACAAATGGATGGGTGCTGTTCAGTATGTACACAAAGCACCTCCCACAGTGTTCCCATTTGAAGCTTATAGCAATTTTTTAAGGAAGATAAGAATATTCCATTTTATATAATAGTCCCCATTTTACAGATGAGGAAATGGGGCCCAGAGAGATTATATGATTTTCCCGAGGTCACCATGGCTTATATGTGTAGGAGTTGTTGAGACATCAAGCTGGATTTTCTAACTCCTGATCCTTCTCCCACTCAGCAGGTTTCCTCCAGTCCTCTCCCCTCAGGGCCAACACCACGCCGGCTCAGTGTCAGCCCCAGTATCGCAGGTGACACCGGGCTCCTGAGCTGTGTGCTGCCTGAGGAACTACTCACTCAGATCCTGTCTGAACGTATACAGGTGCGTCCACAATCACCCTTATGAGTTGGGGGCTCACACACCTTCCCCATGCTGTGCTCAGACTCTGAGCCATCCCCCACCAACAGCAGCTTAGAACCCAGGGGCCTTGGAGAGGAAAGACAGGTTTCCTCACCCTCACAAGTCATGTACTTGCCCTTTTGACAGCCCTTGTCAGCCCCTAACCCCACTGGCTCAGTCTGCGGGAAGCTACTCACCTTAAAGGACCAGTGATCAGAAGGTTGCACATTCAAAAAGCAAAGAACAAAAACAAAAGAGTCATGGCACAGACTATAGTGGTGTTTTTAAAACTATAAGGAAGAGACATTAGGAGTTAGAATTTGGAGACCTCTTAATTGCTGTAAAAATGTTTTTAGTATGTCATTAAGCAAGAAAAAAAGATTATGTACTTTATGATTTCACTTATACGTGGGATCTAAAGAATAAAATATACAAACAAAACAGAAACAGACCCATAGGAATAGAGGGCAAACTGATGGTTGCCAGTGGGAAGGCGGTTGGGAGACTGAATGTAAGAGGTGGAGGGATTGAGAAGTACAGATTGGCAGTTACAAAACAGTCATGGGGATGTGAAGTACAGCAGAGGGAATACAGTTAATAATATTGGAATGACTGTGTGTGGTGCCACTTGGGTACTAGAAGTGCCCCATAGGGAGATCACTTTGTAAATTATATAAATGTCTAACCACTATGCTGTACATCTGAAACGAGTAAAAATAATATTGAATGTCAACTGTAATTGAAAAACTAAAAGAGAAAGAAAAGCAGATTATGAAATAGTATGTAAACACAATTCCTATAAAAAACTTATAAATGTATATTATACCCATAGTAAAAACTCAAAGTACTTATAAACTCTAGTTATCTTTGGGTAATTATAGATTTTTAGTCTTCATTTCTGAATTATTTTAAAATAACATATTGCTTTTAAAGTCAGAAACATGATAACTGTTTTCATTTTTTTTAATTTTCATGTGTTATACAATTAAAGATCAGTAGGATTTGGGAGGGTGCCACTTAAGCCTATTTGCTGCTTGTGGCTTACAGAGAGCTAAGCTGCTCAAAATGCCCAACAACTGTATGTTTACTATGGTTTTTGCAAACTGGAACACTGTATTAATTGCATATTTAATATAATAAAGTTAGACTTGAGGTTCCCAGACAGAAGGCATGTCATCACCGGAAACCATTTATGTAACGAACTACCATGTTAAAGGTACCATCACTCTTAACTGATTTGAGCAAGGTGGTCCGATGAGTGGGGAGGTGTTTCATGAACCCAGATAAAAGGCTAAGAATCACTGGAAAAGCCCAAAGGAAGACCATGGAGGTATGCTACTCAAAGTACTGGTCTTTATTGAGATACAGAGCTTGCACTGCTTCCTGCATCAACAAAGTCTTGCTACAAAGAAAAAAACAAAAACAAAAAAGCAGCAGAACTGAACTAGGTAGTGCATTTAGTGATGTCATTGATTTACATTCTAACACAAGAGTCATGTCTCATCAGACACTGGTAGTAATCAGTCCTTGGCCTGTGGTGGCCAGTCTGTGCACCACACTTTGAGTAACGGTGTAGTACAGCAGAGGCTGCTCTTCAATGGCTAGTATTATCAAAACCATTATACTCCAAGGCAGTAATACCACTAAGAAAGATACAAATGGCCTATCTGCTACCTCGGTCCTTGCTGCCTATTACCCTGTACATAAAGCCATCTTTCCTTTGCCTCTTTCTTCCCTGTATCTCCTGGATCTTCCCAGACCCTTACTCTAACATTTAGTTTTCTTTATTTCTATAAAAGTAGAATAAATCCTTTACTCTACAAGATCTTCCATGACTGATCAAGTATTTTTAATTCCCTTCTTTATAACAACACCTTGAATTTAGCAGATAGTTTAATTGTATTTTCATAAGGTAGCGCCAGTAAAAGCACTGCAGCTCCAGTAAAAGCACCGACAGAACAAGTTGCTTTAGAGAGAACAGATGGCCCTGTGGCCATGGTAACTGCTTTTGCTTTCTCTGGTTTCAGCTGAGTGACTGCTACCGAGGGGTGGTGTTTGATGGCCTCGAGACACTCTTTGCTCGGAACGCGGCTATTGCCCTCCTCTGCCTCCTGAAGGCCATTGGCAACCGGGAGCACATCTACGTTCTCAACATGGCCCAGGATTACATAGCCATGAAGGCCCAGGAGAAAGCCAAAAGGGAGCAAGAAGGCAAGGCCCCCTACCCTCCTAGACTGTCCTGCACAGGTCCTACCAGGCCTTTCCTTTAAACAGAGCTTTTGCCTTTTAAAATGCTTCAGTGCCTTCATAACCCATTGAGCTTCAATGAAACTATTACAGTTGCCATCTCCTTGGAGCCCCACCTCTGCCCCGGGCAGTGGCTGGGAATTCCTGTTTTCTTCTACTTTGCAAGCGAGGGAACTGAGACAGAAAGGACCTGTTGAGAGATTACAGAATGAAGGGTGAACTCAGCTCTTCTGGCAGCAGACACATTCCTCTTTCCCCCAGTATCACAGTATTCACAACCATCTTCTCTGGAATTACAGCTGACCTGAGGGGAACACATCACAGGTCCCCCAGCTTGACCCAGGTGGCCACAAGCCAACTGTGAATTTCCTGTAAAACTAGAGGTGCTGCTAAACTTTACAAAACAACTTCTACATTTTAGCCTACTGTATACCAGGCACTGCAGCAGACCTTTTGTACACTTTAGATGTTTTTAAATGGCACATTGTCCCCATTTCACAGATGAGGAAAATGAGGCTTGGGGACATCAAAAGTCTTAATTAAGATCACAGGTCAAATTAGTAATTTCAGTATAACTCTAAGGCCTTTGCCTTTTTTTTTTTTTTTTTTTTTTCCTGTCATTAAACCAGTGGCCTGGAAAATTTTTTCACTGATTTGAAAAATAGATGCACACGCACAGAATAATATTAAGTAATAAGTTCCCAGTTTAGTCAGAAGCAGACCTAGCAAATTTTGGCCCCCAAGTGAGAAGGTGACACTGTCCCTAGGAGGCAGACTCCTGCTCTGACCTCAGCTCTACCCACAGCGCTACCCCTCCTGGCTTGGCTTCACCTCCCTCTTCTAAACCAAGCTACACAAATTGTAATAGTTTTCCAGTGAAAGGAATATTTATAAACACTGAGCTCTCTTAGCTCTTAAACAGAACTCAGAGACTGCTTCCTTATATCTCATCCAGAGAAAAATCATTAGGCAGAATGACCAGGCAGTATTTCCGGCAGTATTTCCAGCAATATTTCAACCTCCAGTTTCCTAGTTTTCCAGAAAACTCATTTCCCCATAATGATCAACTTGAAAGAAAGTATCTCTTTTCATTTTCTCAATTATTTGTGGATTGAAGTTTTTCACAGTTGCAAATGGGCTAATCTCCCCTAAATCGTCTGCATTTTGAAAAAGCCCTGAGAGGACATGCATTAACAATAGTATTATATTAAAACCTAATTTTTATTGAACATTTATGAATGCGCCAGGCACTGGGCTTTACATGATTGCTTAGCCGATCCCCACAGCAGCTCTGTGAAGGAGGAATTATTATTCATATCTCTCACTATCCTTTGGTGAATGTTGGGGAAAGGACTCAAATGCACATATTTGAGCCCAAAGCTAAAACAAGAATGTAAGGTGAGGATGTTGTGCCGGTGAAGCATGAAAAGGAGGCCGACGGCCTTTGTGCAGAGTGTGAACTGAACTTCGGGACCTGGAATCTGCAGCATGTGGAAGACACCCCCTGAGTTCTGTCACCCTGAGCTCTTTGGTGGCACACGCTCATAATGGGTCAAGTCAGTGGGTGGTATATTTCCTATCGCTGCTGTAACAAATTGCTGTATTGGTGACTTAAAACAATACAGACTTATTCTCTTACTGTTCCAGAGGTCAGAAGTCCCAAAATCGAGGTGCCAGCAGGGCTGCGTTCCTTAGGAGGCTCTAGGAGTGAATCCCTTCCCTTCCCTCTTCCACTTTCTAGGGGCCTCCTTGGCTTATGGTCCCTACCCCACAGCCTTCCGACGTTTCCTGCTGTTGTCACATCTTCTCTCCCTCTGCTTCATCATCACATCACTGTCTCTGACTCTTGGAGGTTATATTGGGCCCACTCAAATAATCTAAGAAAATCCTTCCAACTCAAGGCTCTTAACTTCATCACATCTGCAAAAATGCCACGTGAGGTGACATATTCACAGATGCTGGGGATCAGGACATGGGCATATTTGGGGCCACTATTGAGCCTGCCACAGATGGAGGCCAGTTTTAGAACTGTGTGAATGAAGGAAGTCTCACCAGAGACGAGGGGTATTGCTGCCACACCAGTCACCTCTCACTGTCACAGACCCTGCATGGCCTGTTCAGGCTCAGAGCTAAGCCACTGGGGGTTCCCACAGCCAAAGCTTGTGAGTGACTTTTCCTCACCTTCCTTTCTCTGTTCCCCCCACAGAGGACAAACACAGGGAAATGCTTGAGAAAGAGAAGGAGCGTCTCCAAAATATGGATGAGGAAGAATATGATGCCTTAACAGAGGAGGAGAAGATCATGTTTGATCGAGAGATTCAGCAGGCCCTCTGGGAGAGGAAGAGAAGGTTGGAATCAAGGGCAAGGGTTGGAGTCAAGCAATGCCCTTGGGAGCAACTTGCATGGGGCATGCAGCCCATCCTGGAGACCAAGGTCATCCTCCGGGGTGGCAGCAATGGCCTCGGGAGACCCAGAAGGATGTCCGGCTGAGAGCAGGAAAACATCTCACCCATCCAGGGCGCTGGTTGCTGCAGCCTTGCAGGGTTTTTCCAGTTCTCCTCCCCTTCCTTCTCTCTGCGGGGCATGTGGAACTAGGGGAAGACTGTGCAATGTAATGGGGGAGGGGCTTTGGGCCCCAGTCCTATCCTGGCTCCCCTGAGGTGTTGCCTGTAGGTGTTGCTCCTCTGCCTCTGCATTCAAGTGTCCACAGCTGGTGACCCAGGGGCCACTCTCTTCACGTGGGTATGGTGGTTGCTCCCCAGAACTCAGCCATTTCTCCCCCTCCCCTGGCTGCCACCTTGGCCTTTGGTGGTGCTGTCTATCCCCTGAGGTCTGGCTGCTTCTCTGACTTGATTTTCAGCCTGAGCAGTTCACCAGGGACCTTAAGCCTGCTCCCAAGCCAGCACTGTTGGCCACCTTCTAGGCCCATCATTGGGACCACACAGGAATGACTGGATCTCCTCCACGCCACCTAGGGCCCAGGAATCCCAGGGCTGCTATCTCAGGCTTTCAGATATAGTGGCAGTGGGACATATGTCCTTGTTGCTTTCAAATGTGCTGGGGGAAGGGGGTTCTATTCCCTACCCCTCCCTACGATTCCAACATTGGGTGGGGCAGAGCCAAGAAACTTACCTGCAATTTAACCTCCTTCCTTCTGTCTTCTATCTCCAGACTCCTCCCACTGACCCCAGAGGAGGTTCTGTGTCCTTTCTGCCCCTGCAGTATACCCTCAGCTCTTCTTCTGCTTGGTCCATTGTAAAATGCCCAGTCCTCTAGCAGAAGGAAAGGCCTAGCTTTGGGATTTCAAAGGAATTTCTTTTTTCTCATCTAGGGCATCGCTTCTAGGCATTCATCTCATAGTGGACTTAGAAAATGCAAATCTGCCCTGGCTGATGTGACTCAGTGGATTGAGAGCCAGCCTGCCAACCAAAGGGTTGCCAGTTCGATTCCTAGTCAGGGCACATGCCTGGGTTGCAGACCAGGTCCCCACGAGGGGGAGTGTGAGAGGCAACCACATACTGATGTCTCTCTCCCTTTCTTAAGCCCTCTCTTCCCCTCTGTCTAAAAATAAATAAATAAAATCATTAAAAAGAAAAAGAAAATGCAAATCTGATCTTCAAAGCTTAGCAATGACATGTGTGTGCCCCTGCAGCCCCGCCCCCCCTTAGTAGACCTTAGTTGAGCTTCAGTTCATCAGTTTTGCTGAAAGACCATCCAAAGATAGATGTGAGCCATCCTTCCATTTTCTTCCTCCCTCTCTCCCTCCCTCTCTTCCTTCCTTCCTTCCTAGTTACCCAGCTTTCTTTTGTTCTTTCCTTTTATGCCCAAAGCTCTGCGCATGTCCCCTAACCAGACAATCCCCGGCAGGGAGGGGCTCAGACAGCAGGCCTTTCAACTCACTTTTCTCTGCCTGGTATAATAAAGGGAGTTGGAGAGATTGGCAAAGGAGATGCAAGAAAAGAAGCTGCAACAGGAGCTTGAGCGGCAAAAAGAAGAAGATGAGCAAAAAAAGAAGGTCAGAAAACCAAAGCAAGGAGCAGCAAGGGAGGAATCATCCCTGAAGAAATCCCAAACAGCAAGCCGGCAGGTAACACCCCTCCTTTGCTCCTTACCAAGAAGCAAAAGCAAAGGGATCAGCCATTGTAAGCAGGCCTTCAATCCAGCACCTTTCCCCTTCAGAAAATTGACGTAATACTACTAGTTGGGTTTTCTGATGGAGTAAAAGGTAGGAGGAAAGGGACTAACATCTGTTGAACACCGATTGTGCTAAGTCCTGGGCTTATGCTTCATGTAGTCCTGTCATTTTTGGCATCCCACCCACGCTGTCAAAGATAGGAACTTTGAGGTTGAGAGGGATGAAGTCGCACCTACTTATGTCTGACCACAGCCCTTGGTCTTTCCACTGTCCTCTGTAGTCCCCCAGATGGTGCCAAATAGGCTAGTAGTAAAGATTTGCCTCCAGTAAGCTACAAAGTCAGTGAAGCCCCTATGGTCAACTAAGAGCTTATTCTTGACAAGAGTCAAGGAAGACTCTCAGCATAAGCTTGACCTTGCAGACAGGCACCAACCAGAGTATCGACCTGCCAAGTTTAGGGGTCACATCCCTGTCTACTGTGATGGGCAGAACAGCCAGAGCAGCACACCTGAGGGGCCATCATGGCCGAAGGGTGCAGCTGGCTGCTATGCACGGTGGTCATTTCAGCACTGTGAATTCTGAGCATGAAGCTAAAGCCAGGCTCCCAGACAAGGTGTAGATTGGTCCCGGCAGGTGAGCCGGAAACAGTGACCACAATGCCCTTTGTCCTCTCCCAAGCCACCTGAAAGCAGGCATAGAGAGACCATGTTTGGTGATCTTTTCCTGTTGATCCTGCAGAATGTCAGCTTTCAACCAGGAGTGCACATCAAAATCACTGTGTACCTTTTTCAAAATGTACAGATCTGGCCCCAGCCAGATCTATAACAAGGAAGGACCACAGAATGGATATTTTGGTAGAGGTCCCTATGGTGATGCTTAGGCACAACCCTAGTATATGTAAGTGGTTCCTGGAATCCTGAGAGGACTTCTTACAAAACAAAGTGTCCTCTTGCTCTTTTTTATGTGATTTGCTCTCCCTTAAAGAACTGTTTTAAGCATATTTTATGTTTTGCCTTCCTAGACTCTTACTTTTTCCAAACTAGAGGTCAAAGCGGACTCATTAGAAAGAAAAGTATCTGAGAGGGAGCACATAATGACAGACAAGGAAGAACTAATCAAGAAGAAAAAGAACCAGCTGACAGATAACTACATTCTTGGGACTCCTCTTGTCCAGGAACAAGAGGACAGTGAAGTGGAACTCCTGAAAGACACTGACAAGCTTTTGGCCCAAAAGTTTAAGACCTATGAGTTGATTTTGAAGGATATTCAGAACATCCTCACATACTGGGACCGGAAGCAAGGAGTTCAAGTGCCTCACATTGGAGCTGAGGACCTGTCCCACGAGCCCAATGACCAGCGCCAGATTCCGTCGAGTGGGCGCAGAGGCCGCAAGGACCGGGAGAGGGAGCGCGCAGAGAAGGAGCGGGCGGAGAAGGAGCGCCTGGAGCGGGAGAAGGCCGAGAGGGAGCGGCTGGAGAAGCTCCGGGCACAGGAGGAGCAGAGCAGTGGAGGAGAGGGGGACAAGGAGGAGGACCACGAGGGGAAGAAAGATCTAGGTGTGCCATTCATAAATATCCAGACACCTGACTTTGAAGCCTCCAGCTGGAAGCAGGCCCTGGAGAATGACAGGCTTCCCAAAGCCGATCAGGTACCCACCCTCCTCCAGGATGGGGATGTAACGAATCAGTTAGCAGGGACGGTGCTAACAGTCATAGAGGTATTTCTTTCTATATAATATTCATATCCCCCTAATTCCGTTAATCTCTGATGCCCCCTTGGATAAGGCATTAATGGCTAAAAGAGCCTTTTTGTGCTTGGTGAAAATCCATAGAAAGTGCCACAGATCCAAACTGTTCCATCTAACCTCATAAAAATCCTCTTGGAGGGTTGATGTTTAATATTGATGGTGCAGTGCTACATGCTGGCAAGGCCAGTATACTTTGGGGTGAAGCAAGATACTCAACCACTCAAATCTTTTTGCCATAAGCTTCCCACAGTAACAGAAACTATACTATTAGGCAGCTCTTAGATTCCTAAAAGCAAAAGGTTTTGCAAAGCCAAAAGCCACCTTTGGCAGTGGCTTGCAGGGAGTGGTTATTATAGCCTTTTGTCCAAGGGCAAGCTTTTTCTGTAAAACACCGGAAAGCAGATGTTTTAGGTTGCAGATTATACAGTCTCTGGGGCAACCACCAACAATATGCAAATGAATGGGTATGGCTATGTTTTATTTCCAAAAACAGAAAGCAGACCAGATTTGACCAGGGGGACAGTTTACTGACCTCTGGTTTAATTTGTCAAAAACTAGATGCAACCTTAAGAAGTAGAAAAAGAGCCCATGAGGGGTATCTAGCAGCTAAGGTTAGATGGGAGGATAAGGAAAATTGAAGAGAGCAGATTCTGATGTAACCTGGCCTCACAGTCTTGTGGCGTGGTGCAGGGTGAGCCAGGGGACTGAAGACAATTGGAGGACACACAACACCCACTGTTCTTTCACAGTTGGGCCTCAGGTCAGCCTGAGATAAGGAATTGTCTTTTTTTTTTCCAAAAATAGTTTTGTTTTGTTTTTTAAAGAACATCTCATCATGATTTGTACTCTATAACTATAGCCAAAAATATCTTCTTGTCTTGTTTTATACTCTCCACATTCTAAGCTATAGGTAGGTTAGACTGTTGCTTAAAGAACTCCCTGGCTTTGTTAATTTATTCATCCCTTTCCTCTGAGACATCCTGAATCCTGGGAGTTGACTGCAGTTACACATTAGTCAGGAAATGTTTTTAGGTGCCTGACCCACTGGATTAGAAACATGGGATTACATGAAGATAGTTACCTGTAAGCCTAATAACCCATTTGACCCACAGAATGGACACTCAGGTGGGCTAGGACATGTACTGTTGTGATAACAACAATTAGCATCCTTATTCTGAGGGTTCTACATGCTGAGAAGGAAGTTGCTACTAAATTTTCAAGCCATCTGCTCTGGAGCATACATGTTCATTATTTCTCAGATCAGAATTGGAGAATAAAATAGGAATAAATTCTCTCAAGTTTCTTTTCGACTTCTCTCTTTACTCCCATCCTTTAGCCTGTTCCCAAAACCTTTGCTTTCTTTTCCTTTGCTGTGTTTGACCTGCTGCAATCCTAACTTCCTTTCACCTTTGAAGGAAATAACATTTAAATGTAAAAGAAAAATTAACATGGAAATTGAAAATAGATGGAACAACTATAGATATCAGAATCTTAAGAGCTGGTCTCTTTAAGCAGAGATTTATTGAGTGCCTACTGTATGCTAGGCTATGTGCTATGTTGACCAGGTTCCTGTCCTGATGCAGTTTGCAGTCCATTTGCAGAGATAATTAAATAGTCAACAACAGAATGACAAATGCCCGGTCCAGGGGCCTGGGAGTCTAGTAAAGCCCACAGACCTGTGTCAGAGGCCCTCACTCCCTCCCCTGTGACTTGCCCACTGCAGGGGCATCTGCTGAGAACGCTGAAGGAAAGGTGAGGGGCGGGGGGGGTCTGAGCCACCCTGTGCTTGCTGGGAGGAGGGTGGAAGAAATTAACGATGGCCTTTTTCCTTTAGATCCTAGATGTCTTGGGTCTGGGTTCCTCTGGACTGCCCATTCCGCCTCCTGTCTTATTCTCAATCATCTCCTACCCTGCGAAGCGGCTGCCCTTGGCCACAGCGGAAATCCTGGAGCATTTTGTGTTTGTAATTCCACCATCCGAAGAGCTCTCCCTGCTGGAGGAGAAAGTGGAGTCAGAAGGAGAGCTTTCAAACACCGCTGTCACGAACTCGGTGAAGGTAAAGAGTGAGCAGCTCATCCTGACCTTGCTGGGACTTCAGATGAGTAGAGGAGAGTGTCATCCTCTGTGTGGCCCAAAATTGAGTGTAGTCCTGGGTGTCACACTTGTTCAGGTGTTTCCCCTCCACATGCTGGCCTGCCCAGAGAGGCTGCTCGCTGCAGATGTTGATTTCCTGCTTACTTGTACATTGAGGACTGGGCCATTCTTTGTCACCTAACTGAGCTGTAGACAGGGTCTGCAGGTGATCCTGCCCAAGGACCCTGCACCAGCCTCTCCAAGGTGCGCCTTCCCCAGGTCTGAATTTTCTTGCTTCCCAAGAGAAAACTGAAAATGACTGATTCTCATTTCCAACTATACCAATCCCCATAGGATGGTTAGAGAACTTGTCAAATTACTTTGAATCTCATCTGCAAAAAAAAGCAAAACTAGCTCTTCTGAAAATATAGTATAATGTATGTATGCTGCTGAGTAATTTACACAGTGCATAAGAATAAAAGAATCAATAGACACAGGTTGAATCAATAGACACTCACACCACTAGAGAAAGGACAGATTATTGAAGAAATTATGATGGAAAAATTGGATATTTTGGGTAAAGTCACTTTTTATCTTCTCACCTGACACCATGCAATAAAATCAATCCCAGTTGGATTTAAAATTTAAGCAATCAAAATGAAATCATGTAAAAGTAGAAGGAAATATATGGACAACTACTAGACTAAATTACAGAGGAAAAGTGGATTAAAAATTATGGAGGGGCTTTTTATTCCCAGAAGAATGTTTGAATTTCTCCACATGGCCGCCTACAAACCATGCACGTCAGCAAAGAATAAATAAAATCAGCAGCAAACAAAATCACCTGCAGACCCTCTCTACAGCTCAATTAGGTGACAAAGAATGGCCCAGTCCTCAATGTACAAGTAAGCAGGAAATCAACATCTGCAGCGAGCAGCCTCTCTGGGCAGGCCTTACTAGAGCAGAGCCCAAACAAAAAAGATAAAAAAGAAAAAAAGCCCAACATCAGAGGTGATTTCTACTGTTTTCCGACCATTGGCCATTACCTGGAAAGAGTTAAGCGTTCTTTTTTTTTTTTTTTTTCTTTAACTATTTTAGGAGGAACTCTAGTTTATCTCCAATTGATGAAGGAAAGTTCTTCGTTCTAGGACAATGACAGCTGAAATTATAGAAAGAATGGTAGAATTAGAATAGTATTATTCCATTATCCCTAGTGGGGGGAAATGATTAAGGAGCACCAGTGGATACAAAAAGGAATGGTTTGTTGGTGAACAAGACAATCACTTGAACTAGAGCATCCACAGGGGACCAGCCGGCTTAGAAGAGAACCATCTACTTTAGCGTGGCCACATCTGGCTGACACCACTTCAGCCACACAAGCACACTTTATACCTGTAACAGGGGCCACCCTGACATTATTTGTCCCCCATTGTGGTGGAATGTGATGTACACGGCATCCTCTATAAATCAAATCAAGCTTTTAAGCCTAATTTTCAGTTTATGAGAAATACAGGGAATAAAGAAATGAGTTAGGTGTCACTCTGAGAACAGTCAGAAAATTTCAGACTATGGAATATTCTGTAAGAACATAAAACTGGTCTCTCCAAAAAGTGTGACTGAGAGGGGATATGGGGTCTACATGAAAAGATACTGAAGAAACACAACAACAAAAGGCAATATAGGAACACAGTCCCTGCCAGCATCAAGCTTTCCTTAAGATCTTGGACTCCTTCTCAGGGAATAGGGTGCCAGGGAAAGCTCTAGAATTCTATTTACTTCCCTTCTACTCTAGTGTAGGAGGCGAGGCCTTACTCTGCTCTAGGCAGCTGCCCGCATCCTGAACCTGCAGCGGGATCACTCCAGACTGCAGAGGTGTTGTAGGCATCTATGTCTTCTGTGTGTGTATGTATGTATGTGTGTATATATATGTATATGTGTGTGTGTGATATGTGTGTGTGTGTGTATATATATATAATGAGTATTTAAGACCCTGTGCTCCTTTTTAATTAAAATCCAGGAGGAGATGACCATTGTACCTAAGGGAAGCAAACAGAAACTAAAAGAAAAAATAGAACAGATTCGTGATACTCCGAAGGACAAACGTCACCTGGCCATCAACAGGAAGAGCCTTTCTGGAGGAACTTCTGGAGCCATTGCCTCGCCATCAGACATGGACCAGAACAATTTGTCTGGACAGCACTCCCAGGAGAAATTCCTCAGGTGGGCCTCTGTGCAAGCCAGGGAGAGAAATGCTGGAACCCCACTTTGAGGGTGCAGCTGTCACAGCGCCAGATGGGAACAGGGCTGTTCTGCCAGGAGGGCCCTAGGGACTGCCATGCCTCACACCCACAGGACAGGACTTCTCCCAGGCAGCAATCCTGTCTTCTCTTGGCCCAAGGGAAGCATTCTCACTTGAAAAGCCCACATGGTCATTTGCAGGCAGAATCATTTCCGGTGGATTGTGCCAGCCAACAGCGAGGTGACGCTGAGAGTGCAGTTCTCTGCCAATGATCTTGGGAACTTTGACCAGACGTTCAACTTTGAGATCCTTGGAACTCGCCGCCAGTACCAGTTGTATTGCCGTGGCGTCTGCACTTTCCCATATATTTGCCAAGACCCAAAGTAAGTGTTTTTTAATTTAGAAGTAAAGGTCAATAAACACGTTTTAGCTCCCCCATGCTATTTTGAACAAGGTGGTTCTTAATACCAATGTGGATCTGAGACAGCCTCCCCAATCCTCTTGTCCTGGGCTTCAGTGTCTTAGATGCTCATGTTCACAGGAAAGACATGATACCATGAGATTGAGATGACATTAATATTTGGCAACTTAGTTCACTTATTCAACTATTAAACAAACTTAAACAAATTTTTTATTTACTCTAAGGCTTTTTGTGCTACAGTATGAATATATATGTGAATCTCCATGGGTGAGCTTTTTTCTGAGCTATCCAACACCACTGTGCCCCATAAGCACCACATAAAGGCACTTGGCTGAGCAAGCTAGGGGGGCAAGCGCCCTCCCCACCCCAGGGAAGGGACTTTTTATAGCTTGTCCACCAAGAAGAGCTCCTTTGCAATTCTGACTAAGGAGCAACATTGGATAAGGAACTCAGAAACTAGCTAATATCAACCAGAATTAGTTTTCCATAGAGATTCTTGGGAATTTTTCTAGCAGGGCACACGAGGACAGGAAATTCAACTCAGCTCTATTATCAGCTCCTCGTAAAAAAAGACAAGAGTGGTATCTCTTTCTCAAGTTCAAACTGTACTATTTTCACTCAGGGCCAGGGGGAGGGAGGAAGGAGCAAGAATAAAGGCTCAGCAGAGGTCTTCAAATTAAGAGTCATCCTGTCTCCAGGCACCTGGACCCTTTGATGAGCAGGGAGTGTTAGGTTCATGTAAACATCAAGTGTTGGCACTGAACTTCCTTTCAGGTAGCCTTTCCTCTTCCCTTTCTCCCCTGTATTCAGAGTGGTATTCCCTCACCGGAAGATGGACATGAAATCAGACGAGATGATCTTTAAGAAGTATATTGTGAGCAAGGACAGGTTTTACTTTGGGCCACTGCTTTGTGGAAAATCAAGAGATAAGTAAGTGTTCTCTTATTCAAAGCAGATTTTAAACCCCTGGGTTGGACTCATGAATGGTACCAAGAGAGTTTTTATGTGGACAAAGTTTTAATTACTGCTGCCTCAGTCCCTGAACCACAAATTATCAGAACTGGATTCTTTTTTTTTTTTTAATTTCTTTAATCCTCATCCAGGGACATGCTTATGGATTTTAGAGAGAGGAGAGTGGAGGGCGAGAGAGAAGGAGAGAAACATCAGTGTGAGAGAGAAAGATCTATTGGTTGCTTCCTCCTGCACATGCCCCAACTGGTAGTGAACCCACAACCCAGACATTTGCCCTGACCGGGAATCAAACCTGCAACCCACTGGTTCACAGGACGGTGCTCCAACCAACTGAGCCACACCAGCCAGAGCAAGAACTGGATTCTGGTATCCCAGGTTTCTGCTAAGCACCCAGATGAGTGGGGGTGCCATTTTCCCAGATGCGAAAGTCTAGAAGATGATTAGGTTTTGGTAGGGGAAGAATAGGACCAAGAGTTCATTTTGGGATAGGTTGTTTGAGATGCGTGGAAGATATACCTAGTAGCCACATAAAGCAGGGAATAGGCCATAAGGTTTTGGTTCTCAGAGGAAAAGGGCCTGTCTTCAAGACAACAAAAGCTATGGACATGTATGAGATTGCCTAAGAAGAGAGGGTATCACAAAATGGAGCCCTGAGGAATTCGACCACTCATGAAAGTTGAAGCCAGCAAAGGAGGTGAGAAAGAGCCAGAGCTATTGGTGGAAATCAGAAAAGGGTGGTGTCATGGAGCCACAAGAAGAGGGTGTAGCCACCTATTGACCACAGTTGAATGCTGTAGAGATGATAAAGAGATGAGGATATCAATGTCCACAGGGTTCGACACCATGGAGGTCACTTGAGGCCTTAGCAAGATCCCTTTTAGGGGAAATTCTGAGAATGTAGTCCAGGTGAAGAGACTTGAGGAGTTAGTAGGAGGTGAGAAAATGAAGCCTGTGTGTGAAGATAGCTCATTGGAAAACCTTGGCTGTGAAGAGAGTTGGAGGAAGTTAAGAATGGGAGGGAGACACAGAGTTCAGGGAAGGCTGTTCATACACTGTTGTTCTTACAATGTTTGAATGCCAAGGGGAAGTGGGGAGATAGAAACTGGAGTTTAAGGAGAAAGTATGATTCATCAGCCCCCTCAGACAACACAAGGGGATATGCAGATATTGGCCTTTGCCAGGAAGAGGACCATCATCTTGTTCAAGGAGGGACAAAGGTGAGATAGCTTCCGGTGTAGGTAGGTTTACAGAATTGGTTGGAACAGTGAGAAGGTTCCCATGCAACTGTCTATTTTCTCCATGGTGAATGATGCAAGGACACCCCCAACAATGAGGGAAATGGAGGGAAATTTAAAATGTTGAGAAATGGAGAAGATGTGAAACCCTTTTTATGGAACATGGGAAAAGGAGAATGTTAGAGAAATGGATCAAGATTAACAGGCAAAATTGGATGCTCAGGTGAGGTTGATGATTATACATTTTTGTGATCCTAGTCTATTTAGTTATATAAAAATTTCTTATATAGGCAGGGGGGTGAGACACAAACTGAAACCAAGTTCTCAACATGCATTCAATCTAGCACGTATTGTGATAAGTAGAGAGGGTTTATTTCTATTCTTACTTGGCAGAACTAATGAGCCATCTTTGTTCTCCTTTTCCTTAATACCTCCAGTTTTTTTCCTGAGATGCCGGACTGGAAAGTGAAGGTGGAGAGGAATATGGGTCGGGTTAATGGACATGAGGTACAGAGAAGCTGGGGGATGGGAGTCAGGTAGAAGATGGTCATTCAGAGAGGCATGTGTTCAGGACAGCACTGGAATTAACTAGCATTTGGGATCAAACAGCACTGGTCCAGGAGGAGGATAATCACAGTAGCTCAGAAACAAGGACCCGTGCAACCAGGTATAATGCATTTATTCCTTAAAACCTTACTGAGCCTCAGTGTGCTCATTTGCAAAGTGGGAAAATAGTAGAATCCACCTCACAGATTTGTGGGGAGTGCACTGGATAATGCACAGGAAACTTTCAGCACAGTGCCGGATGGTGGGCATGAAGGCCTCGACCCTGTGGCAGTCAGTCACCCAGAGCATTCTTTCTTTCTGACTCTGATTTAGTCTCTGCCATGCACTCTCCTCCCTTCCTCGATCATAGCCTGTCCAAAAAGCTTTTGGATGTTTCTGGGCACCAGTGGGTAATATGGTGTCTTGCTTTCCTGGCCTGTATTATGATCTCTGGAGATGTGCATCTTTACTGGCATTTCTTGTGCTTTCCATGGTCCCTTTCTTATTTGGTGCCATTAACCAAGCAGATTTTAGTGCCCAGGCTGCTTGACTCTGTGGCTCTCTCCCTAAGGTACCAGGAAATAGAAACAGCCTTGTAACAATGAACTATGCCAAATGAATCCACGGAAGAACATTAACATCCAGTGAGGGTGTCGAAGACAGTGAATGAGGTCATCTCTAAGACAGATGTGAAATAAATTACTCAGATGATCATCTCATCTGAGAATATAAGCACTGGGAAGGATGGAGCTGTACATTTCTCAGTTAGAATTCTTTGCAATAATAACTACCTTTCATTGGGCATTTGATATCTGCAGCTGTCCTATTGCCAGACTATTGGATGCACTATTTCATTTAATACAGAAATCCTAAGAGGTTCATCATCCCATTTTAGAGATGAGGAGACCAAGGCTTGGGCAAGTCACAGCTGCAAATCTTCACAACTACAAAGCTTGTGTTCTTAACCCTGACTGGTGTTGAATGCTGGCCTGTGAACAAAAGGGTCACTGGTTCAATTCCCATTCAGTGTGCCTGCCTGAGCTGCAGGCCAGGTTCCCAGTGGGGAGTGCACAAGAGGCAACCACACATTGATGTTTCGTTCCTGTTCTTTCTCCCTCCCTTCCCCTCTCTCTAAAGAGTGAAGAAATATAATCTTTAGGAAAAAGAAAGAAAAGAAAGAAAGAAAGAAAGAAAGAAAGAAAGAAAGAAAGAAAGAAAGAAAGAAAGAAAGAAAGAAAGAAAGAAAGAGAAAGAATATTTTTTTAAAAGCTTATGTTCTTAGCCACCATGTCACTGCCTCAACGTAACCACGCTGTCCTTTGGAATTGTCTTGAACCTCACAATTTCATTTTTAACCTGAGCTCTTATCAATCCTCACATTCACACCCATAATTTATGCCTAATTTTCGTTCATTTCCAGGTACAAGTCATCCGTGTTCCCAGGCAACATGGAGACACTGACAATCCTGAACAATTCCCCAATGGTCACAGAGGTGTTCTTCTGTTTCCAGCATGATGTCAAAGCAAACACCTACTTCCTGGAACCCATGAACATGATTCTAAAACCCAATGAAAAGCAGGTACAGCCCCATGGAACCAGTACACTAGGGCAAGGCTTTCTTGGGAACTTCGAGGCCTTGGCATCCTCAGTGTAAATGTACTTTGTTTTGACTCTTCCACTAGATGCTGAATGTATGGGCCTACCCCACTGCAGTTGGTGTCTTTGAAGACAGCATTGTCTGCTGCATCAAGGAGAACCCAGAGCCAGCCATCTTCAAACTAAGCTGCCAGGGAGTCCGCCCAGAACTGGAGGTGGAGCCCAGACAACTGCATTTTGATCGCCTTTTGCTGCACAGGTCAGATTCTCAGTGATACCAGGACTGGAATGGACTGTAAAGAATATTTAGTTCTAGGCTGACCAACTCATCCTGATTTACTCATGACTTTATTAAGTCCTGTGTAATTGGGAAACTTTTGGTCCTGTGCAAATCAGGATGGTGAGTAACCCTGTTGAGTTCACCTGGGTTCAGTGGCTGGACTTCAGCAGGGTCAAGACACCCCCACCCAAGTCCAACTGTCAAAGTGTGTGTATATTTGCTTTTTTCTCAGAAGGACTGGCCTTTTCCAGCTTCTCAAAGTCCACTACCCTAAAAGGTTAAGAATCCTTAGCCTAGAAATTAGAGTACAAACAGAGAACACTAGACCAAAGCTGGAACTTAATATTTATTTGCTGGAATCTATGATTCTAAATAAAGAATTTTTATTTCTGGGGCTGTTGGGACAGAATATTGTCATGATATGGATCCTGTATTCTTTGATCAATATCATGAGGCCCATTCCCTAATAAATACTGATTAGTGAACTAAGCAATAACTAAAGTAACCAGAAGGACACTTTCTGACCGACCATAATAAATCAAAGTCATTTAAAACTGACAAAGTGTCTTTTGGTCTCTGCAGAAAAGAATCCAAAGTAGTTCTTCTCCGCAACGTCACAGCCCTGCCCGTGGCCTGGCGGATCACCAGCCTGGAGCACCTGGGTGACGACTTCACCGCATCCATGATGCAGGGCACCATCCCCGCCAAGGCCGAGTACAGCCTGCAAGTGCACTTCCAACCCTCCAAACCCGTCATCATCAAGAAGGCGATTCGGTTGGAGGTGACGCTTCGCCCATCTTCAGACTTGGTCATCAATATGAGTACACGCTGGGTTCCCTGAAACACACACACACACACACACACACACACACACACACACACTACCAACACACACACACTAAGCCAGGTCTTCCTGTTACCCGCTCCCATCAAATCCCCACTTGACAACCCACAACCCACAACCCACAATATGTTGCTCTGCACACACTGTAAGCTCCCTAAAGGCAGTCTCGTTTACCGTTGATTTCCTAGGGTTAAGAACAGGGAACTCAATCAATGCAGAGTTTGGGAGTGAAGGAATGAATGAATGGCGTTCTTTCCCTAGGTGAGCATCAGATTCCTGATTTCACTCCCCAAACTCAGTTGCCCCTCAGGTTCCTGTCTCAGGAAATGTCACACTCCACCCGGTTGCTCCCACAGATACCTAAGAATCATCCTGATCCCCCCTTTTCCTGATGGCCTCCCCTCCAACCTAATCCCCCAACAAGTCTTGCCTACTCAGCCTCCCAGCATGTCTCCTGCCCATCTACTTCCCTGCCTGGCACTGCCTCGACCCTCACCCAGGCCACCTCAGAGGCTTCCTCACTGGTTTCCCTCTTCACATTCCCCACAAGTGCCCAGAAAGATCGTGAAAATGTTAGTCATTCTCTGTCCTAAGGCACTCTGCTGGCTTCCAGCTGCAGTGAGAACAAAGCCCGGGGTCCTCACCTGCTCCGGAAGCCCTGCTGCCTCCGTATCTGCATCTCACTCCACCCTTGCTCTCACCCACTGGCTCCCATCACATGGTCTCTCAGCTTTTCGCATGGTCCTGAGGCTCTGCGGGGAGTTGGCTCCTGCTTTAGGGTCCACTAAACAGCACTGCTTCAACAGGGTTCCTTTAATCACCACCCCACCAGTTTCTTTCTTTACTTTCTTTTTTTTTTAAGATTTCATTTATTTATTTTTAGAGAGAGGGGAAAGGAGAGACAAAGAGGGAGAGAAACATTGATGTGCAAGGGATACATCAATCAGTTGCCTCTCGCACACCCCCTACTGGGGACCTGGCCTGCAACCCAGGCATATGCCCTGACTGGGAATCAAACCAGCGACCTTTTGGTTTGCAGGCCAGCACTCAATCCACTGAGCCACACCAGCCAGAGCTCTTCACTTTCTTATGTGCATTCTGTTAGGACAAGATCTCTCCTGACTTGTCCATTAATCTGTATTGGTTTCCCAGGGAAAACTGAGTGGCTTAAAAACAATAGAAAGTTATTCTTTTACAGTTCTGGAGGCCAGGAATCTAAAATAATGTTGTCTGGAGGGCCATGGTCCATCTGAAGGCCCCAGGCAAGAATCCTTCCTGGGCTCTTCCACCTTCTGGTGGCTCCAGGTGTTCCTTGACTGGTGACTGCATCACTCCAGTCTCTGCCTCCATGTTCCCCCAGCCTTCTCCTCTGCCCGCGTCCTCTCCTTTTACGTCTCTTATGAGGGTACTTGTCATAGGATTTAGGGCCCCCTATGTAGCCCAGGATGATCTCATCTTGAGATCTTTAACTTAATTACATCTGTAAAGACTCACTGTTTTTTCAAGTAAAGTCACATTCATAGATTTCAAGGATTCACACATGGACACACCTTTTTAGGGCCACCATTTAACCCACTACCCCAACATGTCCCATGTCTAGCACAGGCCTGAACGTAAAAGGCACTCAGTAAATCTGTTGAATGAAGGAATGAACAAATGTCATGGAGTTTTGATGCTTGAATCAATTCTGCAGCAATCGAGTTCATACAAACTTCCCCCTGAATACCTCCTGGGACAAAAACCTTACCAACACTTAAAGGAACCTGACCTTCCTTTAAACAGGTCTGACTGCTAATTTTTCCTTGGGTTGAGGTCAAATTTCTTTCTGTAATTTATATGAATTAATCTTGTTACTACCTTTTGGGAACAGTCAATAGATCTAATCTCTCTTATTATCTACCCATGACAGCCTTTCAAATAGCTGAAAATATGTATTGATAGATTTATCAGTCCACAAATGTGTATGAGCCCAGAGTTGATAGTCAACATTGTTAACAGCAGTCTTCACACAGCCACAGATCTCTGCACAATGAACCCAGCCACGTATCTGGTGGAGGCTTCACCCTCCAATTGCTGGATCATGGGAAGTCTGGGGTTCCCAGGGTGGGAGTAGGGGACAGGGGTGGACAGGAAGCGAGGGGATACTCAGAGGTCACTGTGACAGCTGTTCACTAACTGGTATGGAAACATTCCTGTATTTTAACAACTGACATAGCATTCTTGTGTGTCCCAGCCAAATCAGACATAGTGGGTCTCCTCTCAGGCTCCCCAAGGTGGTCTAAGACTTCTCTCCCCTTGATTATATGCCTTCAACAATCTACATGAGGAAATGCCTTGTCTGGTGAACTCATTTTTTAAATCTTGTGTATCTCCCGGTCTTCCTCACTTACAAAACGTATCTCCACCACCATCACCACCACCTAGTAGGAGAACAAAGGAAATAAAACGTTCTGGGTACTTGGCATCTGTTAGTAGAAAAGTAGTATTTAAATTCTGGAGCTGATAATTCAAGTTCATTGTTCTATTTACTCTCCTGCTCTTGGCCCTCCTCCTTGTCATCTCTGTCAGAAGGTGGGCAGCAGAAGAAAGAAGGTAAAACTGAAGTTGGTTCAGTTTGTTCTGGGAGGCACTGTTAAAATGCTTGGTGAAAGAAAAGATAGAAACTCTAGCTAAAACTTGAGTTTGGTGACATTTGCAAGTTTCCCTCTTGGCACCGAGAGCACAAATAGGAGAGTGGTGACTTAATTATTCAACTTGGGGCTTCAGGAGGGAAGCAGGTGGTCTCCAGTCAGACGCAGGAGAGCTGTACCCACTGCCCAATTGCCCCTCACCTTGACAGATGGACCCTTTATTGCCCCTCATTAGTCTCAGGAGTCAATGGTTCGTCCAGCTGACAGATGACACCAGTTTCTCAGGACAGTAAGGGAGGAATTAACTACCAGAAATGACAGCAGAAGGGAACAATGAGGAACTGGGGGCTTGGGGTGGTCCTTGGGTTTTTTTTACACTTCCAACTTTAATAATAGTAATGTTTGTGTAAATAAAATATTTGAAATTTCCAAAATAAAAAGTTATATGAAAAATGTAGCACTTTTCCCACATACTGAACCAAAAACAAAGAAGAGAACAATTCAGATTTATAAAATTAGTAGATCCCTTGCTGATGTGGCTCAGATGGTTGGAGTGTTGTCCCACAAAGCAAAAGATCACTGGTTCGATTCCCAGTCAGGGCATATGCCTGGGTTGCCAGTTGAGTGCCAGGTTGGGGTGAGTACAAGAGGCAGCCAATTGATGTTTCTCTCTCACATCAATGTTTCTCTCCCTCTCTTTCTCCCTCCCTTCCTCTCTCTCTACAAAACAAATCAATAAATAAAAATTTAAAAAATTAGTAAAGCAAGAATGATTAAGAATATACAAGTTTACTATTTCCACTATGAGAAGAATACTCTTCAAGTTTACTTTATTTAAAAGTTCTAAAGAATACTTTTCTGTAATGTATACTTGGAGCCCAAACTTCAGTAATGTCACAACAACCATGCAAATAATATAAACCCAATAGTTGGACAAGATAGAAAACACAGTCTCTTTTCTCCATTCTTATACTGATGGTCTACACCAGCATTCCCCAAAGGGGGTTATGAAGAACACTAATCCTACCAAATGCTCAGTGCAGGCAAAAGTTAAATACATTTCAAAACTACTCTATCACACTGCATGGGAACACTGCATGTTTGTAGTTTGGGCTCTAAGCACCTCGTAGGTCTTGCTTTTATTGAAGACTGTCTCTCACACTGACAGGTTTTAGACACAGACAACCTTGTTGGAGTTGTTCAGATTGAAAACATCCTGGTCCTTGCAGAATCCTATGATATTGCCTTGGACATCACCTTCCCCAAAGGTCTGTGGATCCCTTCAAGGAAAGGGTGTTTGGAAGTCACATCTTTTAATGCAGTATAGTTATTGTGAAGAGAGTCTCAGAGGTGTCCAACCTGGGCCGCAGGCCACATGAGGCCCAACACAAAATCGTAAATTTACCTAAAACCTTTTTTTACTCACCAGTTTTCATTACTGTTTGTGTATTTAATGTGTGGCCCAAGACAACTCTTCTTCCAGTGTGACCCAGAGACACCAAAAGGTTGGACACCCTTTGGAGGGGTTGTTGGGGGAGGGGTAGAATTTCAGTAAATGGTAATGCAAGCCCCAGAGTGATGTTAACAACATTACTACGAATCTCAGTTTCTCCAACTAGAGACGACGGTGGGGAGCAGGGTCATAAATATAAAATTTTCAGAGTGCTTTTCTGAACAGTCATCTGAGACTGAGTACCTACTTCCTGCCTCTATTTGCTTCCTATCACTGCTGTAACAAATTAACACAAGCTTTGTGACTTAAAACAATAGAAATTTATTATCTTAAAATTCTACAGATCAGAAAAGCCAAAATGGGTGTGACTAGACTAAAAACAAGGTGTTGGCAGGGCTGTATTCCTTCTAGAAACTCTGGGCAAAAATCCATTTCCTTGCCTTTTCCAGCTTCTAGAAGCTACCTACATTCCTTGGCTCGGGGTCCCCTCCTCCACCTTCAAAACCAGGGGTGTTGGGTCAAGCCCTTCTCTGGTTCTCCCTTTTTTGTCTTGCTCTTTTATTTTTAAGGATCTTTATTGCGCTCGGCAATTCTGAGAATCCAGGATAATCTCCTATGTTAAAGTCAGATGATAAGCAGCTTAAATTCCATCTAATATTTTAATTCTCCATTGTCACATAAACTAGCGTCTTCACAGGTTCCGGGAATCAGTATGTGCACATCGTTGGGGGTGGCATTATTCTGCCCACCACACTGCCCTCTCACCCAAGTTAGATCCCCGCCTTGAGCATGTGCTTTTCCACTACCCCTTCCTTCTCTGATAGATCTCCTTCTCATCAAGATTCATAGAATGTTAGAGCTAGTGTTTGCCTAGATATATATCATTAGTGTTATATATGAATATATTTATTATAGCATTATTTATAATAATGAAAGAATAGAAATAACCTAAGTGTCTACCAATAATGGAATATTATTATTGTAGAAATAATATTACAAATTATGGACAGCCATATCATGATATATTATGCAACCATTAAGATCACATTGATGAGTTTTTAATTATGTGTGGAAATGCTTATGATGTAATATTAAGTAAAGCAGTATAAATTTGTATGTAATATCCAAACTCAGTATAGGGTACGCTTGGTACAAAAATGTTTTTAAATGCTGAAAATTTTAGCAGGCGGGAGGCATAAAAAGGACAGTGGTCCTGGGGTGGAAGCCAGAGAGAGCTGCCCCATTGAATTGGGTGCAAGAGCAGTGTCTGTTGTTTGCTAAGACTCAATTACATGAGGTTTTTCTAACCACCATGTTTTCAGAAAACAAATTCTCTGAAGTTGTCATCATGGATTTTCCATGTGAACTTCAATAGGAAGTTCCCCTGCTTCTCACTCTCATGCCCACTTACCCCTCCCCACCCCGGCCCCTGGCCCTTGCAGGAGCTGAAGGAGGCCTCGATTTTGGGATCGTGAGGGTCATGGAGGAGGTGAAGCAGCCCCTGCAACTGAAGAACCGTGGGAAATACGAAATCATGTTCAGGTAACCCAAAGACCCTCGGGCATGTGGTTGTCTGCAGCCGTTCACAGGGAGAAGAATGTGTGTGGGAGATTAAAAAAAAAAAATTGAGGAAATTGTAAGAACCGTCTCTGTTTTTAGCCTCTCCTGGTTTCAATGAATGGAATTCCCCCTGCTAAGCGAGCAGAGATTTTTTACACTGCTCTCAACTCTGTGACCGTATAGAGACCCTTAAGGGCCCTCTGAATACACCTGGAGCCACAGGGGTCTGAGGGTGAGGGGTGGGGAAGGAGATGGAGAGGTTGGAGAGGAGGAGGGGACACTGGGGTGAGGGGAGGTCCTAGGGGAGGGAGAGACTGAAGATGGGGGGCCTGGCCTCAAGCTGCCCCGCCCTCCTTTCAGCTTCTCTGTTTCACAGGTGGGCATTCTACACAAGATTTCATGTGAAGAAGAGATGTTCCAATTTTCTTTTTTAATTTTAAGAACCACTGTATTATACATTCTAAATGGCAGCCTGGTGGCATACAGGTCCAGCTTGTGCTCATCTCTTGCAATTAAAAATGAAACACTAAATGAAGGGAGTTTCCTCAGAGAGGAAAGGGTAGTGCTGGGGGGAGAAGGGGAGGAGGTCACTCAGGTGGTGCCACACAGCCTTCAGTGGCAGTACCAGCACCCATGGCCCATCTATTCCTATGAAAATTCATAACTTCCCCCAGAAGAATTCAGTTGATCAAGGGACTTACTCCTCACAGACTTGGAAGAAATTCAGTGTATTCACGATAGTGTTATTTCAGCTCAGAGAAGGCTAAAATTAGAGAGGCCCCACCTCCATACTACTATTAGTTAAAACTGTGTATTGAAATAAATACAAATAAAAACTTAACAAACCTAGAAGAAAGCTACTGGTGCTCAAGAATTAATGCCAAATGTAATTGCACCTGTTTGTGAGTTTTGTTTTAGAGTATGACAGGGTGTTAGCTCTGCTCTTTTAGGTTGCATGGAACAGAGTCACCCTCAGGTTGAAGCAAGTGATAAGGGGTTTGTGTGGGGAGGTGAGACAGCACAGGTACCCTTGCATGCAACAACAGAGTGACCAGGTCTCCCCGGACATGGGGATGACACTTGAGTCACCACAGCAGCTGCAGATGTCCCACCTCAGCCTATGTTCCTTGCTCCTTCTCCAGTCTCCCTGCCATTCTCATGAGCCAGCTTGTCTCTGTGGTATCTCACCTCATCCCCACTGGGCCACGACCTACCTTTCCAAGTGCCTCTGTTGCGTGGGCTCTGCCCCTGCTTTCTCTTCTCCCTTAGATCCCCTGTCTCTGCATCACTGTTCCTTCTGTGTGAGCTGCATTCAGCCTCAGAGAGGGGAGGGAGGGAGGGAGAAAGGGAGGGAAGGAGAGAGATGAATTAATGTTGTTGATCCTTATCCAGCATCAAGTGTCCCTGTTGGACAGAGATCTCCTACAAGGTCACCGCTTGACCACAGGCTAGAGATGGCTATCTTTGCCTCAAGCATTAGTCCCTGGCCTGGTCAATCCTGCCTAAAGAGGGTGGTCACACAGTACAATGCACAGTGGACACTGCTAGGCAGAGAAAACAGGGCCAGAAACATAACACTTAACAGTCTAGAGTCTCCTCTCTAATATCTTGGGTTACCTAGATAATAACTTATACTGACCTTTATTCTTGTCTTTCAGCTTTTCTGTGGACTGCGTAGGGATTCCTGTGACCAATGTAAATTCTATGATTTCAGTCCAACCCAAGAAGGGCTCACTGACCACAACAGAAAAGCCCACAAATGTTCAGGTGTTCTTTCATTCAAAAAAGGAAGTGAAGATAGAGCAACAGCCAATCCTGCGGTGCCAGGTAACAGAGTTCAAAGGGAGGACTCATTGAAAAGAAGAGTTCATGGACCCTGGCCAGGTAGCTCAGTTGGTTAGAGATGGTTAGAGAGTTGTCCCAATGTGCTAAGATCGCGTGTTCAATCCCCAGTCAGGGCACATAAAAGCACCAACCAATGAATGCATAAATAAGTGAAGCAGCAAATTTCTCTCTCTCTCTCTCTCTCTCTCTCTCTCTCTCTCTCTCTCTCCAATAAGTTTTTAAAAAAAATAAATAAATAAGAGTCCATGGTCAAACTCATAGTCCAAAGGGGGAAAAGGGGGCACTGACCTAGGTGGCAACCAGAGAGGATGTACCAGGGTTTGGTCCCCAACTAGCAGACACAGGACAGGCAGGTGGAAGGTATACAAAGTCATCAGAAATTGAGAGTGCCAGAAAGGAAATGTGGACCATGGTCTTTGGGAAGCACCTGAGACAAGGAAGCTGAATTTAGTCATCAAGTGCAAAGGAAGAATGCGGAAGTGAAAACAGAAGGCAAAGTGGGTCTCTTTCAGTGATTTTCAGCTGGTGTGCCACAGCATACTGGTGTGCCGCAAGAATTTTTAAAATATGCAGTGACTGACTGGTCAGGGGCACCAACCTTTTTTCCCCGTAGATTGTCAAAAAATGACAACAGCCAACACAATAGCCATTCGGTATGGACAAATCAAAATTATACCAATTCTTTTTTGTCAGATTGGCAAAAAATATATTTTTCGGTGGGCCACAGAATTTTAGTAATTAGTTTATGTGTGCCATGAAATGAAAAGGTTGAAAATTTGCTGGTCTGTGTTGGTCCATGGCTAGTACATAGTACATTTTATGTTAGCATTTGCTAATATTGTTGATGTAATAATATAAAGAGAATGAAATGAGCTTGGCTTCATGTAAATGGCAATAGAGAACAAATTAGACAGCCATCAGAATTCTGGAGCTATGCCAGTGGCTGCCATCTTCCTAATCTTTCTTCCCTTTCTAGATCATTGAGCCCAATATCGCAGAAGGAGGCGAGTTCATTGCCAGCATCCCAATTAAGTTTTCTGTGAATGCAGTGTTCTCTAAATACAACATCAGCCCCTCCTCCGTCATCAACTTTGGAGCCTTGATCTGTGGCACTCGTAAAAGTACCTCCTTCACCATAGAAAATCAAGGTGTTATTGACTTCAAGTATGGCCTTTATAGGATGACAGGGGTGAGCTCCATTCACCAAAAGAAAGTGTAAGACAAATATTTGCTTAACTCATGCCATTCCCTGGTTAATTAGTGCTTTATATTTTACAAAGAGCTTTCATATGTTTTATCTAAATTCACCCAGTTCCCTGTGGGTGAGGTAATTAAGAAATGACTCATCCAAGATCTTTCAAGAAATCACCAGTAGATCTCAGTTCTGAACCCTCATCTCTGACTCCAGATTTCACATACTATCTAATTGACTTTTTAATTAATTAAAATTATTTTATTAATTAATTTAAAATTGACTTTCTAATCAATTGTTTTAAATCAAATATACATACAGCTTTACATTATTTATAATTATTTTATATTTTTGGGGATATCCTCTTTCATTTTGCCAAAGTCTTAATGTATTAAGAGATTTTTGGTAAAACTGTCTAAAGTTTCTTCCAATTTAATTTCAATCTAAGTTTTTATTCATTTTATAATAATTTAACAATGTTTATTTATAGGTATTATAACATATTTGTGTTTTACTTTAAATTGTTTTTAATTTATTTTTCATTTTAGCATGCATGAATTCATGCTAAACACTTAAAAGAGTATAGAGCTTGAGTTGTTCTGGTCATTGAGCAAGTGAATGCTCAAATATATTAATCTCTCAAAAGTTTAAGATTGCACCTCAAATACCTTTGAATATTTTAGGGGAACTAGCCTCTAGGCAAACTAATTATCGGGCAAACTAGCTTCAAGTGAAGTGGACAGTTACCAAAACCTGTGTCTGTGCTATTGCTTAAACTAAGTCTTAAAAACACCATGACTATAAATGTTAAGTGAAGGAACAAGAATAGAGGACTCGTGGACATGGACAATGTGGGCCAGGGGAGGGGAATTGACTGTGGGAGTGGGAGGGCGGAGGAGGGGTGAGCAATGAGGAAAAAGACGGGACAATTGTAACTGAACAATAAATTTTTTTAAATTTTTTAAAAGAAAGACAAAGGACAGAGTTTAATGTATTTGCCATTTCATTTTTTTAAGTGAGATCAGGTAAAATATTTAATGTCTACAAATAATTTCCAATGAACTCAAGTAAACATTTAAAAGTTATTATTCTCTCAAAATAATAAGATGAATTATTATTCATCTTATCATTGTACTGATTTAAGGATAATTTGTCCCTATGAATCATGTAATCAGTACAATTACTGCATGATTTTCTCACAATTGTTAAATGAGTTTGGCTAATAATAAATGCTGACTATGCCACCCCAGTGCCCTATTGAGCAAAGAAGGACGCGTGCCCCATTCCTAGGAGAAGGTACCTTGCAAGCAGACAAATAAGTGGTGTTCAATGTCACCACCCCAACCTAAGGGTGCACTTTCTCTTGCTTCTTTAATCAGAACCAGCCATATTAGGCATGCAAGGTCCCGGGAAAGCGAGAACTTCTATAAGACTGGCTCTTCCAAAGCAACCAAGTTCTCTGAGTCTGTTCAGAAAGAACTAAACATTGCTAGCCAGGTAAGTGCCATTTCCTTGTTCACAGAAACCCGGTAAGGCCACCTTCCAACTAGTTCTTACAACATTACCTTCCTGGAATAGCAGGATTTGAATCTACTGTCATGGGAATATTAAGTGGTATATTGAAATACCACTTTTAAGACTTTTAATTTGGATATCTTCTTTTGCTTTCATTGGCTCCTCACCGCCTTAAAATTAAATTTCAATTCTTTATATATATTCTAATTAATAACCTTTTCTTTATAAGAAACTGAGGCCCATTTAGACTGGCTTAAATAAAAGGAGATCTGAAGACTTTTGCTCTGGTAAGATGGAGTAGATAAAATTTTTCCTATTGTTCCTAACCAAGTACAACTAAAAACCCTGGACATTAAGCATAAAACAGGTGGACAGAAAAAAATCAGACCAACTAGGGTCCTTGGGACTCAGGTGGTGAGTTCCCTGAGTTTTCTTTTTGCCTCATATATCTCGCCTGGGTACTGCAGGAGCCAGCAACTCGGAAACATCACCAGGCACAGACCCAAAAAAGGCCCCAAAGGATGCCAGTTCCTTCTAGCCAAAGGACCAGAAAAAGAGCAGCCTAGCAAGATGGAAAACTTCAGGAAAAACTGTTCTATTATAGACGAACATGACAGAAAATCTGACCCCACCAGTGCTGGCAAAGGACAGTGGGAAGACTTTCACCTTATCCAGGCTCTAATGAGATGCCCCAACCCCCTGCCAGAGTGGTGTCCTGAGAACTCCCAGTAGGTAGCCAGGAGTTTATTAGCCCTCACCACCTCCACTACTGTCAGTGGAAACACCACATGGGAGCCTTGAGTTTCACCCAACCCAGTGGTGATGAATTGTTCCTTGTCAGCCCCCTGGCCCAGTGGACCTTTCTACCCCATGGCATCAACAGAATGGTAAGGAAGCACTGCCCCCTCCTTGCCAGGGAGGTGTCAGTTGAGGACGAGTGGGGAGCCAGCACCCGTGCTTTCCTGGCAGTAATGAGAAGTCTGAGTGGGGAATCTGGACCACCACTCCCACCCAGAAGTCATGAGACAGTGTCCCTGCTCCACCTTACTGGACAGAATGGTGTCAGAGAAAGCCAGGTCAACGGGAAGGGTTAAATAAGATCCAGAGTCTCACAATATAAACACTCAAAATGTCCAGGTTGCGACTGAAAAATCACTTGTCACACCAAGAACCAGGAACATCTCAATCTGAATGAAAAGAGACAATCAATAGATGTCACTGAGATGACAAAGATGTTAGGACTGTCTGGCAAAGACATTAAAGCAGCCAACATGAAAATGATTCACAGAGCAATTACAGATATGCTTGGAACAAATGAAAACATAGTCTCAGCAAAGAAAGAGAGGCCATAAAGAAGAACCAAATGGAAATTTTGGAAATGAAAAAAATAAATAACCAAAATGTACAAATTAATGAAGAGATTCAACAACAGAATGGAGGGAAGTGTCCTACCTGGGTAAGTGTTGAACATGTCTGACCCCTGAAACCCCCACTGAGTCATGATTGGTCAGAGCAAAAGGAGTTCTCTGTGCTTCATCTGAGACCTTCTGGGAAGGACGCACTGAGAGCGCCCATCCCTAAAGGCCCTCCCCGCCTCTCGGAGAGAGAGCTGGGCCCAGAGAAAGTCTCTGGGGGAGCCCCCACCTGACCCTCTTGACACCATCTCATGACTCTGGTAGAAGGACTCAGATTACATCACCCACTCTGCTTGTCCCCCTCCCTGTCTCCTCAGGCTCGCTTCATCCATGGCATGTTCACCGTGTACCCTGGGTTTGGCTCCATCCCTCCTGGAGGAATGCAAACCATCACTGTTGACTGTGTGGCTGATCCCGTGGGCAAGTGTGAGGAGTTTATAGCTATTGACATCTCTGACCGAGACCCAACAGACCATCCTGCTGGCATTCCTTACAGCCTTTTGGCGGAAGCCTGTGTACCAGGTACTGGGCACTCAGATGGAACAGAACCCCCTAGAAGAACTTCCTCTGTAACACCTCTGCCTCGGGCACATGTCTAGCAAATGTGGCTGGGCTGCTACCTTTGGGACCTTAGACTTCCCAAAGTTGTTTTAACTTCCTCTGTTGTTTTCAGCTATATTTTTCCTTAAAGACTTATACAGCATGCACACCTAGGAGAAGGTGTGCAGCTTTAAACTCCTAGTGTTCCTGAGTTTGGGCTGGGATTCTCAGATGACTAGTGTTCTCCAGGAATCATGGTGTAATGGGATATAGCACAAGCCCCAGAAACATGGAATCCTGCTCACAGCCAGGTCATTCCCTGTGGGCAGCATAGGCACAGGGAACAATGGTCAATAGCTGAACATGCTATAATTTTAACCCAGCAAGATCTCAGATGTAGCAGAGAGAACTTTTGCTTTGCCTGTACATACCCTGCAGCCTTGCACCAAAGTGAGCCAAGTACCTCCTTTCTTAAGCCCACCCCAGATGTCAGTCTGACCCCTCCTTACCATTGAGAGGAAAGGTGGTTGGGGTCTGGTGGCCCACAAGAGCAGTACAAAAGAAGGTATAGTCGAATGTGTCCCATCACTCATACCCTACCTCCCCTCTGTGCTTGTCCTTTGTCAGAATCCACACCTCCAAAAATGAGGAATTAGATAAGCAGAAATTGGGCTATCAGGCTTCATCTCACAGTTTTCCCTCCACTCCCCAGCCTTCGTGACTGACATCAATGCCTTGATATTTGAGGAGCACCAGATCTGTAGCAGTGCCAACCTATACAGCATGCTGCAGACCACAGAGACCAGGGGGCTTTTTGTGGAGGATGAAAACAAGTTCATGTTCAACAACGTCCTGGTGGGCCATCAAGCCAAGGCTCGGTTCAAGATCAGCAACGTGGGGAAGATCGCCTGTGATGTGAACATTGTAGTTAAGCCTATCTCCAACAAGGTGAGTGGCCCCGTTGGGCCCCCACCCCCATGGTTGGCAGAAAGCCAGGGAGAGAACTCTTGGAAACCCCTGCTTTGGAGCCTCTATATATGAGTGGGGATTGTCTGGTACCCAAGCCCTGATGGAAGTTATGGGAGGGAACTGGGCAGTTTCCCCTAGGCCAAGAGCCATGCATCTGTCCCAGTGGGTGTCTCTTGTGGGTCCATCTGTGATGCGCTAGTACCAGGAATGAGCAACTCAGTCATCCATCAAACACTCACTGGGTGCCTACAATAGACACAGTATTGTAGGAGAGACAAGATGAGCACCAGCTCATATAGGCTGCCTCAGATCACACACTCATCTGATGAAGGAGATTCGGGGGCAGGGGTATCAGGCTACAAGGAGGAGATGAAATGATGAGCATTTATTGAGCCCCCGCTGTGTGCTAGGTACTGTGCTAAATGATCTACATCTATTGGCCTCATGTTATGGCCTCACAACAAGTTCATATCATCCAACTTTGTATTATTATCCCCATTTTACTGTTAGAGAAACTGAGGCTCAGTAAAGCTAAATTCTTTCCTTAGGTCCCAGAGCCTAGGCATATAGGGCTAGGTCTAAAGCCACGCTTCATTGGCATACAAGGTAAATAATAAGTGCCCATCTCAGGGTCTGCCAGACTTGAAACTGCGTTCCCCTCTGGGTCAGATCATGTGGAGATCCTTTTTCCTCAAAACAGAATAGAAAATTCAGGATGCCCTCAATTTCACCCTCAATTTCCAATCAGATGTGCTACAAACATTGCCTAGTCTTGTCTCAGCTGTTCAGTTCTCTGCTCAAAAGCGGAATGCTGGCCCACGTGGTCCCTGTGCCCCAGAGCTGTCATTGTTCACTTTGCTGCTGGGGGTGGGAGATCACTCAAAGCACTGGCCTAGCCTAGAGCCAAGAATAGAGTATGCTTTCCCAGAGGACTGTCACCTGCTGCAGAGGGGCAGTGGTCAAGAGACCATCTAATTTTTTCTATGACTTCCCTCAGGCCCTGGTAACATCGGGTTGTTACTCTCTGACCTTATTTGGGACAAAGAGGGGCAGCTTTCTTCCTATTTTGTACTAAAAACATAAAAAAGTGAGGATGCATGATTTCTAAACAAAGATAGGTTTCTAACAGGGGGTTTGCAGACATTATATGTTCTCCCCCCCACCCTAATTTGCAGACTGCCCATTGGAAAGAACAAAGACAACTTAGTGCCCTCAAGTTGAGAACAAGAGGAAATAGTCAGTCTTGAATTCCACCTGCCTCCCTTAAGAATAAAAAAATCCTTTTGTGGCCATGCCAGGGGTTCCTATAGTCTTCCCAAAACACTGCGACAAGATGGGAACAGATCAAGTGCTGTGAGAGGTTGTTCTAGGTAAAGTTCTTGGAGTTACGCGGAGCAGAAACCTGCTCAGGACAGCCCAAACAAAGGTTTGTGCCGATGAGTCAGAGGCTTCAGTCAAGGGCAGGACACACCATGCAGCCAGGGCTCTGAGGGACTGGAGCCATTACCTGAAACCCAACTTTCAGAAGACCAGTAAGGTTCTGTCCATCATCCTTCAAGGGCCACAGTTTTGTCACTCATGCTGTCTCTGTTGTTCTGTTCTCTAGTCTGGCATCCATTCTGGCTCTGCATCAGCAACCCCCAAAGCTCTCTAGACATCTTAATTTAGTTCAGAGAAACAGACGGAGATTGATGTTAGACTAAGATCTGGATTTGCTCATCTGTTTGAGTCAAAGGTCACAGGTCTAGCCCTGTCCAGCCAGTTATTGCTGAGAGGTGGGTCCCAGAGTATCTCGACTACGCCTTCCAGGGGCATGACTGTGCAGGCAATGGAACATGTTTACTGCTGAGCTTAGAGGAGGGAGATTTCACAGAAGGGACAATAGAGATAAGCAGCAAGCTCTGTGTTAATGCAAAGTACCTAACACACATGCATGTCCCTGCCGCCCCCTCACCAGATCACTGCCCGCATCGTTGACATCTTTGAAGTGGAACCCACCAAGATGTGTATTGCCAGTCGGTCACATGCCTTTGCCACAGTGTCCTTCACCCCCCAGACCATGCAGACCTACCAGTGCATCTTCGAGGCTACCTTGGATGGCTTGCCCAGGTACCAGCTCCTCAGCAGCCTCCCCTGCAGCAGGGCTGCAGACCACACTCTATGGAACACCATTCCTGCCATGCCAGACTGACAGGCCTCCATCTCCCTGTTCCCTGCAGCAACCTGACCAAGAACCGAAGCCTCGTGTTTGATATCGTGGGAGAGGGGAACCTCCCTCGAGTGACCGTGGTGCAGCCAGTTCTCCATAACCAACACGGAAACCCCTTGCTCCTCTTTAAGAGGCTTCTTCTGGGTCATTCAGAGAAACTACCTCTCATCCTCAAGAACAATGGCACTATCCCTGCCCAGGTATTCTGGAGGGTGAAGCATGGGGTGGAAAAGAAAAGGAATCATTTAGATGTAAGATTTCTGACACTGAAGTCTCTGCCATCTCTAATGTATGAGGATTTCTTTAATGCTCCCTATACATTAACCTTCGTAAGACATGGGAAATTAGGCATGGTCTCTACCTTCAAGAAATGCCAGAAAGCAGATGGCATAGTACACTAATAAATACTGTGTGAGGCAATGTACAATGACATACACTAAGTTTAGTGGGTGGGATTATGGGTATTCTTAGTGTCTTCTTTATTTTTTCCGTAACCAACATTGCATTTCTAGTAAGAAAAAGCAAAAGAAACCTCATTAAGGGTGAGAGATATAATACCTGTAGAGACTTTTAATTCAGCAATTAAGTTATGTTTTTATTTTACAAGAAAAGTGCTAAATTTAGTAAGGGTTATGCAAAGGACTGTAGGACTTTTGAACATGACCTTGATCTGATCTAGGAGATCAAGGAAATTTCACTCTAAAATGATATTTGAGCGACATTGAAGATAGTTTAGTTGGTGGACATGTCAGTGAATGCATCCCAGGTAGAGAAAGAAAACTGCAAAGACAAATGCACAGAAGCAAAAAAAAAAATGTGACAGAAGCAAAAAAAAAATGTGAGGCACAAGCAGGACCTAGTAAGCACCAACTTCGTGAGAACATAGTGTACAGGTAGAAGAGCAGTGGGAGATAAAAATAAAAGGTAGAGTATGGGAACAACTTGTGGAGGGATTTGGATTCTATGTATATATTTTAAATCATACAAGATAGTATTACTATTATTGTTATTGTTGTTGTTTATACAGTTAAGACTCATTTAGATCTACCCAGGTGGTCACTTTTATTGCTTTTCATTCCTGCATCTCCAGCTTTCCACCTTAAGTCCTTTTCCTCTTTACTAATTACTCTTCAGTATTTCCTTAATTCATGTCTGCTGGTGGTGAATTCTCTATTTTTATTTTTAAATCTCCATTTTTCCTTCATTCTTAATGTAACTTTCACTGGTTATAGAAGTCTGGGTTAGCAGTTGTTTTCTCTCAGCCAACAGGAGCTATTACGCCAGTGTGTTCTGGTTTCCATGGTTACTGAGATGGCAACTTCAAGTCTAAAATGTTCTTTTAAGAAAGAACATTTCCCTCTGACTGTGTTTAACATGTTCACTCTGTATTTGTTTTCTCTTGTTTCATTATTATGTGCTAGGTACGGATTTCTTACAATTTATCCCTCTTGAAATTCACTGGGCTTCTTGATTCTGCAACTGATGTCTTAAATCAGTTTTGGAAAATTCCTAGATCTGTCTTCAAGTATTGCTTCTGTTCCATTCTGTCATATCTCTCCTTCTGGGAAGCCAATTAAACATGTGGAATACCATCTCACTATATCCTCTGTCTCACAGCCTCACTGTATTTTCCATTCATTTTCTCTGGGCTTCGTTGTGCATAATTTCTTTTGACTTGCCTTCAGTTTAGTAACTCTCCCTTTAGCTATATGTAATCTGCTGTTAAAGCTTCCATTAAGTTCTTGAGTTATTATATTTTTCAGTTCTAGAATTTCTATTAGATTTTCTCAAATCTACATAATGTTTTTATGATACCTAGTTTCATGCTGAAATTGTCAGACTTAGTTTTGATTTCTTGAACATAGTTATTGCAGCCATTTCACAGTCTATACCAGATAATTCCAAAATCTGAAGTCTGTGTGGGTCTGTTTCTGCTATCTGCTACTTCTGCTCATTTTTCCCCATGTTGTCATGCGTCCTCATGTGCCTGGTTATCTTTGATCATGTGTTGGGTATTATATTTGAAAAGTTATTTTAAAATAATTAGAGTAAGGATGATGTTATTTTCCTTCAGACAGTTTGCATTCACTCCTACCTGGCATTAGAAATTCAGGTCCATCTTAAACTGGTTTTAGGCCTTGAGATTTTCTGGATTACATAGATGACTCAGAGCAGGATTGCTCTCCTAGAGAAGAGCTGGTTTATATCCATCTTACCTTTTTTCTTATTGTGCAGACCTTTGGTATCCCAGTATAGAGCAAATGAAGCACTCTTGTCCTTCACAGGACGTTTGCCCTCTTAGCACCTAGAGACGATCAAAAGCACAGTTCACTTTCCCTTCTACCTCTCCAGATGGGCAAATGCCCCAGGTCGAAAACAGCCTGGAACATTAGGCGACTATCTCTGGATTTCCACATTCTCCCAGATCTTGGCCTGGTAACTCTTCATTATCTTAGCTCTGTGATGCTTTTAAAATTGTGTTGTTGTTACTGTGTTGTTCTGTATTTTTTGTTGTTGTCTTGAGTCCAAGTATACCATTATCCTGTGTTCTTTTAAAAAAAAAATTTTATTTATTGATTTTTAGAGAGGGGAAGAGAGGGAGAAAGAGAAGGAGAGGAACATCAATGTGTGGTTGCATTTCACACGACCCCTGCTGGCGACCTGGCCTGCAACCCAAGCATGTGCCCTATGCTGGGAATCGAACCAGCGAGCCTTTGGTTCACAGGCCGACACTCAATCCACTGAGCCATACCAGCCAGGGTCCCCTGTGTTCTCTCAATCATTATGTTATTATAAATATTTTGCATGTAGTTCTGTGAATTCTGCCCACCTACTCCCCATTTTTCTACCTTTTCTTAATAACTTTTGCATATCTAGTATCTCAGGTTAACTTTACACATCATTTTACAATGTTCTGCAAAAATTTCATTGGGAATCCTATGAATTATTTGGGAAGAATTTCTACTTTTAAGCTCTCCACCAGAAACAACATTTAGGATTTCCACCCTTTTATTTAGCTCTTTCATGTCAATATTTTTTTTCATCTAGTTCCTGCATATAGTTTATTAAAGTTATTTCTGAATATGTAATTTTTTATCTCAGAAGCTTCCTCTATGATGTCTCTACTTCTTCCTTCTTTGTGCCTCATTTTTAATATTATTTTATCTTGCTCATGATGTTCAAGATGGTGCCAGCATGACTATCTTCTAAAAATGTTTGCTGATGTCTCATACCTAATATCAGATATATGATTTCAGTTTTTTTTTTAAACACTATACATGGCTCTCAGTGGGCTGAAAACATTCTTTTTCTCCATGTAGGTCAGATGCCCGCCTTGATTCTTCTCTTACCTTGGTAGGATACAACACTATGAGGCAACTAAGGCACGAGTACCTAGGAGATGCTGTATTTTAGAAACTCATATCCATGCAATCCCTCACAGAGTTACAAATATTCCCTTCCATTTTATTAGCCTAGAGTATATTTTACAACTACCTCTGTCAATAACAGTGGCCTTGGAAACCCCACTTTGACACTGCTTCAGTGGGTTACCTGGAAAGTCACCTGTACTCTCTGGGCCTCCAGTTTCTCACTTGGCTAACAAGAGCTGAACTAAATTTTCTTTTTTCCTCTCTAGGTTTAATATTTATTATATCTCCCTCTTAATAAGAAACAAAAAATTGTGCACTAGGCACGAGGGCTTTTTTTTTGGGAGGGGGATGTTATATGTCACAAACTGCACAGTATCTCACTATGGACTCAAAACCCATGAGTAGCCTGTAAGTGTAACACTCAGTCCTGCTTTCCTTCTGCCAGCTGCATGTTGACCTGCAGGACCAACTAGAAGTCTTCTGCCTGAAAGGGAGGCCCACTACCTCCTATATCTACATCATAGAGGAAAACAAACCCCACGCAAAAGGTAAGTTGAGGAAGAGTAGCTTCCAGAGGGCAATGAGACCCAGTTAACTGTTTTGTGAGGGGACTAATCAGGATGCAGAGTAGGAGGCGCAGTTTTGTTGCCAATGGCCACTCTAGGTAATGCTCATTCCCACACTAGGGCTACTTTCCCTTGAATCTTTATAGATGCATCTTCTTTTAAACTAATCCTAAGTCATTCTCTTTTCTCTTTGCAGCAAAGAAGGCTCACACTGCCTCCCTGATTGTTGCTCCTGGAGACACAGCTGAATTTGATGTTGTTTTCCACTCGGGAAATGTTGGGAGAATGACAGGCACGATCCACTTGTCGGTGATCGACAACCAATACGAGAACACAATCATCCACATGGTGGGAGAAGGCTACGAGGACGACATCACCTTGGACAACATCCATGGGCTGGTAACTTCCACCAGCCAGGAGGCCTCAGATATCCCTGAGGTCACCGAGGAAACAACCATGGAAGACTTGGTGGAAGGTGGGAAGAGAAGCAGAGAGGTGTTGACAACTGTTGGCTCTTGGGTCAGCAGTGAAATTTAAACAACAGATCAACTAGCTTCCTGGGAATTTAGGACTGAATCTCCTCTTCCTCACTGTCTTCTCTTTCGTGCCTGGCTCTGGGACTGCATTCGTTCATGTGTCCCCTCAAGAAACATTTATGGAGCATCACTGTGCACATGCCAGGCACTACTCTGAGCCCTGGAGTTCCAAAGGGGAATAGGAGTCTCTGCCCTTAGGGGGATTATAGTTTGAGCTCAAGTTCAAATCTAGTTAATAAGCAAAATTCATAATTCAAACTCCAGATGAGCTAAGAAGTGAATACATATCTCTCTGTAGTTTTCCCTGTTTATATAGATTAGCTGGCTCACATTGACATTGCCTGTTTCATCTGAACCGCGTGTCCTACACATTCCAAGAGAGTTTGTGGGCTTGTTTAAACAGGATGTAGGCTGGTGCCTTCTCTAGAGCATCATTCTCCACAGTCTCTCTACTCAATGCACTGAGAACCAACACCATCAGCATTACCTGGGAACTTCTTAGAAATGGGAATTTCAGACTCTACCCCAGCACCTCAGACATGCTGAATCAGAATCTACATTTTATCAAGATCTTTAAGTGACATAGTAAAGCTTAAGACACATCCTGCTATGCAACCTATCAAGTTCTCCATCTTCATTTGGTTCACTATACGCTTTGGGCCAGGAGAAAATTTATAACACTTCATCATTATTCTCAAAAGGCATTTGCTGAGCACCCTAATTGTGTGCCTCATTGCTACAAAGTGAGTTATAAATACAGTCTCACAATTTTTCTAGGAGCTTAATTATAGTCCTGGAATGTAGCATTGCGCAGTCTATATAACATGGGTAAAAATCAATGCACCTCATCCATGTTCGTGGCTGCAGGGTGACATCTCTCTTATCAGAAGTCAAACAAGAGCCAGCAGTGAACCCTAGTACAGAAATAAAATTTCATATTTCTAATAGGCTTGCCAGATTTAGAAAATCAGAGTACAGGAGTCCCCATTAAATGTGAATTTCAGATAGATGATGGATTTTTTTTTTAGTTTAAATGTGTCCCAAAATATTGCTTAGGACATATTTCTACTAAAAATTACTCATATCTGTAATTCAAATTTAACAGGGACTCCTGTATTTTATCTGGCCACCCTAACCCTTAGGAGGCCAAGGTGGATGGATGGACAGTAGATTCCTCAAGGAGGGAAAGCTTACTGCTCAGGACTCCAGGTTTTTCCAGTAGAAGCATCCAAGGAAGGAGGAGTTGTGTGAGGGCGAGGCACAGTGTGTTTCAGGTGCTGCCTCCTCTGGGCAGGAGCCCTAGGAGGAGGCCAGGGAGGACTCACCAGCCCTCTGCTTGTGTTCCTTAGCTGCCCTGGTGGACCACATTCAGTTTGGGGACTGCCACATTGGAAACAGCTATAACGTGAGCTTCACAGTCACTAACCACAGCCAAGTGAATGTGATACGGTTTGAATGGCCCATTTTAGCTACAGTTTCCTTTTCCCCACAGGTAAGTGCAAGCCATTCACTGTTTTCTGGACTCCCTTAGGCCCAAACCCAATTTGGCTGTCAGTTCATTTCCATGGATACAAAGGATGGGATGGACCTCACTCAGACCTGGTATTGGAGGACGCTGTTCATACCCCCTCTGATCTAAGAGCAGAGAATAAGGTTTGCCTAGGCTGATGTGGAGGAATTCCATGGAAGCCTGTGTGGCTGGAAATGCACCCCAGTCTTACTACCCCAGCGTATAGACTTGTGTCCCCTAGGTGTGTGTTCTTTAAGCATTAGTCCTGCAAAAGTCCTTCACTAAAAGATAAAATGGGGCGATGGTTCCTGTGGACAACTGAGATTTAGAAAATGTTCCAAGTTTCATCTTTCTCTTAAACATCCCCCGTGCCCTTCAGCATACTATAATAAAACTAATTAACTGTGCTTAACCTGGAATTTTCTAACCCTTTCTTTTAGCAACTCACAGCACACATTTTATGAATTGCTGACCAAGGTTTAGACAACATGGTAGCAGATTGTAGCCTCTGGCCAACAGTCGCTTTCCATAGATAGCTGATTTCTGAGCTGCCAGGACACTGGATACACACAGATATAGCCACAGCCTCCTGCTCTGTTTCAGCCCCAAAGTCTTCAAACACAGAACCCTAGGGGGATAGAGCAAGGGGGGTCGGGGGCCCCACCTTTAAACCTCTGAGTGCTGTCAGGAGGAGGTTTTGCTTCCTGAGGGGATGTGAATACTTAAGTTAGTTAAAGGAGGCAGAGATAAGCTTCTCATAGTCCATTTACATATACTCACATATACCCATATATACCCCCCCCCACATACAGACATTTGTGCATACACATGCACACATGTGTGGCCTTAGGAAGTACAAAGCTTTCTCCTCCCTCCACTTTGAAAGGAGGTAGAGTTTCAGAAACATGAAGGGACTACACACACACACACACACACACAAAATATGGTATATCTGTGGGTTTTTCATGTGCGTGTTCGTGTTTGCAAAATTATAAATTATTATTTTCGATAGCCCAAATTGGATTTCCCATGTATCTGGAATCTCAGCCTTTTTGATCTCAGGACTCCTTTACGCTCTTAAATGCTATTGAGAACCCTCCAAAGAGCTTTTGTTTATGTGGCTTACATCTATCAATATTTACCATATTAGGAATGAAAACTGAGAATGTTTAAAAACATGCATTTATTTATTCATTTTAAAATCTAATAATAAAGCCATTACATGGTAATATAATAGTTTTATGAAAATGGCTATATTTTCTAAAATAAAAAATTGTCTGAGAATACATTTTCTCATTTTTATAAATCTCTGTAATATCTGACCTGATAGAAGAGAGCTGATTCTCATATTTGCATCCTCATTCAGTCTAATGCTGTATCACATGTCACTCCATTGTATAGTCATGAGGAAGTAAGAATGAAAAGGCCAACATCTTGGTACAAATTATGATGAAAATGGTTTTGACCTTGTGGACTCCTGAAAAGATCTTATGGATCCCAGGGGTCACCAGATCACACTCTGAGAACTGCCCATGTACTGTGTACATCTGTCCATAACTTGTGTAGGTCACATTGGTTAAGAAACGCAGGTGGTTAAGAATGTGGTATCTGTGCCTGGATCTGAATCCAGCTCTCCCTCTCTTAATGTGTGACCTCGAGCAAGTTACAGTTTTCCTTGTCTGTAAAGTAGGGGTAATAGCTATACATCCTATAGGGTCGCTGTGGGAATTGATAGGATTGTGTACATGTTTAAACAGTACCTGGCGCAAGTAACAGTGTGATAAATATTAGCTGCTCTTGTTTATGTGACTATATTTCTATCTAAGAAGCTTTTGTACGTATTTAAGATGATCTATATATCAGGCTTAAATGATGGATTTTTTTTTTTGCCAACACTTTTTTTGGCTGTACCCGTCCCCTAAAACAGCACAATTCAGTAGCAAGAGTCCTCAAAATTGAATTCCCAAAAATAGTAACACCAGGCTCTTCCCCAGGTAGGCCACCTCCACCCTGGGTGTGCCAAGGACATAGTAGTAACCGTGAAGTCAGATGTGCCCATCAACCTGAACAAGATGGGGGTCAAGTGCAAGCTGTCCAAGATCATGTTTCAACAACCTGCGGACCAGGTTCCCGACTGGGATGACCGCATGCGCACAGTCAAATGGATGGATGTGCCCAGAAGCACACCTGGGACTTTCACCACAAAACGAAAAGTGAGTAGGGACTTCAATTGCAAATCTAGCTAGGCTGGCCAGGCCTGGATACCTGTTGTGCTCACATGTGGTGTCTCATCATTTCCTTCTTTCATGGGGGGGGGGGAAAAAGTTCCCATTCCACTTGATTTTCATTTTTAAAATGACAAACTGAACTTCCAAGCATGCTGCCTGCCATCCATACTACACATGCCACATGGACCACACATCTTAATTGGTAGAGCTTTAGATTGTCTTGTTATCTAGTTGAGCAAGTCCTCCCATCTTTTTCTTCTTCAGAGATGTCATGGCTGGTCTTTTCCTTGTTTCCTTTTTCCCCCAGGTCTCCAGAATTGTTATAGATGAGTTACAGACAGAATCTCACCTTTGGTTGATTGCATGCCCCTCTCTTAATTATTCTTTTGTTAGTTTCCTTGTAATAATATAAACAAAGGTGAAGCCACCCACAGCACAGAAATTAGAACAGATTTCCAACATGGTTCTCAGCCATTCCATGCCCCTGCCTCCCTCCTAGAGGAGATCACTATCCTGAATCTTGTTTGCTCATTCCCTGGATTTTTGTCTTTTGTTTCTTTTTTAACCTATGCATGCTAAAAGGCATAACATTTAGTTGTAGTTTTAATTTTTTTTTAAAGGTTGTTGCATGTACTTATCCACATCGATGCATGTGGCTATAGTACACCCATTTCCCTGCTGTATAAAATTCCATTTATTTTTTTACCAACTAACATTTATCAAATACTTGGTATTAGCAAGAAAGTATATTTTTATTTTTTTCTAATTATAGTTGGCATACATTGTTATATTAGTTTCAGTCTACCCTGGCGATTAGACATTACATAACTTACTAAGTGATCATCCTGATAAATCTCACGCCCATCAGGCACCACACATATTTCTTAGAATATTATGGACTACATTGCCTATGCTGTACTCTATATCCCCATGACAATTATGTAACAACCAATTTGTACTTCTTAATACGTTCATTACCACCATTCTTCTTTTGAAAATTATTTGGGGTTTTACTATTATGGACAGTGTATCTGTGAGCATTATTGTTCATGTCACATTGTATTCATTTGCAAGGGCTTATATTTCTAATAGCAGAGTTGCTGAATCATAGGATATGTGAAAGTTCAACTTTCCAGGATAACTCCCAGATGTTTTCCAAGTGCTGTACCAATTTATACTCCTACTAGCAAAGAGATCTTACTGATCTACATTCTCTCTAACACTCAGCATTGTCAGACTTTTTGATTTTTATCATTGAAATGAATAGGAAATAGTTTCATTTTGGGCCTACTTTGCCTTTCCCTGATCACTAAACAAAGTTGACTATTTTGTAAATGCCTTTTGCCCATTTTTAAAATTATGATGCCTGTCCTTTGCATGACTTACTTTAGTTTTTATAAACTCTACCGTTTCTATTCTTTGTCTGCAATGTCTTTGCCAAATTTTAGCATATCTTTTCACTTTATTTAATGTATCTTTTCATGAGCAAAAATGTTCATCTCTCCTTTTATAATTATTTTTCTGTGTGTGTGTCTTGTTTCTAAAACCCATCCCTAACAGGAAAGATTCACTGATTTTTTCCTTCTTTCTTTCTTTTTTTTTTTTTTTTTTTTGTACATTTATCAGGTTTCTTTTGATATTTAGGCCCATTGCCCACCTGAATTTTATGGCATGAAGCAAGGATCCAATTTCGTATTTTTCCATCTAGATAATTGCCAAATCCCCTTTTTGTTTGGCCCTCTGTTGTGATCTGCCATTACTCCCTCATGATCTAAATTTCCCATGTGCCTATGGTGTATCCTATCTCTATATTCTACTTCACTGCCAATTTTTCTATCCCTCTGCCAGTTTTGCACTGCTTTAATTTCTGTAGTGGCATAATCAGCCTTGATATCTGGAAGGGAAGTCCCTCTAACATACTGTTTTGTTCTGAAGTGTTTTAGTTATTCTTCACCCTTTATTTTCTATATAATTTTGGAATCCGTTTACCAAGTACAGTTGACCCTTGGACAATATGGGTTTGAACTATGTGGGTCCACTTATAGTGGATTTTTTTTTCAATAAGCACTGTTAATAGATTTTCTCTTCCTTAAGATTTTCTTAATAGCATTTTCTTTTCTCTAGCTTACTTTATTGTAAGAATCCAGTATATAATAGAAATAGCAAACAAAATATGTGTTAATTGACTGTTAATATTATCAGTAAGGCTTCCAATCAGCAGTAGCCTACTAATAATAGTTAAGTTTGGAGGGAGTCAAAGTTATGCAGGGATTTTTGACTGCACGGGGTTTGCTGCTCCTCACCCCGACATTGCTCAGGGTCAACTGTACTATGAAAACCCTGAAGGAAAATTGATTGGAATAGGATTACATCTATAAGTCAGTTTAAGAAGAATTGACAATTTTGTAATATTAATACGTCCTTTCCATTAATAAGGTATATTGCTCTATTTGTTTAGGTCTTTAAGATTTTAAGATTATTTTTACTATCATTTGTTTTCTTTAATAGTGTTAGGACTCTTCAGGTTTTTTATTTTTTTCTTGAGTCAATTTTATTAATTTTTTTTAAGCATTTGCTCTTCAACTAAGTTTTCATATATAGTTTCATAAAATTATTCATATTACTTCCATATTATATGTTTAAATCTGTAGGATCAGTAATAATGCCCCTCCTTTTTCATTTCTGATACTGGCTACTTGTATTTTTTTTTTCCCTGATCATTCTCACCAAAGGTTTTTAAAATCTTTTCAAGTAACTTTTGGCTTTGTTGGTCCTTTTTGTTTTAGATTTATTTTCTATTTTATTAATATCTGTTCCTCTCTTTATAACTTTCTTTCTCCTGCCTTATTTGGAATCCATCTGACCCCAAACTCATGTTTGTGCAGTCCTAATGCCCCGGTAATTTTTTATTTTCTTTCCCATTTACAAGTCATTTTAGATTTGCCATAATCCTTTGTCCTGGAACTTGAGTTTATGAGTTGGTGTTAATTTGCATTAGTAGAATAGGGTTCTGTTTTCCCCCACAATGTCCCAGTGCGACAGCTGGCTCTGCATCACTGAGGACACACTGCCTTTGTTACAGGTGGTAGAGACGGACCCTGAGCCTGCTCACTCAGTGCTGGAAGAAAACTACCGAGAACTGCAGCTTCAGATCAGTGCCAATGTGAATTTCGCATCGTACCAGTGCAAAACGAGCGAAGTGCGCTTTAAGGGAACGCTAGTTTACCAGACCCGAGTGTTTCAGTGAGTCATCAAAAGCCTCCCAACACTCATCAAAGAAATTCTTTCATTTTGTCATTCACTCACTCATTTATCAAACATTTACTCAGTGTCCATGGCAGCACATACCAGGCGTCATCTGTAGCATGCATCATAGTGTCTACATGCGTGCAGTGAAACATTCAGACTCACAGAGCAATTGAAGTTACCCTTGAAATCAAGATATAGACCAGGAAACTGGCATCAGGTGATCAGCTTCAGTGGGAACAGTCCCTGCAGCAATCCATACAGGCACCCGGGAGCTGTCCTTGTTGGCCAACCAGGTGACAGTTCAGACAATAACCACATAGTGGCGCTAGGGTCCAACCTAGTTAAGAAGCCCCGTGACTAAGAGAAGCCAACGTTTCTCATGACCCCTCCATAAGTATAGTTTCCAGGATCTCTGCAGGGGACATGCCCTGTTACAGAAGTCACTATACTCAGAGAACCCCAAGGCTATAGGTTCCCTCCAGATAATCATAATTCCTCCCACACTAGATGCAACTTAACAAATAGGGGTCATTTTTACTCTAAACAATGTTGCCTAATAACACAGCTGACATTCCTCCTTTATTTTTCAGGGAAACTGAGCAAGAAAGTTAATTCAAAGTCAAAATTGTCCTTAGAAAGAGAAAGCATTATGTTAACCCTCCACCCACAGACAGATGCAGGGATACAAGGATGTCATGGGTCCTGCTCTCAAAGAGTTCATGGTCTTGAGTCAGGGGTATAGGGTAGATGCAAACAGGTGAATTGATGGTACAGCATGCTGTCCTGTGGAGGTAGTAAGAGTACCTAAAGCAGACCAAGATATGGGAGAGACAGAGTGTCAGGGAGGCTTCCCAGACAAAGTGGTGCCCCAGCTGAATTTTGGAGACAAGTAGGAGGTAGCCCAGTGAGGAAGTGAGAAAAAAACAGCCTTCTAGGCAGAGAGAGCAACCTTTACAAGAGAGAAGGCCTGTGACTAATCTTTGAGAATTACAAACACAAAAAGTAAACCACTAACATTTCTACTTTGTAAAAATTAGTAATCAACTTGTTTAACTCATTTTGTACTTGTTGCACGTAAAGTGTCCTCTCAAATTGTTATAGAACCAAAAGGTAGAAGAAAAGAAGTGGGATCTTCTGCTGATGCCCATTACACAAAAGCAGGGATCAGCAGACTATGACCCAGGGACCAAATCCAGCCAGCCACCTGTTTTTGTAAATAGGGCCTGTGAGCGCACAGCCATGCCCATTTGCTCTGTGTCGTCAGTGGCTGTGTTCGCAGCGCAACAGCAGAGTGAGAAGCTGCTGAGAGACCAACGCACACAAAGCCAAAAAAATCTTACCATCTGACCCTTTACATAAACCAAGGCTTCTTTTTATGAAAACTATTATGTGCCACTAAGATTTCTCCACTTTATAAAAATTTCATTTAGGATAAGCTCATTGTATGAATTTCATAAATATAAGCCCCTGAAGTCAAAGCACTTGGCTTCAAGCACATCTGCATGGTCTACCTGCATGGGATAATGGAGGTCTAATCTCTAAGCCCACCCTGGACATACTCCCTCCCAACTCTCAACTTCTACTATTCCCCTAAAACCAGGAGAGCATGTGTGTTTCTTTCTCTTACACAATCATTTTCTTGTTCAAGACCTCATGCCCCTGCTGTCATTGTCTATGATCAAGTTTAATAGTGATTCCAGAAAAAGCTTCTATCTGCCAGTTCTTGTCACAGAGCAGGGAAACTTGAGGCCAGGAAAGGCTCCACCGATTCAGAATTTGAGACACATCTGTGTCTCAGCCAGTGAAAGCATCTCGGGAAGAGGTCAGATAGTTTCTGAGGACAGGGACACTGTTTCTGGTGGTGGGAAGTGATTCAGGAAGGGAAGGGGCTATGATATTTGCACCCCAGGAGGGTACTGTCATGTGAAATAGATTTTTGTTTCCTCTCTCATGGGAATTTTTCAGGATTACTGTGATGCACACTTGAGAGTTCTGGTGCCAGTGGTATGCCAGAGAATTTTCAGTGCTGAACATTTGGATATTTTTACTTTTAAGAGTTAGGTATATATTTTTTGTTTAACAAGGAAATATAATTGGCACATCAAATGCCCAATTTCAGATAAATTGTTTAAATTTGCCTTTTGAAGAAATATATAAAAGACAAAGTGACTTGACTTAAAGACAAAAGTAACTGCGTACATGCAGGTGATGGGTGTGCAGGCAGGACAAAAATCACTTGCAGCACATTTCCCATATCGGTTCTCTGATCTGTTTGCAGGTTGGAACTGATCAATACAGGAGATGTGCAGCTGGAATTCACTTGGATCTCAGAAGAGACAGCGAAGGCTGTCAGCTTTGCAGTGCCAGATAACCAAGGTAAGTGCAAAGGAAGGTAAAAACCCAGGGTTTGAGCTGAGCCCCCAGTTAGTATAAGAGCCTCATTCATGGAGAAGTGAGCACTGCCCTAATAGATCCTCCCCCTTCCCCTACAAAGTAGCTGTGGAGAAGCAAAGCAGAGGACTCCTGGTGTCTGCAGAGCCAAAATGGACCTGAGAAGCGCAAGGGCTGACCTCTGCCCTCCTGGAGCTGGACCCTGGCCCCCGACAAGGCCAGCCCCCCTCTCAGATCCCTAGGAATCTTTTCTTTTAGATCCTAACCTTCTAGGACATTACAGGCCCTTGGAGAAAATGATTAAAACTGTGAGCTGCCTCCCCAGGAAATTACATTCCATGCCCAGTTTGCAGCTGAACATGGGAAGCACTTAATAAAGGGGCCCAGAACCCAGGAGGCAAGGATCCATTACTACTGCTTCAATTTTGCAGATTCCCAGACCTTCCAACTGGGCCCTTTATCCATGGGCCCCCAGGTTGTAAACTCCTGCTTTAAAATAGTGATTCTCCACAAGTGATGTTCACAGCCCAATATTTTTGAGGCAAAAAACCCACAGACATCTACTTGACCCACTCCCTTGAGCCAAAAGGAAACAAATTTGAAAACTTGGTGGAATTAATAGCAGTATTTTTCATGAGTCACCTGTAAGAACTATGAGTCAATTCCTTACCCATAGTGACCAAAGTTAAGATTATCTGCTGAAAGAGGTGAACTCACAGACCACACAGAGGGTCCCTAAGGACCTGTGAGTGGGCTGCCTTCTCCTTGTCCTCCCACTGCAAATGCAGAGTATCACTGGCTCTCCATCTGCCCCCAGGTTCCTCTCAAAAAGATCAGCTGAGCCAGGGCACACTCCCCACTGGCAGCACTCTGGACAGTGCCATGGACCATGGGAACGGAGCTCCCCAGCTGCCCTTTTCTGTGGTGCCCATCTCAGGCATTGTGCCTGTGGGGAAGACTGAGAAGATCAAAGTGAAATTCTCCCCGTTGGAGGTTGGAGACTTCGAGAGCAATCTTCTCTGCCAGTAAGGAGACATGCTCCCCAGAACAAGCTCTGCAGCTCCTATCCCTCTTCTCTCCCATCACTACCGCATTCTTTCCAACCCGAGACCCCTCCATGGCCCCAAATCGCCACATTTTCCTTTGGAAAGATTCAAAGGGATTAGCCTTTGGAGCACAAGGAGGATTTGGTCTTTCATATTGCTCATCAACCCTCTCTAGACTCTTCCTCTGGCCCACCTCTCCCTTCCTGGCCACATACTGAAGTCCACTGGGCAGCAAAATAGTTGGCAGCCAGGTGGGTTCCAGTCCTTGGGCAAGCACAAATTTGGGAAGGCTTTCTTGTACCTTTACTGCTCCTAGGCTTCATTAACTGTAAAATGCAAATAACAATACACACCTTGCAGAGTTGTCATTAAAACTGAATGAGGTAATTCGGTGATGCTTAGAACAGTGCCTGGCACACATTAGGTACAACAAACATTAGGTGGTGGTGATGGTGGAGGTGGCAGACCTAGTAAGCAAGGAAGGGATGGGGACCAGATGCATTTAGATAAAAGCCAATCCAAAATCCCCTGGCAATGAAAGTCCCTGATGTGGTACCCACTCCCAGGAAAGCTCCACAGAGAATGCCCTCCTTACAGAGGAATTCCACAAACCATGGCTGAGTGTGGCGGACACCGCTGTGGGACATGGGAGCTTCCTGGAAACACTGCAATCACTGCAGGGACCCTCCTGCACCTGGGCCACCTAAACTTGAGCCTGGGGCTGGAAGTCTCCTCACATCCAGTTTGCTTTCTCCTAGGAGCTCAGGATACTTATTTAGGGTTTCTGCATCACTTTTCCTATTCCACTAGATGCCCTTGAGAGAGCCCAAAGTGTAAGCCTCTGTGCTCATTTTACAGTGGGGAGATTTTCTCACCGCTGGTAGAGGAAATAACCTGAGGCCATACTTGGGTACATAGAAGGGGCCAGAATTCAGGTTCATCATACTCAGCCCATTCATGCATTCATCCGCTCAGCGTTAGTTAATGAACACCTACTATGTATCACATACTCTTCAAGGCACTGAGGTGATGTTGTTGACCAAGTTGGATGCAGTCTTTGTTCTCATGGAGCTCACATTTTAATAGATGTAATATTCATTTCCAACCAACTAAGACAGCAACAACTGATTAAAATTTAAATAAATAAGTAAATAAATATGTACATACACACATACAACCTTATTCTTTCAGGATTCCCAACCTGCCACCTGGAGAGCAAGGCCCAGTGGTATCAGCCAAAGGGCGGAGCATCTTGCCTGTGTGTCATTTTGACCTGAAAGACTCAGATTACATCAGTGGACACCGGCGCAACCCAGATCTCCGAGGGCCTGGTGGTGGGGCTCTGGACCCAAACACCCGGGTGATTGAGTTCACCAGTGTGGGCATAGGAGGGAAGAATCTCCGGTGAGTTGCTTAAGTTTGCATCAGTTTAGTTCATATCAGTCAATCCTTCTAAAGAACTCAGAGGAAGAATTCAGAGAACCGAGCTAGATGTGTTCCTAGAAGTAGACTTGATACCCTGAGGTCAGAATTGAGAGAGCTCCTACAGTAAGAAAGTGAATTCTGTCTCCTTAGTTTTGACACTGGAAAATTTAGAAGGCATAATAATATAATCCCTGACCCTTGGCCACAGAGGATGCCTGAGACAGAAGGGCCCTCAGCATCATTATTACTCCAAAGTCCAGACCTCCAGCCATATGCTAGACCCCCAAGTGGGATGTAGTTTCCATTTCTACAGTAACAAAAAGTATTTGGAACAGTTCTGATTCCCACATAGGGAGACCAAGGTAAAGCAGGACCTAAGAAAGTTTCTCTTAATTCTCAACCCCCTCTCTTACTCTCTGCTATCAATTCTTCCCCCTTTGCCAGGAGTTTTACAATCCTCAACCCAACCATTAGCACCTATTCCTTCTGTTGGGTCTCTGAAGAAATTGAAAGTCTCCAGAACCCTCCAGCCTTCACATGCCTTACAGAGAAGGGCTTCATCCACCCTGATAAGAAAGCTGAGGTATGTGTGTGAATGAGGACCACTCAACCTGGGGCTTTAATCATTCCATCCCTCTCTGTGTAGCAGGTATGCTGCAGAGATAGAGTTAGGGAGCAGCCTAAGGGTGCATCCATCAACACGTATTTCTTGAGTGACAATTATATATGTTAGGTGATCCTCATCAACAAGACAGGCCGAAGCTCTCTTTGTTGGCCGTGGAGAAGCAGATTTCTAGTATTTAGAGTTTTAAAAATTGAGATTATTAAAGCAGGAGAGGGAAACTGGGTACCCGCCAGTGCCTGGACACTATAGAACAGTGTTGTTCTTGTCCAAGAGATTGACAGCAGTGAAAGGACACAGATGTGTTTTTTCTTGGTCAGGTCAAAGGGCAAAACAGAAAAATGGAGTCATGTCCCATGCCTTAACCCTACTGTTTCCACAGTCTCATAGGTTAGGGGGTCCATCTTAAAGAAACATGAACTCACTGGCCAAAATAGATCTGCAGGCCTCATGTCTTGTAAGTCCTATAGAGAATCTTAGAGGCAGAAATAAACCCATGAAACAGAACTTACAAATTCAGGTACCTTCAGGAAGGTCATACAAATGAATGAAGCAGGCCAAGGGGGCCATGACAGGGAATGCTGGGCACCCGAGCTGGCTGGCCACAGTGCTTCTCTGGAAATGACCACCACACAGACAAGTGGGCCCAGGGTTGCCAACTCTCCCAAACTTTTTGGGAAAAAGTCAAAATTCCAAATTTCTATCTGAATCTCTCCATTTGTACATGGCATCCAAAGACATGATGTGAAATATGGCAGTCCAGCTAATAGAGGCTATGATGGCGAAGACCCCCTAAGAAAGACTGTGGGCAAACGGGGCAAACAGACATTGATGTTGCTGGTACAACCAGACTTACATGCCCTTCAGAGAAGGCAGAAAGGTAGTGATGACCTGGTAATGTCAGCCATAGTAACCCCAGTGCTGACAAGCCTCCAGGGGCACATGGAGTAAGTAAACAGAAGTGCTTCTTACCACTCTGTTCCAAACTGTCTTCATAGATTGTCTTCCAGTTCACGCCTTTCCATCTGAACATCACAGAAGCTTTCTGGACTTTCTTAATTCCTGAACACAACATCACAGTCCCCTTCCTGCTGGTAGGCAAAGCCTCTGACCCTCTTATCAACCTGGACAAGTCCCACCTCAACTTCAGTTGTCTCCTCATTGGTAAGGCTGCCTGTTGGTTTACATTTGGAGTTACGTGACCTATAGGGGAGGGAAGGGGACCAACCCAACAATGAGCTGCAGGAGCAGACTTGGGTGGGGACTTTTCCCAGTGCCCCCCCAGAAGCGTGTCTGAGGACCTTTCTCACTGTTCACAAAGCCACAAAATATTTACCACTCAATCCGATTTCCATCAAGTATCTCCTAAACCCATACACTAATAACCAAAGGAAATTTAGGAGCCTTGTTACACATCCTACTTGAAAGATTCCATTAGGACCTGGACTATCTTCATTTCCAAAGCCTCATGTCAGCCCATCCTTCTTATGTGTGCCCCAGATTATGGGCTCTGTTTGTTTGCATCTTGGTGTATGCCACAGGATTTCTCTGCCATCCTTTCATACATTTGTTTGTCTCAACAAATATTATCAAGCCCCTTGAATGACCTAGACGCTCTTCTTTGAGCTGGGCGTGCAATAGATAAAGCCAGAGTTCCTACCCTCATGATGGTTATATTCTAGGAATAGAAAGCAGACTACAAACAAATAAAAAAGCAAAATATGAGGTCTGTCCAGTAGGTATCAGCCATGTAATATGAAAAATAGATACATTTTTTTGAAGAAGATACAAGAAACATGGTACATAAGAGAATGATGCCTCAGTCCCATTCAAAGTAGGCACCTTGGGACCTCACACAATTCTCCCAGTTGCCATTAGCTGCCCCATTATATTTTCCTGAATCTCATCTATGGTCTGAAATCGCATTCCTTTCCAAGGTGATTTAGTTTTAGGAAAAGCCAGAAGTTGCAGAGCACCAAATCTGGGGTATAGGGAGCCTGAGTCACCTGTGTGATTTGACATTTTGCCAAAAATGTCTGTACGAGATGTGATGCATGAGCAGGCACACTGCCGTGATGAAGCTGCCAATCACCAGTTGCCCATAGCTGCAGCCTTCTGAATCATCCCAGTAGTTTCCGAGAAGGAATGTTTAAACTCAATGTAAAATCTGATACAGATTAGATGCTCTACTCGCTCAGTCATTTTGAACACGATGGCCACACAGTACACATGCTCACTCAACAGCGTCTACTGCCCCCACTGACTAGTACAGTGAAGTCATCATTATTCATGCATGTGCATTCCAGTCCATCTCCTTGGCTGCCAGGTTACATTGATGTTGCACAAACCGTTCTCAGTTATATTAACAATGAATGGACTTTTTCTGGGCAGACCTCATATATACAATGTCAGATGTTGATAAGCTCTAGAAAAGAATAAAGCAGGTTAGCGAGAATAAAGAATGCCAGTTGGCAGTGGGAAGATGAAATCTGAGCAGAGACCTGAAAGAAATAATGGAAATGATTGCCAGGTCCCTTATAAACCTATGAATCTATCACATGGATGTGTTAAGTGTGTGTTGGTGTGTCTGTGTGTGTGTGTGTGTGTGTGTGTGTGTGTAAAATACAACTAAAGCCAGAGGATTTTTTAGTAACTCAAATTTTTACTTATAAAAATAATAAGGCAACCAATGTAGTGTTGTATAAGGAAAAAATTAATAATCTCTCCCCACCCATCCGATCTCCTCCTTCCCTTTCCATCAAAGAAAACCAGTGTTGACAATTTGATGTGTAATATTTCCATGCATTTCTTATACTGATACATATAAGTAAGCAGGAGGAAATCATGGTATTTAGTAAGGCTTTCAAAAATAAGTAAGTAATATATCATAAGAATAATAACAGCAAGAAAAAAACAGAACTTAATCTAAGAAGGCCACGGTCATGCATTTCAATATAATCATTACATTAACGGTTGAAAGAACAACTACATGATCATATTAATACATACCAAAAGTCATTGCTGAAATTCAGCAGGCATTCTGAACAAAAACTCTAATAGGAAAACAGGAATAGAAGAAAACATTTGAATAAAGAAGGTTAGCCAAAATCAAGAGGCAAATGTTATCTCATTATAAACCACAAAATCACATCAATTAAAATGAAGAATTAGGCAAGGCTGGTCATTATCATCATTATTACTGAACACTTTCTTAGGGACTTTAGCAAATATAGTAAAACAAGAAAATTAAATAATTGGCATAAACATTGTGGAAAAAAAGACAAAACCATCTCATTTTGCTGTGGCTGATTACTTCAGACATAGAGTACTTCAGGAGGCTCTAAAAAAAACCCCAAAGCAAATACTAAATCAACAAGATAATTTAGTAAGTGGATGGATGCAAGACAAGCATGCAAAAATCAATAGTTTCTCTTTATTGTAGCAGTAAGCTCCTAGGAACAGAAACAAAAAATTCTACTTAGTATTGACAAAAACCTATACAATATTTAAGGGCCAACAGAATAAGAAAAGCACAGGGCCTATATAAGAAAACCATAAAATCTTATTAAAATATCCCCAAACAAGATCCAAATATTTGTCAATTCTGCCAAAAGTAAATGCAAATTTAATCATGTTTCAATTAGAATTCCAGCTAGAGTTGCCAGGTAAAATACAGACACATAGTTAAATTTGAATTTCAGATAACAGCAAATAAATTTTAGTATGTCAGCATAAGTATGCCCCATACAATACTTGGGACATAATTATACTAAAAAATTATTTGCTGAATCTGGTAATCTTAATCCCAAAGAGTTGCATGGGTGGAGAGAGAACTGAATAAAATGATTCGAAAGATCATGTGCAAAAAAATAAATACTCTACAATAGACAAGGTAAATAAGAAAAAGCAAAATAGTGATAGCGGATATATTCATCAGAGCCCTGTCAGGACCCTTACGACATACTCAAGGTCTAATTTAAAGAGTGTCACGGTGGTTTACAGAGATACGAGCAGAGCTGAGGGGCCTGCCAGGGAAGGTGAAGCCCCCGTAAACAAAAGCAGGAAGGCATTGGTTCTGAAGAAACAAGGAAGAAAAACAGGGTCCCCAGGATCCCAGGAGAGCAGAGGAGCCACCTAGCAGGAGCAGGGACTGGATGGAGTGAGTCACTTTATAGAGTGAGAGCTGGAATCCCTGCCAGCGAGGAGGGTCACAGGTAGAGCTAAAGGAAGAAAGAGCGATAGCCCAAGGCTGAAGAACTTGGAAAAGGGAAGGAGAGAAGCTGGAGAATGTCTTTGCAGGCTTCCTCTCACCTGCAGAGTGGTATCTGCTGAGACACTTCAGGAGCAGGCCTGAGGCCTTCCCCTGAGGGCTGGTGTTTCCTCCTCAGGCCGCGAAGCCAGAGAGACCGTGCACATCATCAACAGGGAGGAGCAGGGGTTCAGTTTTGCCTTCCAGGACAACTCCCGATACTCGGAAGGTTTCAGCGATAGTCTGGTCGTATGTCCCATCGAAGGCTGGCTCCCACCTCTGTCCAGGTATGAAAATAGGAAGACCCTCAGGACTTCACCCTCCCAGTCCGGCAGGAGTCCCAGGCCTGCCAGCCAGGAGAATCATTTCCCTTAGAGGGCCCCATTTACAGTATATCTTCCAACTCTGAAATTTACATGTTAGCAATTCCATCTCTGTCCTCCTTATTCCCTGCTGTTCATTTCCCTGATGATCTGTGGAGCAGTGAGAATTTTAAGCCCTTGTTTTCAATATTTACCTTGTACATGTTCTTTTCCTTGCTACCTATTGTATCCATGAATCCATAAAGCAATGTCCTGCCTTGCCTGGAAAACCTTCAAAATTCATCATAATTTGGAGTTATAATGCCTTTTACTCATAGTGTATCAGGTAATTCATTGGGCTCATATTCTTTAGCAGGTCTCAAGAGGGGGCCTAGTCAGCTAACCTGCTGTCTTCTTCCCCAACCAGGTTACCAATTGATATTTTTTTCACACCAACGCAAGAAGGAGATGTGAACTTTAATTTGATCTGCAATGTAAAAAAGAAAGCCCACCCTTTGACCTTAAATGTCAAGGCTGAGGGCTACACTATGAATGCAGAGGTCAAGTGCAAAGACAGGACTGGCTTGGTCACTCTCTTGGCTCCCAATCAGACTACGATTGTCAACTTCTATGAGGTAAAGGCATGAGAGGACCTTGCTCTCCCTTGGTTTTGACCCTGGCTGGGAAAGGCAGTGAGTACCAGTGATTATTAGCTGAATCTCTCTGCTTTCAATGCCAGGGAGATCAAGAGGACAGAAACATACCAGGAGCAGCTCCTTCCCCAGACTGTGTATGGTTTTGATGTGAACTCTTTTCTTATTTTATTTTTCAGGGGTTGGAGAGATGGTAGGAAAGGGGAAGAATGCTTGTACTAAACATACAGGAAGGGAGCCAGGCAGAGGGGTTTGGAGGGGAGAGAGAGGAGCACAGAATGAGAGTGTGCAGGGCATTCTGGATGGAGGGGGATGGGGGAAGAAGTGCTGAAAATAAACAAATAAACAAACAAACCTACCTATAGGAAGGATGCTTGGCTACCAAGGGAGGCCTAAGAATTACATTGCCATCTTACTCTTCAGATTTGAGGAGGCCCCAATACTTAGCAGGTCTTGCTGAAATTTCCAGCCACAATTTAATGGTTCCCAATTCACTAGCATCATCTTCCATTCCTATTTCCCAAAATATATTTTCCCCCAAATTGTTACATATCCTTATCCTAGAGGAGTGAGCCATGGTTTGCATTCACTGAACATACCACTCTGTTCTCTCTCTCTCAGGTGGAGTTAAATGAATGTGTCCAGTGTGAATTCACCTTTATCAACACTGGAAAGTTCAACTTCAACTTTCAGGTAGAGCTCTCTGGCCCCAAAGCCCTGCTGCAGTACCTGGAGTTTTCACCCACTGATGGCACTGTGGATGTGGGGCAGAGTGCCCCTGCCTTCCTGTCTTTCCAACCATTTAAGAAATGTGTCCTGAAGGGTGTGGAACTCAGAATAAAGGTAAGACCATCTAACATTGTCCAACACCACTTATAGCATTCTGTCTTGGAAGAGTACTTCCAAGTTTCTGGTCTTCTCCACCCCGGAGAGTGGGTGTGTTGGAGATAGTCCCATAGTCTCTATTAATGGCCTCAACCGAGGTACCTGGTGAGTAAGTGTCAACTGAAAAGCAGCTGAGCATCTATGCACTGGTATATCATATAGCCATTAAAATAAATAAGAGAGAGAGATGGGAAGTAGAGAGCGAGAAAGAATATGTACAACATTGTCTAAGATAAGTTATTGAATGAAAAACCAAAGAGTTGTGATGTGAGCAGGGATGGCAGAGAAGGACCTCTGAAAAGCTACTCTTCTATAGCAATGAGAAGACTAGCAAAAACTATCAAAATCAATTTTTTCAGAACTCTTAGCCCTTTCAGGCTTATCATATTGGCCTTTGACCTCATGGTCACAAGATGACAATCCCTCCTGCAGCCCTATCTAGGTCTGCACTCCAGAGTGGACAGAAATAAGGGGAAGAACCTGAAGGCAAAATACTTTCCCAACAAGACTTTGACTCTTTATTCAAAATAGGACACCTTTTGTTTACATCCTGATGACTAGAACTATGATGGCCACCATTAGCTGCAAGGAAGAATGGGAAATCATATGGTTCTTGTCCTTTTCCACCTGACCCATTTCACTTAGCATAATACACTCAAGATCCATCCATGTTGTAGCAAATGGCAATATTTCATCTTTTTATGGCTGAGTAGTATTCCATTTGTGCATATGTACCACATCTTCTTTACCCTATCATCCACTGAAAGACACTTAGGTACTGTAAGATTTCACTCATATGCAGGATCTAAAACAAAAAGCAATAAACAAACAAACAAAACAAACATATAAACAAACAAAAATACACTTATAGACACAGACAACAGAACGGTGGTTACCAGAGGGGAAGGGGGTGGGAAGAGGATGAAGAGGGTAAAGGGAGTCAAATACAAGGTGACAAAAGGAGATTAAGCTTCAGGTGGGGAAACACAATAGAATACACAGGTGTCATAAAGTTGTACACCTGAAATTTATATAATGTTATTACATAATGTTACCTCAATACATTTAAGTTTTAAAATGTTTTGAAAATGGGAAATCAAATATTTTCACCTGGACACAATGACAACTAATCCGAGTCCTGCCAATAAGGAAGCCTTGGGAATCGATTTTTGGGTAGTTACTAAGTCTCTGTCATACACCTCTGCCTTCAAGATGAAGGACTGCTTCAGGAGCAAAGCAGGAGCCAACATAGGGTCTGATTGCAGAGTAGCCCACCTTGCTTTTCTAAATTATGAGACAGAATCTCTGCAGTTGGAACCCTGTGACCTGTGTTTTTTAACACCTGACTGCCTCCCTCCTGCACCTGAGGGCTGAAGGGCCCTTTCCTCCCCCTTCTCCTAACAGCTCTCCACCTGCCATTCCCTCCCCACAGATAAGCCACGGTCCAACCTTTATATGCAGCATCTCAGGTTGTGCTGTGAGCCCCGCTGTCCATTTCTCCTTCACCAGCCACAACTTTGGGACCTGCTTCATTTACCAAGCCGGGATGCCCCCATACAAACAAACCCTGGTCATCACCAACAAGGAGGAAACGGCCATGAGGTAAGCAGACTTCCCAGAGCCTCCTGCAGCTCTTTCTGGGACCTACAGCTTTCACGCAGTGAAGTTCGGCCATGGCCGAAAACAGATCATGGGAATGAGTCAAACACAGGCGGCCATGAATCCGGAGTCTCCTTTCCCCACTACTAATACTGATACTTGTATTGCCATGAGCTTCTCTGCTAAAAAAACCTCTTCTTGGATTGAGGAGGGCAATGCCAAAAGACCTGATGACAGGTTTGATGGCTTCCATTTATTTTCCCCATGCAACAGACACGGAAACTGAGGTTTAGAGAGTTAAAAAGTTAATGTCTCAGGCCAGTGATCCTACAGAAAATAGTAGCTCTATAATGAGGCTAAGCCTTCTGATTCAGATCCACTCTCTCTGCACCATCCTGTGTAGAATGTTCCAGTCCAGGTTTCTGGGCCCCATTACAGACCTAACAAAACAGAATCTCCAGAAACTGGCCCAGGAACCTATGTTTATCCAAAGCTCTCTGGATTAGTACTATGCCATAGAACTTTGATGACAAAAGCGTTATAGATCTGCACTGCCCAATGTGGCAACACATAGCGACCTGTGGCTGCGGAGCACTTAAAATGTGGGTAACTAAGGAGGTGAATTTTCATTTTACTTTATTTTCATTAAACAGCCACATTAGGTAGCACAGATCTAGGTTCCAATCTGAGCTTTTCCCTAGGTATATGACCTTTGGCAAATTTTTGAAACCTTTTGTGCCTCTGTCTTACTGCCTAAAGTAGGAGATAATAATAGTACCTCCCCTCTAGGGCTATTGGGAGGATTAAATTAGTTCATCTAGAGACAGTACTTAGAACAGTGCCTGGAACACAAGAAATGCTTGATTATTATATGCTGTTTCGGTGGTGGTGATGGTGGTTATTCGTAAATATTAAGTTATAAAAGTGTCACTAATTAAAAATTGTTTCTGCTTACACTCTTTCTTGCATGATTTAACTTAATGTGCCTTACTTTGTTTACAGCATTAAGCTCTATTTACTGGCCTAGCTGTATTCCTTGTCTAAGCACTGTAAGGCAGATAAGGAGACACTGTAATGGAGAGGTTTAGGTGCCTTCCTACACACAGGTTGGGTAAGGTGGGCATGATCCTTGAAGATCCCTTGTAGTTGAGCAATTAATAAGGATAATAACAGCTCACCATTATGGCATGTGTCTTCTGTGGACTGTTTAGTGACTGCTTTAGTCAGTTTATCTCATTTAATCCTCACAACAACCTTTTATCATAGCTGTCACCAGCCCCTTTTACAGATAAGGAAACCAAGACTCAGATGGGCTAAGTAACTTTTCTGAGGTCACATGGCTAGTTAGTGATAGAGCCTGGATCCAATCTCTTATCTGTCTGACCCCAGAACACAGACTCCTGTCTTAGCCACCCAATTACTCCAGGAAGCACTTCCTTCTTATGAGAGGTACAAAGCATGAACTGCATAATCAAGAAACAGGATGAATAGAGTGAGAAGAGCACTGGGCAAAGGGCCATGGGACTTTGAGCTTGAGGCCTGGTTCTGCCGGGATCTCAGGATGTGATTTGAGGTAACTCAACTTTGCCCTGGAGAATGTGGGCTGGATTGTTACTGGGGTCCCTTTCAGGCCTTAAATGCTATGACTGTAGAACAGCAGGGCAGTAAGTCCATCAGGACCAGCCGCCAAGAGATAGGGAGACCAAACCAGTCCCACTGGGTTGGCCTTCTCTGAGCTTACACACCTTCCTCCTCATCTTCTCCAGCATAGACTGTTTGTACACCAATACCACCTACCTTGAGGTGAACTTCCGTGTTGATGTGATAAAGCCAGGAAAGACACTGGAGATTCCAATCACCTTTTATCCTCGAGAAAGTATCAGTTATCGAGAACTCATCCCCTTTGAAATCAATGGGCTCTCACAACAAGTAGTTGAAATCAAAGGGAAAGGCACCGAAATGAAGGTAAGAGGAGTTTGGGGGATCTTCAGATTGGCACCTGCCTTGCCCTTCCCAGCCGCGCTGGCCCACCTGAACCCACACCCTGCCTCCCCTCTCCACACCTCCTGGCCCTAAGCCACTCTGCCAGAGGTCAACAGTCCCAGCTGAGGGGTAGTCAGATCAGACTCAGGTAAATGACAGATATCACTCAATACCCAACCTCACTACCAGCAAAGGACATAGGAAGTAAGCACAGGCAGTGGAGAAATATTCTTTCTTAGGAAAGATTGAGACTCTCAGATGCAAGATCCCAAGCATGTCCTTTTCTCCCACATGAAGGCATGTTTTATTTTCAGGTTTAAGAGGCAAGATTTGTTTTAAGCAATGTATGCAGATATGTTACTGTTATGGAACAGCATATTTCCTTAACACCACAGGGATTAACATTCTCCAGCCAACCACACGTCCCAGCATTAGATTTCCTTACAGCAGCATTCCTTACCGCGCTCCTAGTAGAAAGGGAAGGGTCCAGTCCTCCTGCTGATCCCTGTCTTCCCAGTATCTGTTAAACATTAAAGTGTCTGTCTGGTGGGAGCATTTGCATTTCATGAAATGTTTTGGAAGACTGAAGATCTTCCAAGATTCTCAGAAATGCATGGGGCACTTCAGCAACCAGGAGAAAATGGGAGGGGTGTGTTCCTGGCTACCTTCCTATCAAGCCAAAGGAGCAACAGGACAATGCCACCTGGTATGTCTGTGCCCAAGCCAATGGCAGCATCCCTTATGATGTCATTGATTCATTCATTTGTTCATTCTTTCTTTCCCTCATTCAACACCCATTATATATTAGGTACTTTGGGAAAATCTAGAGGTGACTTAAATTTGTTCGTTGACTTCTAAGAGCTCACAGACTGGTGCTGAAGACTCACTTTTTAGACAAAATGGAAACATGTGGACTGGATGTAAAGATAGTTGGAGGGAGAGAGTGCGGTTTAGTGACTGATTAAATGACAGTGACCAGTGGGTACTGTTCATTGTGGGTCAGTGCATCCTGGAGGGCAAGGCCCAGCCTGACCTTCATCTGATCCAGGCCAGCATTGCGTCCAGTGCCTTAGATGAAGACTTTGAAATGCATTTACCTTTCCACCTTGACTACCCCATTCTAGTTCAAATCACCATCATCTCTTGCACCTCAAGGCTTTCCCTCATGCCCTCTTCCAGTGCATCTATCCGCACAGAGGACTGAGCTGAGCTCTCTCACAAAATACACACTTGATTAGGTCACTCTGTGCTTCACTGGCATCCCACTTGCTCCCGGTTACACCCCGACCATCCCTCCAAACTTAATCTTCTCAAGTCTCCTTCCTCCCAGCCTGCAGGCTTTGACTGAGCACTCCCTGCAAGTCAAAGCCTGGCTCCTCCCCAGAAGCTGTCCAACCCCACACCCGCCCTGACCCACTTCCACCCCACCCTTCCTTCAGCTCTCAAAGCCCCAGTCTACCTCAGCCCCTGTAATATGCTCTCCAGGTGCTCTGAGCTTTTCCTTCACATCTCTTAACCCAGTTGTAATTATGGAGTTGTTTAGTGGGCGAGTGAATGTTTATCAGATGTGAAGAATGCAGGACACTGAAAGAGAGGGACCACCTGTGGCTCATCAGGGTAGGCCTGTGATATTTATTTTTCTCATTAACTGACAAACACTCCCTCCCTTCTTGTCCCACAGATTTCAGTCCTAGATCCAGCCAATAGAATCGTGAAGTTAGGAGCTGTCCTGCCAGGACAGGTTGTGAAAAAAACAGTTTCCATCATGAACAACAGCCAAGCCCAGCTCACATTTAGCCAGTCAGTCCTGTTCTCGACTCCAGAACTCCAGGAACCTAAGGTTGGTGCTTGGGGCTCCCAGTGGCCCCTTCGTGCTTCCAGATGATGTAAATGGCCTTGCTGACAACACTGACAGCTCACAGTTCTCCTGCACCTTCAACGTGCGGAAACATTCACACGGCTTTCTGGGCACCACCTGTTTGTCTTCCCAGAAACAGTCCATTGTTAGCGCTCTTATTATTCTCATTTTACATATAAGGAAACCGAGGTTTAGGGAGGCCACATCCCTCTAAAATGCAACAGAGTAAAACAGAAAGAGGGTTGGACTCGAAAATGGGCGTCACTGGTGCTAGTGAACATACACAGATCCTCATTGTAGGACATTTGAAAAATACAGAAAATCATGAAATTTTGCCCATAATTTCATACCCAGAAATAATCACTTAACATTTTGGTGCCTATCTTTCCAGACTCTTCCCCGTGAATTTTTTTTTTTTTTACAAAAATTAAGTGGCAATGTTCATATTGTTTGGAAACCATCTAGTAATATAGCAAACATTTTCCATGTCCCTCAGTGCTATGAGTTCATTTCTACCTCCATTATGTAGAGAAACTGGTTGTCTATTTCTGCTCGTTTCAAATGTCTCTAATGCTTTATATTAGAAACAACAATGTAAAACAACATGACCAAACCTTTGTGTGCATCCATGGCTCTCTGCTTAAGACAGGGTCCTAGGAGAGGGCTTGTTGGGTCAAAAAGGAGAGTATGCCTCAATACACATCACCAATCTGCCCCTGAAAGGCTGCCCTCTTTACACCCCCATCAGCTGTGTGAAAGACACATGCTCGTTCCCTGATTGGAGAAGCTACCAGTGCCAGCTGCCTGCTCCCCAACTCGCAGTCATCAGTATTCGTATGGCCCCTTGAAAACGGGCCAAGTATGCTTCATTGCAAAGGTGAACTCATCCATCCCTTCCATCAATTCATTTGTTTATTTACTCAGTAAATATGTGCTAAGTGCTCAAAATATAAAGATATATCTTAGCTTGGGCTGACATAATAAAATACCATAGCCTGGGTGATTTAAACAGAAGACATTTATTTCCTCATAGTTCTAGAAGCTGGCAGTCTGAGATCAGAGTGCCAGCCTGGTCCATTTCTGGTGAGGGCTCTCCTCCTGGCTTGGAGATGGCCACCTTCTTGCTGGGTGTGCATACAGCAGAGAGCAAGCAAGACTGAGCTGTCTGGTGTCTCCACTCCCATCACAAGGGTCTGTCTCTCATGACCTCATCAAAGCCTGATTACGTTCCCATAGTATCAGGAGGGGGCTGCTCAGAGGGGGTCTGAGGGCCACGGAAGGCCTCATAGCGGAGAGAGGTCTGCGCTTTTTACAGGGCGAAGAGGCACTCCCAGGCATACAGATTGGGGATGGTGTTTCTGGCAGGCATAGGTATACGGCCTGGAAAGAGTCAGTGCTTTTGGAAAGCCATATGTGATTCAGTGTGACAGGAACACTGTGGACCATCTGGAAGTGCAGGATACAGAAAAATTGACTAGGAGAGGCCAGCCAAATCTAGACACCCAGTGGGTATCTCAGCCCAGGGCCCCATGTTGCCCACTTTGCCATTTGGAGAAAGAGGGCAGACTTGTTGCTTTCCACTCTTCGTTAATCCAAATGAACGTCCTCAGTCCCAGTGGGTCAGGGCCCCTAACAGTTTGGCCATACCCCTCCTGCCTCTCTGGTTGATCGGACTCAACTCAAGCTGCCAGAGCGACCTGTGCAGACACCCTCAGCCAGGGGTTGGCTCCCAACGTCATTGTGTTGTAAGCAATCTCCAGGATGACCAGCTATTGCTACTGCAGCTCCTCAGCCCCTTATCTCACCCGCTGCTGCCTCAGCTACTTTCTGGTGACTGCTCAGAACTCTGTACCAGAGGAGCTCAAGATTGAAAAGGTGTGGCTTCCTTAAAGCTAATTTTGTATTGCCTTTACCCGGACAAAGCTGGCGAGAGAAGACCGTAGAAATTCCAAGAGTGGTTCTCCAACTTTAGAATACATGGGTCACCCAGAGCACGTTTGAAAACACAGGTTCCAAGCTCCTCCAAGGACACTGATCCAGTCCATGTGGGGCAGGACCCAGAGACCTGCACTGTGACCAGCATACTGGAAAGTGCGATGTAGGGAGCCCGGGGAGTGCTCCTCCAAAATCCGGGAGCGCTGAGTGTTTGTGTTTCCTCCACCGGACAGTAGGGGTTATTGGCAAGAGGTTGGAAAGAGAATTAACATTTACTGAATGCCTATTAGGTGCCACACGTTTTATATAGATGACCTGAATGAGTTAAGTAACTTGTCAAAGATGATACAGGTGGTAAGAGAGAGCAGGAGTGAGATTTGACCCCTGGGCTGCTGCTGCGGCACCAGCAGCAAGACCTCCAGGAATGGAGCCTCTGAAACCCCTGGCCCCAGCTGCTGAGCCTCCTTGTCGTCTTGCCCAGGTCATCACCTTGGTACCATTCCGCAACATCACTCTGAAGCCCAAAGAAGTCCGTAAGCTGGAAGTCATCTTTGCCCCGAAGAAGCGTGTCCCGCCCTTCTCCGAGGAAGTGTTCATGGAAAGCATGGGGCTCCTGCGCCCCCTCTTTCTCCTCAGCGGCTGCTGCCAGGCCCTGGAGATCTCCCTGGACCAGCAGCACATTCCCTTTGGACCAGTCGTGTTTCAGACGAAAGCCACGCGTCGCATCCTCATGTTGAACACGGGCGACGTGGGTGCAAGGTAGGAGCTGGAGCAGAGCACTGGATCCGTTTAGACATTTGTTTTACAAGCATGGCCGCTTTTTATCTCTTTCCCCTTCCTTTTACATCTCCTTCCTTCCCTCAAAAAGTGACTGCGGTGGCCTCTCCAGGGTGAGCCTACTCCCATGATTACTAAAACCAATATGATAGAGAACATTTGCTCAGTGCCTGTTATATGCCCTTTATGTGGCTCCTCTCATTTAATCCAACAGTTCTATGAGACCAATGCTATGACTGGTCCATTTCACAAATGAGATAACTAAGGTATAAAGAGGTTAAGTAACTTTCCCAAAATCGTGCATTTAACAAGAACTTACCAGGCACAGGCGCAAGGCTGAGCATTCTTACATAGAAGATCCCATTTGATTACCTTGATTACCCCAGAGCCCTTTAAGGCAGGTACTGTTTTGTCCCCCTTTTCACAGATGAACTTGAGGCTCAAAGAGGTCAGGCAACTTGCCTGGGGTTACACAGCCAGGAAGTGAGAAAGATGGGACTGGAACCCAGGTGCACCTACAGGAGCTCTCCTTCCCAGGCTCTTCCCTCTTGCTAGCAGGTGCCCACCCCAGTCACTACTCGGTCATTGCCACCAGAGCTGTAGGCCGTGCACCACACACCTGCAGGGGGCACCCTTCACACAGACTCAGTGTGAACGGTGCTCTTAGGGTGCAGTGTGGCAGCGCTGGCAATGGACGCACACTGGTCTGCATCGTCCACCCTCTGTCTCCTGCCTGGACCAAATGTCAGACCACAGAGGGATGATCACAGAGTGTCATTGGATCCCAATGCCACAAAAAGCAGGTGCAACTCTGACATAAAGAGTTCATCTCCACCCTCCTGGATATGACCTGAGACGCAGTGCAGGGAGTGGCTAAGGCCACAGTCTGAGGAGGGTTTCAGTCCAAACTCAGCCACTTCCTAGCTATACGACCTTGAGTGCACATGTGTAAGCATGTTCATGTGTATGTCCCCTGCTGTCACTGCGGGCAATAAGAGGCAGCCACTTCCCACCTGCTCAGCTCTGAGAGGGAGCCAAGTCAATGTACACAAGAGTGACCATAGCCTTTGTCCCCACCTGCCTCAGCTCAGCTTAGAAAGAGAGCTGAGTTATCTTACCCAGGAGTGACTTGACCCTTGTCCCCACCTGTCTCTGCCTTTCCAAGCAGTCTTTCTCCTCCCAAGTCCCATGGCATCCACCAGGGGGTGAACCTCCAGTATCTTGTTCTCAGCAGCATTGAGGACAACCCAGCATACTGGTAAATTATCTTGTCTCCTTTTGTCTTGGAAAAGGTTTAAATGGGATGTCAGAACATTTGAGCCTAATTTCTCCATCAGACCAGAAGAAGGCTATATCACTACTGGTATGGAGGTTTCTTTTGAAGTGACCTACCATCCCACAGAGGTGGGCAAGGAGAGTTTCTACAAAAATTTGCTCTGCTTCATCCAGGGAGGCCATCCTCTGAGCCTAACTCTGTCTGGAGTCTGCGTGGGACCACCTGCAGTAAAAGAGGTCAGTGAGCGCTGCCCACGGATGGGCCAGTGGCCAGAGAGGGCCTAGCAAGCTGCACAAGTGAACTCAGCCAGGCCTTCCAGAAACAGATGGCTCTGTTCAAACAGTCCTCGGTGTGCACATCAAAGATTCAGCCCTGCTGCCTCTCCCCACAGGGCCTTCGCACATGCTGTTCCCTCTGCTGGAACATTCATTTTCTCCTCTTCCTGTATTTAATTCCTATTCATTCTTCTGCTCTCAACTCCAGCATCACATTCTCAAGGCAGCTTGCATTGGCGTCTCTGGCTAGATCAAATTCTGTTATAGGCTGTGAGTAAAGGATAAACACTTTTACTATGGTTTTAAAAAACAATAGCCTTAGGTTAACCCTCTGCTAGCTCTGCTCCTAGAAACCCAACAGTGCATGGCCAGCTGTGTTCAGGCAACATGGTTATGGTAAAATGACACCTGGTCCCCATCTCTATAATTGTGTTATTTCAAGAATGGTATGTAAATGGGATCATACAGTATGCTGTAAACATGTGTGCACAAATCTTGGTGAAAACTTATGCTTTCATTTTCTTGGGTAAATACTTAGGATTGGATTGGCCAGGTCATAGGGTAGGTATATGTTTACCTTCTTAAGAACCCATCAAACTTTTTACAAAGTGGTTGTCATTTTGCATTTCCTCTAGTAACGTCTGTCATTTTTATTTGCATCACATCCTTACCAACCGTGATATGGTCTTTTTTATTTTATTTTTTTAACATTAGCCATTCTAATAGGTATGTAGTGGTATTTCATTGTGGTTTTTGATTTGCATTTCCCTACCAACTAATGATGTTGAGAACCTTTTCAGGTACTTATTTGCCATCCATCTATATTCTTGGTTGAAATTGCTGTTTAAATCTTCTATTTTTAATTGGGTTTTTGGTTTTCTTATTATTGAGTTTTTGGGGCTCTTTATATATTCAGGACACAGGTTTTACATTTAGATCTTCAATCTGTTTAAAGTTCATTTTTTTATGCAGTGCAAGACATGGATCAAAATTCTTCTTCGTATATAGATAGCTAATGATTCCAGCACCATTTGTTTAAAAGATTATCCTTTCTTCACTGAATTGCTTTGCACTTTGGTGAAAAATTAATCAATCATATATGTGTGGGTCTATTGCTGGACTCTATTCTTGTCCATCGATCTATTTGACTCTCTTTATACCAATACCACATTGGTCCTTGTTGCTACATTCAATAGCCAGTTCTCACCCCTCATCTTACTTGACCTGCTGGTAGCATTTGGCACATTGAACAAGTACCTCCTCCTTCAAACAGTTCCTTCATATGGCTTCCAGGAGACCACCCCCTCATGGTTCTCCTCCTATCTGATTAGCTGCTCCTTTTCATCTCCTCTTCTCATTCTTCTTAACATTGGAGTGTGCCAGTCAGGAATTAGTCCTTAAATTGCTTCTTTTTTCTAAATACACTTACTTCTTGATAATCTCATCCAGTTTCTTAGCCTTAAAAAAAAAATTGCTAAACTGACTATTCCCAAATATGTATCTTCAGCCTGAACCTTGCTTTAAGCTCAAGATTTGTAAATTCCACTACCTGTATAAGGTGCCTGTTTTCTTCCAGGTGGTAAATTTCACCTGCCAGGTACGCTCCAAGCACACACAGACCATCTTGCTTTCAAATCGCACCAACCAGACCTGGAATCTGCACCCCATCTTTGAGGGTGAGCACTGGGAGGGGCCTGAGTTCATCACCCTGGAGCCGCATCAGCAAAACAAGCCCTATGAGATTACCTACAGGCCCCGTACCATGAACCTGGAGAACCGCAAGCATCAGGTAGGATGAGCATCCCATCAGTTTCCTGGTATGACTGGATGGGGAGTTGTGTGGAGAGGTTAAGAGACAAGAGTTTGGCAGCTCAGAGAATGTTAGAACAAAAGTCGACCCTATCTTCTAGTATCTTCACTCCCAATCCTATTCAGATACAGCCTTGGTTGCCATCCTAATATACCCAATTTTTCATTCTGTTTATTTTCATATTACATTATATCATGAGCATTTTTCTATTCAATTAGGTAGTCTTCATGATCATCATTTTTAATGGTTGCCTAATATTTCATGAAATGGGAGTTCCATAATTTATTTAACATTCCCCAGTTGTCGAATGTTTATCTCCAAATTTTCATATTAAAAATGGTTCTAATACATATGCATGTGTATGTAGGTAACTTTTTCCCCTGGAGACATTTTTCATCAGTAAGTTCCCTTGTCTGTGATTCCTTGTTCAAGTACATGTGAATATCTTTATGACTCTTGAAATAAGCTGCTTTCCAAAAGTGGTATGCCCATTTTGCAGAGCCTCCATTAATCCTGTGAATGCCATGCCTGAGAGGTACCTAAAAGGCCCCTCTGTATCATTCTGACTGCCTTTCCTCCTCTCCTCAGGGCACCCTATTCTTCCCCTTGCCAGATGGGACTGGCTGGCTGTATGCACTGCATGGGACTACTGAGCTCCCCAAACCCGTGGCCAATATCTACCGTGAAGTACCATGTAAGACACCCTACACTGAGCTCCTGCCAATCACCAACTGGCTGAACAAGCCCCAGAGGTGAGGGAGTGGGGCAAGGGGTTGGGGTGGCAAAGACAGAGAGAGGACTTCCACTGTCTTCCCTTGGTCAGAGTCTCTAGAGGACATTGGCCCAAAGGGTCAGAGACGAAGTTTCCTGATGTGGCCAGGCATTGCCTGAACTCTGAGCCTCCAGAGAGATTCTTCTGTTCAGTGCTGATTACTTGTAAATCTCCTACAACAGTGCCTGGCACAAAATAAGTGCTTAATAAATGTCATTTATTACTATTAACACTGTTGTTGCTATTATCATAACAATAATCATGATTGTTATTATTGTGTGCTCAGTCTTAATACCTAAGGCACTGGCCAGAGAAGGACATCCCTAGGATCTCAGACTTGCAGCAGGAATAGAGCAGAATGCAAAGACCAGAGGAGCTTGAGGCCAACCAGCATAGCCCCTTCTTTTACAGTGAAGGAGCCAAGGGTTGGGAGAAGAGTCTACCTGCTTAGCGTTGTTGGTAAAGGTCCAGACCTAAGTTTGAATCCCAATTCTGCCAATAACCAGTTATCTTACCTGAGTATGTTATTTACTTCTCTTGGGCTCATTTCCTCACTGTTGAAATGGAGATGGTAATATGTGCCTCCTACAGACATTGCAAGGGATTAAATGCCTGAAACACATGCAGAGCACTGACTTAGTAGCTGGCATATAATAGGTGGTGAGTAAATGGTAGTTACTGTTATTGTTAGTGACAAAGTGAAGACTAGAATCCTGGACCTGTGTGTTTTACCTAAATTCAGGAGTGGAGAGAGCACCTCTCCTTTTTTTCTTTGGGCAAAGTTCTCATTTTCTCTACCTTCTCTTCTTGTGCTCCCTGCTTCCCCAGATTCCGGGTCATTGTGGAAATGCTGAAACCGGAGAAGCTAGACCTAAGTGTCACCCTAAAGGGCCTTGACTACATTGATGTACTGTCTGGATCCAAGAAAGACTACAAGCTGAATTTCTTTTCCCATAAGGAGGGACTATACAGTGCAAAGGTATCCACATGTCAAAGGCACTGCCCTGAAACCCGGGAGGTCTGACCCTGCAGCTGACAATCCTGGTGCTAGGGAGTGAAAATGTCCTCCATAGCCAGCCTGTCCTTATCTTGGTGGGCTGGCCATTTAGAGTGACCTGGCAAAGGCATCCAGGATTCCCAGCCTCTTTAAGATGACACTAGATTGCAAGGCCGGCCGGCCATCATGAGTAGCATGCCAAGTTTTCAAGGCAGCAGAATCATGAAAATCTTTATGCAGTAGATAACACCAGACCAGCAAATACCAGGCCAATAATACTAATAATAAGCACTCATTTTCTGAGTGCTTATAGAGTGTCCAGCATTGCCCGGAACACACAACACACATGGCTAGTAATGTCAGAGCCAGGATTCAACTCAGAGCCATCTACTCCAAGACACCACAGGGTCTCTCACATATGAGCTGGTTTTCCTAATTCATTCATTAGTTCAATAAATACCCATTGAGTATATATACGGCCATATACCAATGCTGGTAACACAGCAATCATCAAAAATAGGCACAGTCCCTGTTCTCATGGAACACACAGTCCAGTGAAGGGCCATGGACATTAATCACATAATTGCCTGATGAATGCATTTTTATGAAATGAGGTAAGTGCTTTGAAGAAAAGCAGCACATATGGATCAGTAGCTCACAAGAGAGGTCAGAGATAAAGATAAGATAAGGGAATTACCCATGTATCAATGGCATTTACAGCTGTGTAGTGAATGGAATTACCTAGGGAAAGATTTTAAAGTGGAAAAGTAGAATCCAGGAACACATCTCCCCCTCAAGAAGAGATATTGGCAAAACCCACCCAGCAGCGTGTCATCTCCTCTCCTGCAATCACTGAGGCTGCTCCATTCAGATCATATCCACAAACAGGCTAAAATCAAGGATTCCCAAAACCCATGAAGAGGGAAAGGCCACCATACAACAGAAACACCAGCTCAACAAATAAAAACTCCTGAGGTAAATGTTATTAAATCAAACAGAAGAAGACTTTTAGTAAATATTATCAATATACTCAAGGGAATAGGGGAAGATACTCATATCCATGAAATAAGAACAGGCTGTTATGGAAGAGAATCCACTGGAGACCTTGGAAATGAAAAATAGGATATTTGGAATTAGAACACCATAGAGGACAGCTGAATAGTATAATGGACTCTGAGGAAGTGATTAATACCCAGTAAGAAGAGCTGAGTAACATTACCAGACTCTAGCACATGAGCACAAAGAACTGGCAAGATGAAAGGAAATAATAGCAAATGTTGGTGAGGGTGTGGAGTAGTTGGATCCATTGCTATGAGTAAATATCACAGCCACTTTGGAAAACAATCTGTCAGTTCTTCAAATGCTTAAACATAGAGTTACCATATGATTCAGTAATTTCACTCCTAAGGATATACCCAAGATAAATGAGAACATATGTCCACACAAAACCTTTTACATGAATGTTCATAGCAGCATTAGGCATAAGAGCCAAAAATGGAAAAAACGAAAGTGTCCATCAACTGATGAATGGATAAATACAGTAGAAGATTACCTGGCAATAAAAAGAAGTGGAAATGAAGTACTGATTCATGGAACACATAGATGAACCTTGAAAACACACATGCTAAGTGAACAAAGACAGTCACAAATGACCACATATTATATGATTTCATTTACATGAAATGTCCAGAATAGGCAAGTTGATAGAAACAGAAAGTAGATTAGTGGTGCCTAGGTCTAGAGGGGGTAGGTTAGGAGGAAGTGAGGAATGATTGTTAATGGATACAGTGCTTCTTTCTGGGGAAATGAAAATGTTCTGAATCAAATAATTGGGCTATAACTGTGTAATTACAAATGACATAGGGCTTTGTGAATATACTAGAAGTTACTAAATTGTACACTTCAAATGGGTGAATTGTATGGAATGTGAATGTCAATAAAGCTAGTTTTTTTTAAATGATAGGAAATACAAAACATAAAATATAAATCAAGAAGTTCTAATAGCCATCTAAGGGGAACTCTTGAAACAGAAAAATAAGATAATAGAAGGAAGAAAATATCCTACAAAATAATTGGATAAAAATTTCCAGGGCTATTGGAGAAAGAGAGAGAGCTTCCTAATTGAAAGGACGCACCAAGTTGCCAAACAGGTTAAATAAAAGATTCACATCTAAATACATGAGAACAAAATTTCAGAGGACTTGGATAAAAGAGGAAGTCCTGAATTATTCTAGAAAAAATAAAAGGAAATAGTAATCACAGTAACATCTGATTTCTTGTGGCAACACAATGCAAGAAGCAATGGAGGAAGCTATTCAAACTACTTAAAATAATTTTTAATCTAGAACTCTAACCCATTATGAGGGCAAAACAATGACATTTTTAAACATGCAAGGACTCAAAGTAACCCACCTATATACATAATCCCCTCAAAATTAAAACAAATTTAAAAATAAGTAAGTGAACCCAAGAGGAAAATATAAGGATACATTGAACAAAGAATCTAAACTAAATTGGTAAGTAATTTCAAATAAGTGTTGAAAAACAACCTGAAATACTTCATATGACCTCAGGATAGGAAATAGCAAGGGTAGGAATAAAATAAGGCAGTCAAAAACATGTTGGAAGCAAATGGGGAAATAAGAGAGATTTTCTCATTTATGGAGAAGAGTAAGGAGAAAATCATAAACTGTAGGTGTGAACAGAAAGATATAAATATAGGGTCCAGCACAAACAACACCCCTTGTTTATGATCTGGTAATCTATACCAAATCTTTTACTGCAAAATCATAAGCATATATTTCTGTAACATAGCAATATCACACTCAAGCACACCATATGACATTTTAGGTGAAATGTTCAAATTGCTGTCCATCTTGTGCAAGATATTCACATACCCTACCAACCCCACTCAATGGCATAACTTCTGCTGGACCCTATTATGTATTAAAATGGAAGCATAAAGACTTTTGAGTAAAAATAACAATGAACCCAGATCAAAAACAATACAGATTTGATCTTTACAGATCTTTACAATAATACAGATTAAAATCAATAATAACAACAAAAAAATTTTTTAAAGCAAAAGTACTTTTTGGTTATGATGGAATAACTAGTCCTCCCACTATAAAAAAAAAAAAAGCCCATAAAATTGGACAAAATGTGTGAGGCAAATCTTCTCAGTCATTGGAAAACAGGCAGTACAATACTGCAATTCATCAAAGAGAAGGAAATTTATGAGATGAGTCCCCATGATTGTCCTGGCTCCCTGCCCAAGGACAATTTCCTAACCTCAGTGCAGTGAGCTAGAGTCTAAGCAAAGTGCAGCAGCCCCAGTGAACTGAGGAGGCAGTAATCAGAGTTTGGTGCAGCTAAAATAGCTGGTCTCAACAAGGTAAGGAATCAGGGAGGAGAGAGCAGGATATGGAGGGGGTGGGAAAACAAAAGCCTATATCTGATTTCTTCTCAAAGTCCTTGGCTGAAGGTGGGACTGCACGTGCGCAGGAAGAGACTACATGAGATTTACTAGAGAGCAGCTGCTACAAGGATAATAAAGGAATAAAGGAACACTACGTTAATTGGTGCTAAGGAACACTAGAGGTCTGGCCCAGTGGAGAGGTTGTATCAACACCACCTCAATAACCCTGGAAATCCAGCTGAAATAGTAGAAAGGCCAGAAGAAGGGCCATGCCTTTAGGATAAGACAGAAGGTCTTATCCTAAAAAAAAAAAAAAAAAAAAGCCTAAAAGTAAGCACCTGCAAGATCAGCAAGGAAGACAAAATTTGGGGATTGAATCCCACCAAGTTGGAAGGTCTTTAGGAACACCTAGGGTTTTCCACATATCTGCTCTAACAAAGTATAAAACCAAATCTACACAAGTTTAAGGTGTTAGTGATTGAACTGCCTCCCAGAACAAAATCAACACTATTATAAGGAAGATGACAGAATCCATAATCTCTATAATGATCATCAACAGTGTCCAGTGCACAAACAAAAATTACTAAACTGGTGGAGGAGGAAAATGTGGCCCACAGCCCAGAAGAAAGCATTCAATGGAAACTGACTCAGAAATGGGCTAGATACTGGATTTAGCAGGCAAAGACTTCAAAGAAGCTATTATAAACATGTTCAAGAGCTAAAAGAAAATATTTTAAATAATTAAATAAAATATGGTCTTAATGAATGGGCAGATAAGACATCCCAGCAGAGAAATATAAACTATAAAAAGGACCAAATGGATATTTTAGAACTGAGAAGTACAACAAACTGAAATGAAAAATACATTGAATGCGCTGAACAGCTGATTAGAGACCTGAGAAGATTCACTGAACTTGAAACAAATCAATTGAAGGTGTCCATTCTGAAGGACAAAGAGAAAAAATGAGGAAAAACAACTAGAGCCTCAGGAACCTGTGAGAAAATATAAAATGGGTCTAGTACATGAGGAATATGAGCCAGGAGAGAAGAAAGTGAGCATGGGGTGGAAAATCATTTGAAAAAATAATGGCTGAAATTTCCTTGATTTGATTTTTTTTTAAATGATTTACAGATCCAAGAAACTTGGCAAACCCCAAGCAGGAAAAATATGAAGAAAACCATATCTTGCGCACATCATAGCAAAGCTACTGAAAACCACAGATAAAAAGAAATGCTTGAAATAACCAAATTTAAAAGATCCATTACATACAGGGGACAACAATAAAAATAACTACTGACTTCTCTTCAAAAATAATGGAATCCATCTGCAAAGTACAGAGAGAGAGAAAAACTATCAATTTAAAATCTTTTATTCACTGAAAATATCCTTTAATACTGAGGGTGAAAAAGACATTTTCAGATAAAAGAACATGAGAAAATTGATTGCCGGCAGACTTGCATTACTGAATTCATTAGCATCATTAGAATGCAAATAGGTATTGTTCAGTCTAAAGGGAAATGATACCAGATGGAAACTTGGGTCTGCTAGAAGGAAAGAAGAGCACTAAAAATGATAAATAAGTAGATAAATATTAAAATATTTTTTCTTCTCATAACTTTGTTTAAAAGACAACTGACAGTTAAAAGAAAATATGACATTATAAAGTGGATGTTCTTATATCCATAGAAGTAAAAGATATGACAACAAACGTATAAAAGAGGGATGGATTGGTGAATGAAAGTATACTTTAGTAAGGCTATTTACTAGGTGGGAAGTGTGAGGTAAGAAACATAAAGGGTCAGTTGTAAAGTGGGAAGTAATAAAATAGTGACCCTAAATGTTGACAAGTTAAAACTTCATGTTGTCAGCTCTACAGTAACCACTAAAAATCTGTTGTGTAGTTAAGAAGCCATTAAAGGAAATACATTCCAAAAGATTACACAATGATCCAACACAATGCAGGAAAGTAGCAACAGAGAAAAGATAAAATGAGACCAATGTAAAAGAAATAGCATGAAGGCAGACTTCAACCCAAGCATGTAAATAGTCACTTTAAATGCAAAAGACTAAACACTCCAATGAAAAGACAGAGGATGTCAGAAGGACTCTAAATCTAAAGATAGAGGTTAAAAGTAAAAACCAGATACGTTAAGAATTGTTAGCACCTAATAATAAGCTAAATTACCAACATATTAATATGGGCAAAACACTTGAATAGCCTCTACTTCACAAACAGATATGTGAAAGACCTATAAGCACCTGAGAAAATGCTCATCAGTCATCTGGGAAAAGAACTTAAAAGGCAAGCAGTTTGTCAGTAACAAGTCAGTTGCAGGGGTAAAGGAACAATATACTGCAATTACAAGTGTGAGCTCTGAAATCAGAGCAACCAGGGTTCAAATCCTGGCTGTGACACTTCTCAGCACTAAGTCAAGATACCTAATGTTGCTAAGCCTCATTTTCCTCATCCTTAAAAAAAAAAAACAAACAAACAAACAAAAAACGGTGAGGGGAACAATGTCGCTTACAAATCGTGTTAATTTAAACACTTAAGTACTTCTAGTGCCTGGCACACAGTAATCATTCAGTGTTAGATGCTATCATCATTGTCATCATCACCACCAAACTATTCCAGCAACAATGGGCGTAGGAGTGAAACCCACTACAACGTGAACCTGTTAAGGTCTTGTTTGTTCTCCAGGGCCCGTCAGCTGCCCACTAGGGAGCCCTTCACCTGCAGCACTAGACAGGGCCGTTCTGGTCTCTTCTAAAGCAACCCCAGGCTATGTGATATACTCTCAGCTGGGAAGAGCCAGAGCAGACTATCTAAAGAGAGAGACAGCTGGCAGGGATTCATTCGCCCCGCCATGGCTCACAGAGAGCAGGACCCCCAGCTAACGCCTCTACTCTGCCCTGCTTCCTCCCGCTCTCCTGTGAACTCAGGTGATCTTCCGAAACGAGGTGACCAACGAGTTCCTACACTACATGGTGAGTTTCAGGGTCATCCCTTCAGGCATCATCAAAACCATCGAGATGGTGAGCCCCGTGCGGCAGAGCACATCATCCTCCATCAAGGTGGAGAACCCGCTGCCCTACTCAGTGACCTTTGCAGTGGAATGCAGGGTGCCTGACATCAACCTGCCCTCCCAGTTTGTGGTGCCTGCTAACTCCGAGGTATGGCCCCGGCTGCTGGGTCCCCGAGAGCTGCTGCAGAGGCTCTGCCCATGGGGCCCCTGGGGCCACGTTTCCCATCCCTGAGGTGGGGCCAGCCCTGGTGGTGGTCTATAGCGTGCTTCCAGAGAGGACCCAGCACCTATTTTTAGATTCAAAGAGGTTCCAGATCTAGAAATACCTGAATAGGGGAAGTTAGGAAGGGCACAGGGGAGGAAAAGCGGGCTGGTTTGCACAGGGATTCCCAGGCTCAAGATCAGTGGGAGCATTTGCTTGTGAAACACCGCTTCTGCCACCAACCTGCTCTGAGGTCACTGGGTGGGTGGCAGGGGATAAGTGGGACTTTCAGCACCACAGGGGACCTCTGTCTTCCCTTGCAGGGCACTTTCACCTTTGAATTCCAGCCCCTGCGAGCTGGGGAAACCTTCGGGAGACTAGTTCTGCACAACAGTGATTTGGGTTACTACCAATATGAGCTCAACTTGAAGGCTCTGCCAGCACTGCCTGAAAAGCCCATCCGCTTCCAGGCTGTTCTTGGCAGCGGCCAGAGCACCTTTGCCAAGATCATCAATTACACCCGGCAGAAGACAGAGTACTACTGCAGGGTGAGTGGCCCCACCCCATCCTCTTGCCCTTCCCTTCCCAGAAGGCTGACCTCAAAAATAATGGGAGGAGGACATAGAGGGTCCAGAAATGGGAAACTCAGGAAAGTTGGGGGCTTTATCTAGCCTGGAAACTCCCAGCTAGAAGTAAATAGTACAAGGCCTGGGTTCTTCCTTAAAGACTTCCTGTCTTAACAAGCTGGGCGGGGGTGTGGGGTTTTGCTGCCCACTGCATGCTCAGTAATCAGTAAAGGGAGACAGTAGAGCTTAATGGTCATGTGTATAGGCTGTGGAAGCCAACAGCCCTGGATGTGAATCCTGGCTTCACCATTTACTCTTTGTATGAATAATTCACTAAAGCTCCCTAAGCTTATCTATAAAAGGTGATAATACCCTCACCTCACAGGATTGCCATGAGGATTTTAAAATATGTACTTAAAACCATTTTTGTAAAGCCTGACCCATAGTAAATACTCCATATATGTTACCTATTATATAAGTTGGAATATAGATTTAACTCCTGAAACAAACCCCCAAAATGACCACAAAATAGAAGTTTATTCCTTTCTCAAATAACTGGGGGCATAAGCAGCATGGGCTGGAATGGTAGCCCAATGACATCAGGCCCCAGGCTCCTTCCTGATGCTGCTCCCTCTGTGGAGAGGTGCCCTGGTCCACATGGCCCGAGACAGCTTGCCGTGGCACCCACATCCTAGCCAGCTGCGAGGGGGAAGGCTGGCTGCACATAGCATTTCCACCCTTGTTCCATTGAACAAAACTGCACAAGACCACAACCAGCAATAAGGGGAGCTAGGAGATGCAGCCTGTACACTGCGTGGCCGCGTCCCCAGTTAACATCATGGGCTCTTGACCAGTCCTATCAGGCAGGAGGAGCTAGGTTAAACTGCAGCAACGAAGAGCCTCGCTATCTCGGCAGCTTAAAAGCACAAAGGTTTGTGTCTCACTTGCGCTGTCTATCTAGTGAGGGTCAGCAGGGGACTCCACTCATCACAATCACTCAGGGGTCCAGGCTAAAGGGCAACCACCATCTCACATGTCTCCGGTCCTAGTACTAGAGGGGTGAAAAGACTCCTCAGGGACTCGCACTGGCAACTGAATGCTCTAGTGCAGAAGAGACACCTTTCACTTCTCGCAATGAACTGTCCAGAACGAGTCTCACCCATCCATGAGGATCTAGAATGTTCAGTCCCATATGTGCATGAGGGGAAGCAGAGCTGGGTATGGGCGAGCAGCACCAGCGACTGCCATGCCAGCATAGCCCAGTCCCGTGTCTTCGGGCAAGTGATTCACTAACTCTCGACCTCAGTGTCTTTGTAGTAAAATAGGGATAATAATTAGTAGTACCTATCTTCAAGAGAGTTATAAGGACACAGCTTTTTTATAACCTGCCCAGCTGAGAGTGGAGGGGCTGCGGATGGACCTGAGCTTCTGGTATGACCTTCAGGATCCCATGTGAGCCAAGTGTATTTATTCCCCTTTCAGACCGACTGCCTCGACTTCCACACGGAAAAGGTCATTAGCGCAGCCCCGGGGGCTCAGGGAGGCACGGAAGTCAGTGTGGAAGTCTATTTTGAGCCCAGCCACCTGGGTGAAACCAAGGGCATCCTGAGCCTGTCATCAATTGCAGGCGGGGAGTACATCATCCCCCTCTTCGGAATGGCTCTGCCCCCCAAGCCACAAGGCCCCTTCCTGATCCGAGCCGGATACAACATAGTCATCCCCTTCAAGAACGTTTTCTACCAAACGGTCACCTTCTCCTTCATCGTGGAGAACCCAGCCTTCTTTGTTCGTGCTGTAGACACCGTGCGGCCCAAGAAGATCAACAACATCACAGTCTACTTTGACGGAAACCCATCTGGCAGCAAAACACCCATCACCAGCAAGCTGATTGTGGCGTGCCCTCCCGGCGAAGGCAGAGAAACAAGAATTAAATGGGTTTATTATCTGAAGGGGATCACCCCTTAGTGGGAACCAGAGTCAGCAGCACAAAGAAAAAGCCATCTCCTCAGCTTTAATATCTGTGTATTGTTGTAGCCTGGTGAATAGAGAAAATAATCAGAATTCTAAAGGTACTGTTTACCCCTCCTCATTCAATTATAGGGGCACTTGTTTCCATAGTAAATGTATTCCAGATACATGGATGATATACTCACATTCCATATTAAATGTGGTAAGTATACAAAACAGAGATATATTTTATTTTGTAAGGGCAAGTCTCTGAATTTGGTTTCTTAACATAGCCCCAAAGCTCTAGCACTATGTAAATAATCCCCATTTTTAATAAGATGACACAGGTACCACACTCATGACCTTTGATTGTACAGCACTTAGCAGTACATGATGCTGGGGCATGCAGCTTCTTTTTAAAAATCCATGATGGCTTAAAGAGCCCGTGGATGTGACTCTATTTTGATGGGGTATTTTACTCTGCTTTCACATAAAAGCCAAAGAAGTCACTATTTTCAAAGGGACTCACAGATAAGGTTAGGGCACTCACTGCAGGGCCAGGGGCTGGGGTACTCCCTCCGTCTCTGAATCCCATGCCTGCTCCCCACATAATGTTCTCGCTGAAGGCTGGGCCCTGGAAAAACGCAAGTTGAGACCCAGCTCCCCACTCCCAGCCCCAGCCCTGTGCACAGCAGTCAGCCTGGAGAGCAGTGATTCTCGGCCCATCAGCACATCAGAATCACCTCACTCTGGTCCAGAACCCCCTCCCCAAATTCTGGTTTAATTGATCTGGGGGTTGAGGGAGATGGGGCATCATTTTTTGTTAACCTGTGCAGCTGAGATAAGAAGCAGTGCTGTGGATCAAAACAGCCATTAGTGCTGCAGCTGAGTCAGGCATCCATTTACTTCCAGGGAAGGACCACATCCCAACTTGATATGTTTAAGCGGCAGCCATTTGTGTGCATGTAAAAGGTGTCTTCTAAGTGCCTTTCCTCCAAGGGAAAACCCTATAGAAGCTCCACCTCCAAGGAGGAGTGGGGCCACCTGCCTCTTCCCGTGGGGCCTGCAGTGTTGAAATAAAGATGACTGAAAATTGGTTTTTCTTTTTGCATCAATTGATAAACTCTCAAACGCCTGCACAACTGAAAAGAAAGACGGGCCTTGCAGTGGATTTGCTTCTGCGCTGGCTGTTATGCGCACGCGCGCGCACACGACCCCACCCCCACCCGCAGGCCTGAGGGTTCATCTGCTTCCACCTCCTCCCCACTTCTCACAGCCCCAGGTACTGGCTGCTACAGAAACTGGCCATTTCCCAGTGTCACTGTAGGCAAAGTAGTACCTTCAGATGGCCAGAGGTAATTCCCCTACCTTGGCTCTGCCCCAGCTCTCCCCAAGCCATTGAGTTTAGAGCCCAAAGCCTTGAAGGCCCACAGCAAGGAAGCAGTTCCTTCTCCCTGAGACCAAGAGCCCAACTCAGGCCCTGCCTCAATGATTTGAGATGGGTAAATACATCTCTTCCCTTGGGCTTGTGCTCATGCTTCCTTAGCCTCAAAAAGACAATGACAAAATTGTTTCATATTGGCAGATTTGGAGTGGCAAGGTAGCCCAACAGAGGACTGGGGAAGAGGCTTGGCAAAAACTAGCATTCTGACAGAAACTAGCCGAAGCTACCTTTGAGAGAATATATTATCAGCAAAGCAGGCTAAGGGACACCTCACTGGGTAGGAGGGCGGTGTTGAGGAACATCAGGACCACCAGGTGCCATAATACCACGGAGCACTGTGCACAGAATATGATGTGAATGGAGGCGCTGGTGAGTGTGACATCTGAAGTCTAACCACTTCTTTGGGGCAGACATGCCTCAGGTCAGAGGTGACGATATCATGACATCATGAGGACCTGCCAGATCTCAAGAAATCCCAAGTGTGGGATTTCCCAAACCTCTTATACTCTCAGTATGTTTGTTCTGAAACTCCAGCAAAGTTACATTGCTGTTGGAGAAACCGCTTTGCACAGTTCAAGACTTGGGTATAACTTCTTACAGTGTCACCAGCATCCTCTTGCTACAATATCTGTAAGTTCCATAATAACAACCAGGCATCACACAGATGCAAATGAGTTACAACTATAAAATGATGGCCGCTGTGCAACCAGGAGTATCAGTGAACCACTAGTCTAGAAGCGTCTGAGCATGGCAGGCCTGGGCAGGGCTGGCCCCAGAGTCAGGGAAGTGAGCACATACAGAAGGCAATGGTGGACACTGGGCTTTATTCTTAGAACCGCCGCCCGTGCAATTATGCATAAATAACCTCATTTAGTTGGCATTTTCCAAAATAGAGAAAAGAAGCTACTTCTTTCCAGGAACTTCTAAACTGAAGGTAGGACAAAGCATTGTTTTGGTCTTGAGTAAGAAACTGGTTTCTTAGCAACCTAGTCCAGAATGTGATCTCAGAAGAAAAGAGTTCCTTCTAAAAAAAAAAAAAATTTCCTTACTGTTTCAATTATTAAGAACTGTATCACATTATGACCCTGGGGAAATTTGGTTCACCTTTAAGAAAAAGTCAAAGCAGCAAAAGAAACAGATGAGATATATTAGATAAGGGTCCAGTGGAAATGAATACACAACGGAGAAATAGATCCCAACTATTCCCACTGACTTGATTTTTTTCACTGTTTTGTATCAGCCATCACCAAAAATCTTAAAAAGACATAAACCTTACAAGACATTTGGAAATGTCCTCATTATTGCTACTTGATATGAAGGTAAGAGGTGGAAACCATTAAGTGATACATTTTCTCTGCAGATGAATCTTCAGGCATCAGATTTTGTTGGTAAAGGTTTTAAAAGACGTGAAAACTCACTAGTAATGAAAAGGACATTTTCACAGATTTTTCTAGATGCAATTCCTCTATGACCTACTGAGCTTGGGTTAGCTCCTGTATTTGCTTTCTATGACTATGTAGCAGATTGCCACAAACCAAGCATCTTAAAGCAACACAATTTCTTATCTCAGTTTCCACAACTCAGGAATGGACTGAACTGGATTCCTGGCTCAGGGTCCCCCAGGCAGGAATCAAGATGCCAGCCAGTTGCATCCTCATCTGGAGGTTCAACTAGGGAAAGACCCACTTCTGAGCATCCTCAGTATGTTGGCAAAATTCATTTCTTCATAGCCATATAACTGAAGTCCCCATTTCCTTGGCAACTGACAACAAGGGACTACTCTTAGCAACTAGAGACCACCCTAAGGTCCTCACCACATCGCCTATCATAGACAGCTCACAGTTGTTACTGGTTATCCTTCAAGGCTAAAAGGAGAATCTCTCTCTCTCTCTCACTTTAAATCTAATTTCTTTTAAGGTCTCACCTGATTAGGTCAGACACACCCACGATAATCCCCCTTTTAATCAACTCAAAGTCAACTGATTAGGGACCTTAATTACATCTGTAAAAGTCCTTCTGCTTTATAACATAGTAATTGTTAGAATGACAGCCCATCATATCTACAAGTCTTGGCCATACTCAAGGGGAAGAGATTATACAGGGCAGGTCCCCAAAGTAGTGGGAATCTTAGGAGCCATTTTAGAATTCTGCCTACCATGGCCCCTCACTTGTGTCCCATAGATTCTAATCTATAGATTGAGGATAATACTCCAAGATTGTTAGAGGATTTAAAAGGTATACCTTTCACTCAGAGAAAAGTACCACCATGTGTTATGTTCATATTTAATACCCATTGGGTCTCCTGTGGTCTAGTCCTTGTCATAAGTCCCTGCTTACTGTAGAAGGTTACAATAAGAAACTCTGATGCTTCTCCCTGTTACTGCATCTTTAGCCACCCTGAGTCCATAACGTGCTTTTAAAAAGTTTACCTTATAGCGTCAATTTCTGTTCCACCATTTAGTGTGACGTTCATAGCACTTGGAGAGGCCGCTTTATAGTGGATCCATCTGGGGACCTTCACCCAACAGACTTGGGGCTTCTGCTGTCTGTAACCTAGCCCTTCCAGGTATGAACATTGTAAACACGTTCCGAGGACCAAATGGTGGAGTGACAGCCACCGTGGGCACCTGAGATTTTAGGCTGTAGACAGGTAGTACTGTTTTTAACTGAGAATTTATTTTAATGTTTTAGAAAAATATACGACTATTCAAACTCATGATTATAGGGCATAAACAAGGATCAAGTAGGAATTTAAGATTTTTAAGTGAGTTGATTTGAGAAAAGTATTTTTAAATAATAGTACAAGTTACTAGGATATGGCAAAAATCATGATGATGTCACCCCGATTTAGGAAACATTGGCATATGCGAAATTGGTGACTAAGTAGTGAGTGAACTGGTGGATTCATTAAGTATTGAATAAATTATTCTAAGTCATGCTCCAAGAGCCCCTGAGAAGGGGCTGCAGAAGCCCACTACACCCACACCTACCTCATTCGGGCAACTGAACCCTAAGGATACCCACCCCACCAAGCACGTGTCCAACCAGACTGAGGCAATAGAGAACAGAAGGCTGGAGTGTGAAAAGAGGAGGTGGAGCCTTGTGGGGGCGTGGCCAACCTGCAATCGGCCTTCGTGGGGGGGTGTGGCCGACGAGGGGCGGGTCCTCGAAGCGGAAGGCGGAAGGTGCTGCGGTATCACGTGACCGTGTAACATGGCCGTTACTCGGTGAGCACGGCTTTTGCAGGGCTGGAGCCAGTCTCGTGAGTCGTTAGGGACAAGTGTGCGCAGGCGGGGTCCAGGCCCGGGTTCCGAGGCGGCGCGCGGTGGCGGAGTGAGGCAGGTGGGCCGGGGGCGGCGTGGTCCATGAGCCGGCGCCCGAGGCAGCGCGGAGCCGCAGACTCCCCTGGCCCCCGGCGCGGCCCGGGCAGTCTTGGGCTGAGGAGTCGAGAGGGTCCGGGGGACACTACGAGTTGCCACCATGAACCCTGAGAAGGACTTCGCGCCGCTCACGCCCAACATCGTGCGAGCCCTCAATGACAAGCTCTACGAAAAGCGGAAGGTAGCAGCACTGG